AAAGCAGGGAGCAGGCTTATGCCCTCTCCGCCCACCAGGAAGGTCCCAGACAGTTTGAATAGCTCTCTCAGGGCCCCAGTGAAGCATCCTCCGTCCTGCAATGCCGCCGCACGCAAAAGGTGAGTGGGCTTCTCATACCATGGGGCAGGGCTGTCAAACAATTTCAGAAATATTTTAACTTAAGAGCCCACTCCCCAAGATAGGACAATAGGACCTACAACAAAATGCTACAGCATATCCTCACCTTCTAACAGAAGCACTGTTGTTCAGGGTTCCAGCCAGCTATCCTCTCCAACCAGGACGTACCACTGCCACCCCCACCCCCTTCAGTTTTCTGTTTTGCTTTCCCAACTTAAACCGAAATGTATGCATCATGGCTATAGGGAACATTCTGGGGCTGTTTGGGCTCTCTATCGTACGGAAAATGTACGTTGAGAGGTTACTGTGCATAACAACTGACAGCTGTGCACATTAAGCAGGCCTCATGGAAAACATGCACATAATCCTTTCAGGAAGAGGTCAGTATACCTAATCTCCCACAAGACTTGGGTAATGTGCATATATCAACTAAATATTGCACATTCTCCTACTGTTATGAATATTGAAATTGAAATACTTTATTGTCACTTGTACAACTTGTATACAGTGAGATTACACGAGCACCCCCCACTCAGCTCTGTTGGTCTTAATTCCCCTCGTTTACTAACGCACACCCACCAAACCCGAAAGTCAGTTGCCCTGTTGTTATCTTTTCATTCAGCAGCCTAACAGCCCATGGATAGAAGCTGTTCTTTACCGTGTTGGTGTGACTAATAATGCTTCTATATCTTCTGCCTGAGGGCAGGAGATCAAGAAAGTGCCGGCCAGGGTATGAATCGTCCCTGAGAATTTTCCTCACTCTCCTGAGGCAACGTTCTTCCGCAATTTCATACAGCAGATTCACGGGACAGCCCATAATATCTTGTGCTGTATTCACCACCCTCTGTAGGCACTTCCTATCAGTTGATGTCAAATCAGCGTACCACACCGTGATGCAGTATGAAAGGACACATTCTATTGTGAACCGGTAGAAGGAGATCATCAAATGTTGATTGACATCATTCTTTCGCAATACTCTGAGGAGATGGAGTGTCTGTTGGGCTTTCTTAACCATCTGGGTTGTATTGATTTTCCAAGTAAGGTCTTCACTGAGATAAATAATCCCCAACAGGCTTTTAAAAAACAATCTTTGTAATTCTAGTGATCTCTGAACATGTTAATGACTCCTTCAAGTTTCCCAGTACCCTGTTTTAGTAACCATTTGCTGGTATTCTCAACTTGCATTTGCTATTAGAGTTCTGCAAAGGCTCTCTCACAAATATACGGTGTGCACTCCCTGGGGGGGGGGGAAATATACTTTAAGTGATCACACCATTAATCCCACCCCACAACACCCTGAACTAATTCACAGAGAACTGATATCTATATACAGCAAGAAGGAAACCAGAAATGCATATTAGTATATTTTTACTTTCTTTGCATGTGCATCTTGGGAACTTGTACATCTCATGTCCTGGCCTGCACTCTCTTAATGAGGGCAAGGTGAACTTTGGTAATACAACACCCTGAGCATGCCACTCCCCCAACTTAATATTTCTAACTTTTATTAGGTATCTGTATAAATCTAAGTATTATAATTATTTTGCACCCCCTTGGTTCGGTGCCCCTGTGGACAACATAGGTGGCTGTTTGTCCACCGTTTTATAATGAATTGTGATACCCAGCAAAGTAATGTCTTCAGTGGCTTCAAAATGCTTTTCTGAATGTCAACACAGATCAAAATGCTTCTTCCTCTAACAGCCCTTTTCTTAGAATGGGCATAGCTGTGGCTTCCTGTCTGTGCAATGCTCTCCCCATGGAGGCTCACCTGGTGCCTTCGTTATATATCTTTAGGGGCCAGGCAAAAAGTTTTCTCCATAACCAGGCCTTTCCTGATGAAAATTCTACATCCTCCTACATCCCAGTAAAAGGGGGGGGCTTTAATGGTTTGTTTTTGTTTCATGCTGTATTTTGTGTTCCCATTTTGTATTTTTATGCAGTGAATTTCGGATGATGGGCAGTATACATATTAATTAAATAGATAAATAAATCATGAGATTTGATGGAGAGTCAATGGATATCAGTTACCCTCCTGACACCATCACAAAAAGGAAAAGAGCAGAAATGGAGCTCAGAAATGAAAACTCCTTCTTGACATATCAGTTGGTTCCATTCTCTCTGACTGAGATGCACACGTTCAGAATACAACAGGGAAGTTTGTTATGCACTTAGCATACGTGCAACTCAATTGCTCAGAAATTGGATATTAATGCACCAAGTACTCCCCTTGAGCTAGAAGCTGCTATTTCTCATTTGGGAGGAGATAATGAAGTTAGCATACACACTTGGTCATAGTATGAGAAAAGGACATGTTCCTATTCCCATTGTCCTGAGGACCAGAAGGAGCGCATCTGCATTTCAAATTTTAAGCAGCTTTGAACAATTCTGACGTAGAATCCACTGATACTGCTTCCTCATCCCTCTCCTTCCTGTTTATGGACCATACCTCCTATCAAAACAGGTCATTACCACAAAAGCAATATGAACCATGAAACAAGGACAGGAATAAATATTCAGTGACATCAATACATCATCTTTGAACGAATCACAAAGGGGGTTTTCCCATGTTGAGGCTCATCCATTTCACTGTGAGTGTGCTGACCCCTGCGATTTCCAAGTTCTGGAAAATCAACTGCATGATTTGTGGTAGCCCTCCATATTGGTTACCCTACTCTACCATATTGGGAGGGTAATTATTCATGTCTAGGACCACTTTTATTGTCCTCATTCTTTTAAGTGAGGTGTGTGTGTGTGTGTGTGTGTGTGTGTGTAGCACTTGAGGTCTTGTTTAATTGATACTTTTATCTTTGGGTCTAATGTTTTGTGTTATTTCTTACTTTTATTATGTCAGTCACATTGAGACACTTGTACATAGTGACAAATAGATATAATAAATACAAACATTCTGTTCTAAAGGAACAGAAATTACTGAGCTCCTAAAAAAACTCTTCCTTGTAGTGACTACAGAAAAATTATAGAGTTAAAAAAAATAATGCCCAGTCTGAAATATAAAACTTGCCCAGCACCATCAAAAGCCTTCTCAAGTAGATATTCAAATATTGGTTTTGTGGAAACATTGCCTTAAAAATGAGCATATATGAGGGGGATACCTTTAAAAATGAGCATATATGAGAGGGATACACAATGAATCTGCTAAAGTTGTGTTCCTCCTTGCATGAGAAAGTTGCAGGTAAAAAAGAAAAGAAACATTGCCAGATAAACGAGATTGCCAGTTAAAATGTCCTAAGTCTCATTTACCTGTTGCTCAAGATAGGAAAATGCAACACATGGAAGCAGCAGCTTCTTGTGACCACAGAACGGTTGGATTTTTTTGACATAAAAGATATAAGAAATCAACTGAAATGTTGCTACAAAAGTCCGTTGACTTGCATTGTTTCCTGAGCCCGACGTCCAGTTCTTGGCTTTTGGGTTTACTAACGGTTATTTCATTGGCCCAGTTATTGATAGCTGTTTCACCTCAAGGGGCTGCAACAGGAAGGAGGAGGTCTTCTTGAACCATATAAATTAGCCTTGCCCTTCTGAGTTTTGATATCCTGCTGTTTCTCATCGAGCTGTTCAGCAACTCATTCAGGTGGGGTAAGTCAAGTGGTTCTCGCGACTGGGAGGCAAGGGATTTGGTTTGATTTTCATTTTAATGCAACTCTACCCACTTCGCAATACACAAACTGAAATGAGGCTTTTGTTCTAAATTCAGCCTTCTGTGAATTTTGTGCTACCCTCTCCAACCAAAAGAAGATGTACGGAAAGTGCACATAAGGGGCTTAGAAAGGCAGATAATGGTGAAAATAGCAGACCAAAATGCATTCTTAGGGAATATTGCCTGCAAAAATGTGTACGTGAGGCAAGCTGCATACAAAAAATGGGGATGTTAGGAGAAATTCTGATGAATCTTCATGCAAACTTATAAGAAACTTCAAAGTTGATGGCACAATACAGCAAACTGAATCTGAGATTGTAAACATGAGAAATTGAGAGACTCTGAAACTGACAGGTTCATCCATCTCTAACTGGTGTGTGAGAGTGTGAATGCACATGAATGGAGTTGGAGTCTTTTGATTTCCATGAGCCAGTTGAATTGAGTTGTGGCCTGCAGAAAGAGCCTGGGAGAGCCAGGTTTCCTCATGCTTTGTAAATATACCATGCTTGCCATGATATCTGTGCCGATAAGACACAGCTGCTTAAGTGTTTGTGCCTGTTGATGAATTTTTATCTTGTAGTTTATTCCTCCATTCAAGTACATTTATCTTGTATTTCTACCTGTTTCCTTCCCTTTATTTGTGTAACTTTGCTGCTCAAGTTCATTAATATCCTCTCTGATGCAGCAGGAAACAGAAAGATTCAGAACTTTATTAGTTAGGATTGCCTTGCTGGATCAAACCCAAACTTTATCAAGTCCAGCATCATAACAAATGACACATTCCTAAGCTTTGAAACATTGGGGGGGGGGGTTAGTGATACCCTAGGAGTACATGCACCTACTCAGATGTGAATTTTCATTGGTTTGAATCTTGCCACTTGAGCAAGCCATTTTCAGTCTCAGCCCTCACAATGTGGGAGATAATAATACTGATTTACTTTAGAGGAATGATGTCATCACAACAGCACTTTTGGACACCAGAAATGCTATACAAATGTCAAACCAAACACTGCCATTTTGGGCCTTTCTTTATGGAAAAAAAGCAGATTGAACCTCTGTTGAGTCACACCTTTGATATGAAATGCTTTAACAGGGCTGAAGATTCTGTGAAGATTTCACATAAAAATGAACTTCAAATGGATCTGGCTGCTGGCACTTATCCTGATCGTAGGATTGGCTAGTGTGGCAGATGCCAGGCGTGGACGGGGAGGTGGACGAGGCCGCCGAGGTGGCTTTCGACGAGGCTTTCGCCGAGGTTGGCGCTGGGGCCGCCGCTGGGGCCGAGGCTGAGGAGGTAAGCGACAGGTTTTATTTGTTTTCATTAAAAAAACCAAAAAAACCTAATAGATATCATGAGCTTATCCTATAGCTGTTCCCGGGGAATGGGGGCTATGCCATACATTTGGTAATACATCTGGCTTTTTTAAAAAAAGTGCTGCCCTAGCCAAGTTTAAGGTGAAGCACTTGTGCATTGCTTATGGACAGTGACGGTGGGGCCCTGAGCACAAATTTCTAAGGGGGCGCAACCAGCTGCCCCCACGTCAGGCTCCCTCATTGAGGCCTTTGAGGCTAATCCAGTGGCAGTGCCTCCTTCTTGTGGCAGGCGAAGGGATGCCTTGTGTGTGTGCCTTGCCCCTGGGCCAGGCGTAAGGAAGGGAGGAGGAGGATGGCGGGAAAGCACTGCCAGAGTCATGTGTGTTGTGCCTCGCTGCAAAGACAGGAGAGTGAGGCGACACAGCGGCAGTCCTGGCTTTGCGTTTCTCTGCCTTATCTCTGCTACCAGTCGGGGCTAGTTTGCAAGGAGAGACTCCCTTGATTAGATGTCGCTTAGCAAAGGGACTGACTGCTGCCCAGTCTACCATCCCAGGCTCCGGCAACCCACACTATGCCCCTGCTTTAGGAAGCATAATGTAAAGGACTGAGAGCTCGGAAGTCTCCCAATCTCAGCCCCCATTAACATTTATCTCATTTTAAGCAGCACTTCGTTGTGGGTTCTCTACAGATATTATCAAACACCTGCAATTTCTGAGAAAATAATAATCCTGACCTACCTTGGTCCAAAGTCTCTTGAACACACACACACACACACACACACACACTTTGTAACTGCTGGGTGTTACTAGAACTGGCAGGCTTACAAACCCTGTCTCTGCCCTTTTTTCTACCATTTTGCATGACAAGTGTAGTCCTCCTTCCCCATTTCCTTCATGTTTTGCATCAGAGAGGTTGATCTCTCTCAACCCACAACCTCCCATTTGGAAAAATCTACTATGTTTACAATTGTATGGATGCGTTTAACTTAACCCCTGGGTAAAGGAAGGTTCCCCAAATCATTTTGGCCAACTTTTCTCCCACAACATGGGATACAATCCAGAGAGGGCAAAGGCTATAGGGATAGCAAGGAAAGGGAATGGAAGAGAAAGAAACAGCAGATGCAATGACACAGGAAATCAATAAAGCTGGACTAAGTCATAACTAACTTCAGTCCATTGATTTCTTTGGGTCTACAACCCTTAGTTGACAACCCAAGTAGGAAGCCATCCAGACAAGACCAAGGATAACCCCCAACTTATCCATAACCAATGAAATTTCCCCCAAGCCCTATTCAGAGTCCAGACAGTTGGAACAGGAATGTTCACCCTCTAAGCAGCTTTCTCTTCTTTTCATTTCAGCAAATTAGAACGAAATGAAGGCACAGACCAGGAACGTCTGACAACGGCATCCCTCTAAGACAAAAACAGAAAACAAAACGCTAGCATAGCAGTCACTTTCTTCATTTCTTGCTCTCTATCACGAATTTCTGCTTCTTTCCTTGCCAGGGAGGTCAGTCTGCGCACAACAACTGCAAATCATCTCTCCCCCCCCCCCAAAAAAAGCTATAAACCAGCATAGGCAAACTCGGCCCTCCAGATGTTTTGGGACTACAACTCCCATCATCCCTAGCTAACAGGACCAGTGGTCAGGGATACTGACCAAAACATCAGGAGGGCTGAGTTTGCCTATGTCTGCTATAAATGTAGCTAATTAGTCTCAGCTCCATAGTAATTTTTGCCAACCTTTGCTATTACTCTTGAGAATGTGGCAATGCATTTTATTTCCCACTGTTTGCTTTATCTTTATGAAACTTTCTTGCGCATTCAGCATATTAAAGCATTGCAAAAAATAATGATGTGACATGTTTCTCTTTTTGATGTACTTGACATTTTTTCACCTTTAAGCTCTTATCTCACAGCAGTGCAAAGTGGCACAAGTCTATTATTCAAGTAGGCTGGATATCTAGCAATATATTTTACAACAATAATACAGTCTAGAGCTTGAGATTATTTTTGGCCACACTCACAGAATCATAAACTAGGGATTCAGCTACATTAGTAAAGAAAAAGGCATTTTAAAAGTGCTATAACACTGTGACACCAGATGGCAATGTAGAGTTCTGTCTTTCGCCAATGTGAGATTTACAATGTGTTTTCCTGTAATGTTTTTTAATGTGTCTAGATCCAGCCTAGCTGGCCTATACTCCTTCTAGGTATATCTCCCATCCAACAGTGGACATTCATCCATCAACCTTTAACTCAAAGGTGCACTGCAGAAAGGTGCCTGTGCGACAAATGGGTTCAGGTGACTTAAGGCTGTTGGGCCACACCACATGATGTGGAGAGGCAAAGGGGGCAGGGGGAGCTGTGGTGGACCTATGGGAAATCGTCCAATCCAAGTTATGACAATCATTCAGACTCAGAGCATCATCCAATCCGTTCACTGTGAAATCCAAAGAGACACAATTCCACCATTCTTTCTCGAGTGTGAGAGTGTCCATCAAGACGTGTCAGTGTGAAATTGACATGGTTTGCATCAGCTACAGAACCAGTCCTTTATCCAGTATGGTACCTGCTCATCTCTCCCTGTGGCTAATGCAGCTTTGGGGTGGGTGTGATTTAAATGCGTATAATAACACCAAGAGATAGCTAGTGCTCTCTCTCAGCACCACACGGGGTGTCCATGGGTCTGCGTGGCTGCTTTTAAGGAAAGTAAAAGACACCCAGAATTCCAATTATGGTTCTTGTGTACCACTAAGTGTGTTCATACACAGTTATTTCAGTTTTGGGTTCTTTCGTGGGAGTCTATACTGCTGCTAATATTTACAGAGGACAACACCATCTACACAACATCCTGGGAGCTGTGGAGGCTAGTCCACTGGGGGAAAAGGATACTGCCACACCAATCTCATTCTGCTCCCAGCCAGCCTTCATCTGTGTGCCTTCCTACTTACAACCAGTTCAAGGGGCGGTACAGCCTTGGGGAATCTACATATATTGACTGTATTTTGTACATTCTTCCACCATTATGCATAATTCCAAGAGGCTTTTTAAAAAATAATCTACAAGCCTCTGATCATGCTAATAACGCATTCCTGCTTCCCAGCGACCTTGTTTTGGCAACTACAGTGGTACTTCAGATTAAGTACTTAATTCGTTCCGGAGGTCTGTTCTTAACCTGAAACTGTTCTTAACCTGAAGCAACACTTTAGCTAATGGGGCCTCCCACTGCCGCCACGCGATTTCTGTTCTCATCCTGAAGCAAAGTTCTTAACGCGAGGTACTCTTTCTGGGTTAGTGGAGTCTGTAACCTGATGCGTCTGTAACCTGAAGCGTATGTAACCCGAGGTACCACTGTATTAGCTAGTACTGTCCACCTGTGTGTGCTATCAGAGTTTGGTAAAGGATATCTCATGCATATACTGTGTGTATTCCCCAGTGGGAGGAAATACACTTTAAGTGATCACACCATTGATCCTTCCCCATCCATAACAAACCTAAACTCAGTGCTTTTTTCTGGGAGGATGCAGGGGGACGCATACCCCTAAACAGTTTGTTAATCTAAGTTTGGCCTTATTGAGAGGCATTATTTCAATATGGGTAGTAAAATGAAAGTACCCCTAAACATTTTTTTAGAAAAGAAGCACTGCCTAAACTAATTCATGGAAAACTGATATGTATTTTACAGTAGAAGCAGCAACACCAGAAATGCATGTCTGTATATTTTTGCTTTCTCTTTCTACTGCATGTGCAAATTGAAAGCTTCAAACTCCAAAAGCCTTTTTCTTAGAATGACCATAAGTCCTATCTTGCCATGGGCAGCCATCTAACTGAAGGGCTGTGAGAGGAGAGTCCTATATTTGAAGAAGTGGCCTTTTCAAAGTACAATTTAAAGATGAAGAAGCACAAGAATGGAGAGAAGCAGGGGCCTTGAAGATACCAAGCAAGTTATCACCAGGACTGTTGACTGAGCAGGCCTATGGGTCATGTGGTCTTCCATATTATAATGAGATGCAGTGTATTTCCTTTTAAATTCCAGAGGTTATTTATAAATGTGTACCTTTACATATCTATTGGCATCTACAAACATTATGCATAGAACAATTAGTCCCCTTTTTGGTGATACATTTTCTCATTTTTGGTCATTGTTGTAAGCAGCCATTTTACCTGCTCTCAGGGCAGGATTGGTAAACCAGGTAGTTCTACTTTTGACATTGTTGGAGAGTTTCAAATACTTAATCTCAAATTAGGGAGGATCACAGATGAAGCAATGCTGGTCTTGCTTATCTGTGGGGAGACTTATCAGTTGATTAGCACATTTGTGCCATGCTGGGTGACTTTGGTGCTATTAATCACAGTAACCCTTCCCCATCAGTTACACCTTTGGTCAATGCATTACTCAGCTTTCAAATTTTATTTTCATGTACAGTTATAAAAATGAGAGAGAGAGAGAGATTTTTTTTTTTTTTACATAGGCATAACTCTAACAGCTAAGACTGCAATAATGGAGCTAATATTGGCAAATTAAGATAACATAGATTCTTACCAAGCAGGAAACTGTTTATGTGAAAATATACATTTGCCCTACATCAGTACACTGGAACAGAGAGCAATCTTAGGAACAGCTGCTTCTTGCTGACTTTGGTAACAAAGTTAGGGCTGCCATACGTCTTGCAACCCTAAACAGAGTAAACCATAAAATCATCCTTCTATGTCCACTAGTGCACATATTCAATTAGAAACAGCATTTTGCTTTTTATATAAATGCAAATGATGGAAGTGGGATTGTCTTCTTCTGTCTTCTTCTGAATCTTTTTCCAGACGCCTGTATAAGACAGAAGTTTCCCAAAAACTCAACATTTTTTTCCAAATGCATAGAGTCCTCAACAGACTATTGCACATTCACATACGTCTGTGAACTGACACAATTTGGCATGTCCTCCTTCTTTCCCAGTCAAGTGATGGGTACTGTAGTTGCCTGAAGTGCTGCACTAACATGATGTGGATCGATTTAAGGGTGGTTGGGGGTGATTCATGAGGAAAGAATCTGAGGCCGATCTTTGCCACAGATCCCTCCCACTAAGTTTACCGATCGAATCATCATTTCTGCCACTTGATAATGTATCTGGAACATATATACAAATCTTTAATCAAAATCAAAACACAGGTGGAGTCGTGATGACAAAGACATTTGCCTCCCAAGATAAAAATTATCTGAAAATGTTGAGCAAACTGGCCGCTATAAAAATTGTTTTCTGCAAATCTTTTGCCTAGACCTTAACATTGTTGTTTGTTTTCTGGAGGAGACCTGAAGGTTCAGGACAGAGGACGGTGAGCTGCCATGGTGCACAAGAGCTTCTTGTTATTTGCTATTGTCCTGATTCTAGGACTCAGCAGCCTGACTAATGGATTTACTCTCCAAAGACGTGAGTGGAACTGTTTCATTTTTTTCTTGGGGAATACTAAACCAGCTCCTTGAAACATTAAATAAGAGCTACCCACTTCACACTTTATGCCAGTGGCCTTCTTGCCGTGGGTACCACTAGTGTCACGCCAAAGTTTGCTGTGAAAGGAAGACGCAAGTCTGTTTGAAGGCACAAGACTCCAAAGCCTCTAGGCTCAGAGGCTCTATGGCTCAGGACACCAGTTGCTGGAGAACACAAGCTGGAGAGGGCTGTGGCTCTCATGTCCTGCTTGTGGGCTTCCCTTAAGCATCTGGTTGCCTGCTGTGGAAAATGGGATGCTGGACTTGATGGAACCTTAGTGTGATCCAACAGGGCTCTTCTTAGGTTCAAATATGCAGGGGGCATCTGGCAGGGAGCCACAGCCAGTTGAGGGTCACCCAATGCATCCTCCCCATCCCTAAGTGTCTGGGGATGCAGTTGGATATTGTATGGCCCTTTCTGGTATTTTGCACATCCTCACCTGGGACAGAGACCCTTGAATAGTACCAAGTAGCTGTTTAGCAGAGAGGGGACAATTGAGAAAAGTTCAGCCCACTCTGCTGCTTTCAGTCCAAAGCTATGGACAGAGCCTAGTTAGACTGTCTAACCGAGGCTAAGGCCAGGATAGTAGATGAGACAGAGGAATTGCAAATAGAGCAGCTGCTTGCACATGCAGAGGACTTTCTCAGCAAAGGTGCATGCATGGAAGCCTGAAGCTATGGTGGAAATGGTTGTGCTTTGGGATATAGGGGAGATATTCCATTCTGTTCACATTTAAAGGCAAACCTGCATAATTCACTCTTTTTCAAAATGCTATAAAGAGACATCCTTTGAAAGCCATCATTTTCTGAATTGCGCAATGCAGTTCTCCAACCAAGTAATGTGTGCAAAAATGTATATATAGTGGGATTAAGTGTGCAAAAATAACTGGACTTATTAGTGAAAATAAAAGAGGTAGTTCTTTACATTAGAGGAAACCGCTTTGCAAAATTGTGTAAATTAGGCAAAATTACATACAAACATGTATATTAGGAGAATTTCACTCTGAAACACTGTTGAGGACTTAAAAAAAGAAATTGCAAACTGATGCGGAAATATGGAGAACTGAATTTTATGATTAGGAAAGTGAAAAACTGAAAGGAACTGAACTTGGCAGATCAACCATCCCTAGTGGTGTAAAGTGGATTACTGGAATTTATAGGCTTGCTGCAATAGGGAATTTGGTCAAGATCAGATTTGGTCAAGAAGAGAAAGCATGTACAGAGTAGCTGCCTTGGCTGTTGCTTACTTTCATTACTGACACACACACCTTCCGCTGATCTGTTAACTGTAACTGTAATGGGATTTACTCTTTTCCTTTGGCCTGATGTTGGCTGAGATGTGCTGGTGAGATGTGTTTGTTTTTATAAGGTTTTTTCCTCATCTAGAAAGAAATAAGCTTGTTCAGGAATCAAGTCATACAACAGAAATATATTCTCTGTGTTGATTAACAGTGCTTGGTGTAGCGTAGTATTGTGTCTGACAAACTGAAAGCAGAAAGAAACATCCAAAACAAATTATGCCATAAAACAGGGGTAGCCAATGTGGTGCCCTTCTGGGGTTAGATTACAACTTCAGTCATCACTGCGATGAGTTTATGGGAGCTACAAGTCAATAATATCTGGCCGACACCACATTGACTACCCCTGCCATAGAACCTTTCCCTGAGGACACAATGGGTGGCTGTTTCTAGAGAGTAATTATCCCTTGTTATGAGACAACATAAGAATCAGAGGAAATCAATGAATTCAGAATTTTTGAAATCAGACTGCAGCATGATGGGCCTATCCTTCATAAAGGAAGTGCCATATGACAGATTCAATTGAACTTTGTCTTTAACAGCCACACAACAATGTGCAGTGCAGCCCAAAGCAAGAGTGAACTGTGGCTACCCATACATCAGTGCTCAGACATGCCACAGCAGAGGATGCTGTTTTGATTCAAGTATTCCTGGAGTCATCTGGTGCTTCTTTCCTGGAAGTGATTCAGGTATGTATATAGTTATTTATACTACCTTCCAGGGCAAGTCAGCTTTGATAGACATAAAAATATATAGCAAAACAACAACAACACAAGCAACAAATACCACCTCCCCCAGACACAATTTCCCATTAATACAACAGTATAATACAAACAAGAACAGCAATGGTAGTAAAATAACAATACAAGATCTACATGCTCAAGTTTCTCAATGGCACTAGTTTCAATTTCTTATCCCATGTACAGATTAGTTCAACAGAAGAAAAACTTGTACAGCAGCAATGGTCAATGTGACAGCCTCTAGATATCATTGAACTACAACTCCCACAACCCCGATATTTCGCCATGCTGAATGGGACTTTTGGGAGTTGGGACATATTGAGGGCACCACATTGGACACCATACTCTGTGTCAACCCCCCCAACTGTCCTAATTAAATAGGGATATCCCATTGGGTGGGGCTGCTCTTGTGTGAGTCACCTGACTCCCATAAAATTGTGGTCCAAAAGACTGTGCTTTGGGGTGCCGTGCTCTTCAATGGGTCATGTGACTTGCATGGGAGCACAGCCTCAAAAGACGTACATCCTGGTTTTCCTCTGGGACGTGTTGGAGGGTATGTCCCGTCTTGGGATATTTCTAAAGTTCAGGAATGCATATGTGCATTGCAAATACAGTTGAGGATGAGGCAAAGCCCTCTACATACATCTCCCTCTCTACTTTATTAGAGTCTTACTTTTCATCATAGTTCTAGTGACTTATTAGCAATGGCTTTTTTGTGATGGTACTCCTCTCTTTTTTACTTTTTACTTTTTTTGCTGCCCATGGCAGCTACTACTTCAGTAGAATACATTTAAGCCAAAATAATACAAAAGAAAATACAAAAAGAAGGCAACGCTCTAAAAATGATACAGAGTGACCAGCAAGCCCTTCCATGTGTGCCTACAGGATGAAGCGAGATCAGACAGTAAGGCCTCATGCTTTTCCAAGATGGTTCATGTGTTACATTAGGTCACTTCTTTTCACTCGCAGGACTCATCCATTCAGGCCCGAAACCTGACGTGAGCCAGTAGCTCACAGATCTCAGCTGCGCAGCAACTTCCATGATCTCTGAGGTACAAGCAGTGAACTAGTTTAGTTATCCATCCCATGGGCTCATAGAAGGATTTCTGGAACAGCCGGAGCACTTTTGTTAAAAGCTGATTTTCTGTTTTTTAATAATAATAATAATAATAATAATAATAATAATAATAATAATAAATGCCCTGTCCAACTGGCTGGGTTTCCCCGGCCACTCTGGGCGGCTCCCAACAGAATATTAGAACAGAATAAAACATCAAGCATTAAAAACTTCCCTTCCTGCCTTCAGAAGTGGTTATTTCATGTGGGCCTCTGACCCACGATGGGGCTTAATGGGATCAGGTAAACATGTTTAGGAGTGGTCTGTTGAAACTGCCAAATAATGAAACAAATTGATTTCCAAATGGCAGCCCTATCATGTACATAGTTCCCACTTAGCCCAGATAATATCGTTTTTTAAAAATTCTATTTTGTTTTCAGAATGCATCTCTTAAAATAAAAATAAGCCACAAATCTGCCTTTCTGCTCTGATGATCTTCTGGAAGAAAAATAAAGCGAAACTGCATGTATCTGCATATGCTCTCCTGTGGATGAAACGGAATTCTGCTGCCAGTGATGAATGTTTTTCAACACTCTACTGCACCCTAAAATAATAATAAAAGGAGCATACAGAAATATTATGGTTGTTTCTCCAATCTATGCCCACTAGCAGTTGGTGTGGTGTGTGAGGGGGCGGAGGGAAAGGGACACTCATGGCTTTTTAATAGACTTATAAGGACTGAGTGGTGCATCCTGATTTCATCCTTCTGTGACTCTCCCTCCTCTTTCCCTCTCCTCCTCTTTCTTCCTCCTGCCCCAGAAGGCTATCATGGGTTGTACAGATTGCTCTTGCCTGCGGTCTAAATCGACTGCTTGCAGTCAGCTTCCCCCACTCCTTAATTTCTCCTCCCCTCCCTTTCCCCCATCCTTGCCAGAGATCTAAACCAGATGTGGAGAACCTCAGGCCTTGGCAGCCTCTCTCTCTGGGCTTTTGGGAATCTCCCCAGGCCATGGGCGCCAGGTGCCCAGGTCCCTGAGCGCTCCAGCCCCCACAACATTCCCCATGAAGGGGTCAGGCACCCACAAATTTTTGCACACGCCATGGGGCATGCTGACATCAGGCAATTACATCAGCAGGCATGCTGACGTCGGATGGGCATGCCAATGGCATGTGTGGCCCTGGGCACCCGCGGTCCTGTGGGCAAGCTGGCAGGTCTGCCTCAGGCCCCCCCTGCCTTACCAGCCCATAATTCCTACTGATCTAGTCCCACCTGTTCCCACAATGGCCAAGCCATTGTCTATGAGAAACCGACAAACTGGACATGAGCGCAACAGCAATTATCTCTGCGCTTTGCAGCATCTGGTATTCAGAAGCATCCTGTCCCCATTACTGGAAAACAACAACAACAACAATTTATATCCCGCGCATCTGGCTGGGTTTCCCCAGCCACTCTGGGTGACTCCCAAAAGAATTAAAAGCACAATAAAACATCGAACATTAAAAACCTCCCTGAAGGGCTGCCTTCAGATGTCTTCTAAAAGTCAGATAGTTGTTTATTTCCTTGACATCTGATGGGAGGGCGTTCCACAGGGCAGGCGCCACTACCAAGAAGGCCCTCTGCCTGGTTCCATGCAACCTCACTTCTCGCAGCGAGGGAACTGCCAGAAGGCCCCAGCACTGGACCTCAGTGTCTGGGCTGAATGATGGGGATGGAGACACTCCGTCAGGTATAATACACAGCCATCCTTGCTGCTAGCCATTCATAGACTTGGATTTTTCCATTTTTGACTCCCCACCCATTTTCACCCTCTTTCTCTTCACCCTTTCCTACCCCCACATTAAAGTAGCTTGAGAGCTGTATGTGATCCTTGGAGCACAGGTTCCCAAACAATTTTACATAAAGTGCAGACCCATTTGAGATGTCAGAAGTATATGGAAGAAATTAATATTAAGTGCTGTAAAGCATAGTTTAGCAGATGTGTATACACAAGTATGAACCATGATGTTCTAATGTCTTTTACAGAATTGTATTCAGTAAAAATATTTTTGAGCAAGGACCATTTCTGGTCTCACTCTGCAATGAGGAAATCTCACAGCACCCTCTAGTGTACAGTCTTTGACTACATGCCAAAAAGTAAATAAAAATCAGCATAAAGAGGAGAAATGTAAGAAGAACCCATTAGTCCATCTAGCCTAGCATCCTGTTGTCACAATAGCCAAAGAGAAACCTATGACAATCCTCTTTTTAAGCCATCCAAGTTGCTGGCCATCACTTGAAAGAATGAATCCCATAGTTTAAGTGTTTGGTGAAGTACTTTCTTTTTGATGTCCCCGAATCTTCCATTGTTCAGCTTCATTCCCTGAGTTCTACTATTAGCATCTCTCTCGCCATTCTCTCCACACCATGCATAATGAGATATACCATTGTCAAAGGGTTTCTTATTCTCCATTTACCTTCTAGACAGGAAAAATTGGAAAGGGTATTTTGGTTACTGGGTCCCACTTATGTAAGTGCAATTGCACAGTATGCCCCATAGAATGAGGTTTCTGTGAATTAGCAGAGAGAGCCAATTTGTTTTAATGCGACTAAAAAGGGACTAAAAAGAGGCAGACTTGGGAGTGAGTAGACAGAAAAAAAGAGAAAGGCAGACATATATGGCCTAAAAACAAAAAAGTGGGTCCTGTGTTTAGGGATGCAAGAAGGCAACCAATTTCTGTTCCAACTGTATTTCTCACAATCAGCAATGTTTCCTTTCTGCTGCCATTCGGTTTCCACTAAATATTGTGTTATTTATATTGCTGTCTACTATTTAATGTAATTTATGCAATTAGTTACATAAGTTACTTAAATTACAAACTTAACACAATGATGTAATTATTTCCACACCATCCATTTCAACGCAGTTATGTTTCATTTGTAGACTGAAAAACAACAATAATGATGAATTCTGATCAGTATTCATTGGATTGATTGCCATTCTGGGCATGGCATGAATAAGCAAACATTGGCAGTTTCTGCTTCTGTTCCCATTTTTGTTGGAATTCTCCAACATGCCCTACTGTCTGCAGTTAAAGACTGATCCCTGAACTGAAAAGCTGAAGGATGTTTGAATCTGGCCATTAAAGAGCGACCAAGCTGATAATCTGAAAATAGCAATACTTTTATTTTATTCTCTGTTACATTGTTAAGTGTTCTCCATTTTCAGAAAACAAGAGCTCTAATTTGGAAAATAATGCACATACAAAGATCCTCTAGGAATTTACTATACAGAAATATACAAAGCCTTTTCATGTTAGTATCTTTAAAGTACAGAGTTAGAATACCAACATCCTAAATCTTTTGATTAGGTACATGAATCAGGTACATGTCGTTCACTAACATTGTCTAAACTTCAAAATATGAACAAGTCACCTGGAGGAGGAGGAGGAGCAGGGGGTAGAAAGAAGACAATGTTTACATATATCTACAACAGTGCAAATGTATCACAGCGTGCAAGCAGCAATAGTCTCTAAAACAGCAAAACCAACAGGAATCCAAAGTAATGCCGGGGGTGCATTACACATCCAAGAGAGGAGAGCTAGTTGACAGACAGCAACCTTGACTAAACTGGTGTCCTCTAGTTGGTTCGGGGCCACAACTCCCATCAGCCCCAGCCAACACAGCTGTTGATGGGGTAGATGGGTGCTATAGTTCAAAACATCTGGACAGCATCAGCTTAGTGAAGGATCTCATACAGTATATGCACACTTCAGCACGCTGAGTTTTTGACATTTTACTTGCATTGACTCTTGCGTTTTGTTTTTATTTATTATTTTTCTTTTTTAAAAAAACCCCACCCACATACATACACACATTAAGTATCTTAAATAACTAAATAAGGTTTAAGGGCAACAGCTCGCTGCATCCGAGAGCCAGTATTGTACAAATAGTTCAAATCCACCGTCAGCAATACCATACACTACAACTCACATACAGAAAATCATTTTTTAAAAAGATGGATGCCTCATGATCATTAAAAAAAGAACAATTCAATGTTTCATTTAAAGCTACAAGGACAAATATTGTTGGATTCTTTTTAGACTATCAGGCTAGTAAAATTTCGGCAAAACCTGAGGAAGAGAAGGAGCTCCACAGACTATTTAGTACTTCCAGGTTTCTAACAGATCACATAAATAAAAGGAAAGATAATCCTCTGGAAAATACACTTACAGTGCAAGCACAAGCCTAATCCTGTCTACTCAGAAGTAAGTCCTATTGAATTCAATGGTACTTACTCTTGAGTAACTGGGGTTAGACTTCATGTCAGTGCTGAGATCTAGAGGCCTAAATGAATATATAGACCTATAAAATTTCCTACTTTTGATTTCATTTTTTTTGAAAAGCAAACACCTTGAGCCCTTTTCACAAGAAAACTGCAGGTGCGTTGAATGTGTAGAGAGAGAAGGAAGAGGAGGAAGATTGTGGCTACTGTTGCTGACCCCAATGCTTGCATGTTCAGCCAAGTGCCTGAGCCAAGTCGATGCACATACCAGGTGTATGAGTGATATGGGACCCTGTCTTTTGCTGGGTTCCTGACTGTGCATAGTCCATACGCATGCAATCTGCAAGCACATAGGGCCTATTTGCACATAGGAGGGGGAACAGTGGGCACAATCCTGAGTCGTCCCCCCACCCCATGCATTCATGAAATATGTGAAATGAGCTTCTGAGAAAGCAAGAAAGGAGACCCCGATGTTGGAATAAGTTGATAGGAACTGTGCAGTTTCCCTTTTTAACTTTTACACAAATGTCATTTCAAATGCAACATTTCCTTTGCCATTTTAAGACCCACTTGAGTGTCCTTTTTAAATGGAAAAACATCGTTTGGGCAGGATTCAGTACCTAGTTGGAATGCCAGAGGCGTTATGAACATTCCACGATTGCTTTGAGGTCAGGTGTCTCACCCATTGCTATGATAACAGATGGCTCACATGCTGTATCAAACATTCCCATTGCCAAGCGCTTCCACAAGCAACAACAATAGCATGCACAATTGTAACTCCTGTGGAATTACAGTGGCTTCCCCCCCCTTTTTCTAAGCCGCTAAGCCGCTAATAGCCTTTTAGCAGCTAATCCGCTAAGCCGATAAACCTTTAATAGCCACTAAACCGCTAATAGCGCTAATCTGCTAAGCCGCTATTAGGGTTGCTTCGCAAGACGAAAAAACCGCTAGACGAAGACACTCGCGGAACGGATTAATTTCGTCTTGCGAGGCACCACTGTATCGCCAGCCGCAGAAGCAGAAGATAACTGCTATAGCTATGAATACATAAATGATTGAAAAGAAACAATCTGCCACTGGTGCAATTCTTTCACAGTTCCCCTTCCAAAAATAAATAATTCTCATGTTTTAGTTTTGTAATGGAATGCACCAATACAAGTGGAATTATTCAAATCTGCTAGATACTAAGCCAGGAACATGTTTTTTCAGTGCATGATTCACAGAGTAAATAACCAGCCTTCATCTACCTGCTGTGCTGGCTGGTCATCATGGGAGTTGTAGTCCAACGACAGCCAGCGGACACAAGGTTGGCATGGGCTGTGTTATACAATTCATCACACTGAAAAGGAGCTATAAGAATAATCATAAGCCACCGGTAATAGAATTTGACATTTCTCTATAATTATGGGGCACAGCCTCTGTAAAAGCAGCTAGTGACAGGTCATACCAATCCCAAAACCAATATAAAACAAAATGCGCTAAATCATCCACTAACATTGCGATAATTGAAACTTAAATATACAATGACTAGTGTCATGCTTGCTGTATTACGGTAACAAAAATTGTTCAATATATTTCTGGATCGACTCATTTCCTTGTTAAAATTTCATTTTCCAAGCCGGGTCCCACGGTGTCAGATGTTTATTTATTTATGAGAAAGTATGCCATGGAGCAACTGGGTAGAAATAAGAATATCATAAATGATTGCGGCAAAAAGAAAACAATCCAACTTTAAATTCCCAAAACTGAAAATACAAAATGGACATATTGGCAAGGTAATTTGAGGCTATTATGGAAAGCATCAAGAAGCCAGTTCTTCTTGCCCAATCAGGTTCTGCTTCATCTTAAGTAAACCCATGACATCTAATTCATCGTTCGCAAACTGTGGAAGGTTGATTGTGGCTATATCCTACAATCAGATGACATTTTGTGACATTCACCTGCTCTAGGCAGTTTTAGCCCTTTGCCTCTACATGGCAATATATGGAAGATGGATTATTATGGTCAATCATGTCTGATTTGATGCATGGACAAAGTGGACAGCTGAAGGTCTCCTGCCACCAGCAGGAAATATGTTGTCCCGAGTGCAGAACTGATGTAAAACATCAGCTTGGAACATAAGAACACAAAGAGGTGTCTTGAGTTTTCATTTCATCTTCCATCAACTTCCTGTTGTGCACTTGTTCCGTTTTTAATCAAATTTTGTGCGTGAGGGAAAGGTTTACACACTCACCACAATTTCAATCGAACACAAGTGTTGCATTTAAAACCCATCACTGACTTATACTGAAAGCTGTGACAGCTTTCTGATAAAAGAGGCACCAGAATAAAACCCAACCCAACAGATTACCACCATATGCAAATTGGAAGGTTCTCTTTCAGCATTCTTTCACTTAAAAGTGAAGCGTCTTAAAACTTGGAGGTGGGGGGATGGGACAACATCACATCAGAATGATCTGCTCATTGTATTATGATTTAATGATCTCAAGTTGAAAGAGTTGTGCCTTTAATACGGGTTTTTGTAACTTTTTAAAAAACAGAAACCTGTTTAACCTGAATTACAATAATGAATTTGAGGACACTCAACTAGATAAGAAGTCTGGTTATTTGAACAGCTCCCAGATTACAATGACAGGCATACACTGTCACATCAGATTACTGTTGCTTTTGGGTAAGGTAGACCTTATGGGTTCCTGGAAGCCTGCCTGCACTTTGGGTCTCTAGTTAGTGGTGCAGATTTGAATCCCGGCCATATGTAAAAAGGAAAGAACTTATTATCTCTAGCAATATAAATCTGTTCACAAAACAATCTAAATTGTATTAAAATTTGCCATTTATCACTCTAGAAGCCAATACCTCTCCTTCAATCTTCCAATTTGTGGAGAGGGAGAGACACCCAGAAGCTGTGGCTTATTCTAGCAGTTTTGGTTTAACAAAGATCTCTCTGAAGTGCTTAAAATAGTCTGTTGAACAATGGCTCTTCTAGATTACACGCACAAAAGGGAATCTCACTGTGATCCAATTTCTCTGAGTGGGCCATTTTATCTAGTTGCTGAATGAGCTGCTGAAACAAAACCACTTCTGGCCTGAAAACAGCCTTATTTGATTCGCTCATAAAGTCAACATAATGCCATTCATTCAATTTCCCAACCTGAGTGCACTGGGCTGAACTTGGCATGACATTTGGATCTCTTCCAGATCTAGGGTGCTTTACTGACTTCCTACTCTGTTAATTTTCCATATCGCCCTTTAAACTGCTGGGTAAACCCACAATTACTATACAAAATTCTGCCAATATACAGAAGCACATTGGCTTGGCAGAGATCAGGAATGCAGAGCCAACTCCCTTCCAATTACCCTGCGTTCATTTTACGAGGCTGATTTGGTCCGAAAGGAAAGCAAAATGTTAATGGATGGCAAAAATTGGTTAATTATTGTTTAGACCTGGGATAGTCAACGTTGTGCTCTCCAGACTTATTGGGTTCCAACTCCCATCAGTTGCAGCCAATGGTCAAGGGTGATGGAGTCTAACAGAATTTGGACAGCACCCCGTTGGCTGCCTCTGTTTAGACAACTTGGTTGCAATCTAGCAACCAAGCAATCCAGCAAGCTTGAGCCATTTTATTTCAATGGGGTTAGGACAGTAGAGAATGGTATAGTGGGGCAGTGATGCCCACTTGACCTCCTGACAACTGAGGAGCTGCTGCTTACCAGAAGGAGAACAGCAAGGCAGTGGGGAGGTTGACATGAAGCAAATGCAGCAGATGAGCCAATCCAGCACTCCTGCTGATGCGTTTGCAGCATGCTGACCTCTCGGTCATATCTCCTTTCCCCCTCTCCCTCCTGTAAGTAGCAATGACTCAGCTGTTGGGAGTCCCCATGCTGCTTGCTACTGGGTTAGAGCCACCGAGCCTCTGTGTTGGGTTATAATGGCAGTATGTTTTGCGAGAAATGTATGTTGGAACTCATGAAAAACAGAACTGATGACTTTTGTTATACATGCTGGCCTTGCAAAAACCGGAAGAACTACATATGCACTAGAGAAAACTTTTACTATTCCATAAGGAGTCATGACATTGCACCATTGGCAATTCTCCCTTCTGTCAATATCTGTGTTATTAAAATATTTTAGAACATTCAAACACGTGTTTAGATCTGATTCTATTTTGCTTAGACTGCCTCAGATTCCCAGTGCAGGAACACTCAAGCTTTTGCATCCATGGGAGGTAGTTAAATGTGGACAATGAATATTTCAAATACCATAAGAAACATGGGTTGAAAGAATATCCTGAAAGAAAAATGCTAAAAGGAATCATCTGTGGTCAGCTTATAGATAAGATGCACTTTTTGCACCCTAGAATTCTTTTTACAGAGTTAGTGGAATTTGACATTTCATTCTAATATTGTGATTTGGGAGTATGAGACCAGCTCATGAGAATAAAGCTCTAGAAATCTGTATGTAAAGAAGACAACAGATATCAAATTACTTATATATCCTTTCTTTTAAGAAAAAAACCCATTCATTTGATAAAGGTTTGACGAATCTGCAGACATCTGTTTTCATGGGGGATTTCTTGTGGGGAAAATACGTGCAAAAATTCAGGAAACTTGCAGTGATGCAACAGGATGAGATAATATATTCCTCACATTTTTGCAGGACATAGAAGAAAGATCCCCAGCCATTTTTTTTACCTTGTTGCCACATGAGTACAGCTACCTTACAAGAAAACACAGCTTCCATGAGAAAAAATTCCTGTGATCAGCAGCAATGGCTCCCAGATGTGAAACAAGATTCCCTTCTAGTTTGTCTTCCTAGTTAAAGCTAGAAAGCATAAAAGAAATATGACCAAACCCAGTCAGTTCACAATCATGGTTAACTATGCACCCATTAATCCACCAGGACATGGTTTTCTATGGGCTAGATCACAATCCCACTTGCAACTCGGCACTGGAGACTTGTCTGCCACAATCAGACAATAACAACAGTCTACAACTGAATGTTGTTTGCTGCATCTGCTTCCTCTCTACCTCTCTGCTCGAATCTTGTATCTGAGGACAAAGTAGGCAATGAGGCGTAAGGAGATGAAGAAAATTCCAAGCACGATGAAGTCTAAATAAAGTTTAGCATTTTCTACATCCAGCTCTTTGAGGATGGCCTCTGATTTTTGAAAATGGCAAGTTTCATCTTTGTCGCAGTGGAGATCTTCCCGATCCAAACCATAGATGGATAGAATGACACCTTCAAATCCGTATCTAGAGAAAATAATAGTTTCCAAGGTCAAAGCGGAATCAAATCTATCAGGCAAAAAATAATAATCAAGTACCTTAAAACAACAGTAATTGAATTAATTATTGCTTAAGGGGTTGGCCATTTTAATCACTATATTTACATCCATGACGATCCACGTACAGTCCCAAAGCTAAGCCATAAAAGCAATAATGACAATATCAGTAGCTTTAGTTTCTGCTTGTGATTGTTATGTGTTGCACAGTGGGAATATGATGCTAGATCTGGATGCAGTTCTGAACCACTGCTCAGTCATGAAATTCGCTATGAAACTCCGGACAAATCATAAGATCTTACTAACCTAATTGACAGAGTTGTTATGAAGGTAAAATGGGGGGCATACATCAGAAAACAAGCCAGCTGAGCAAAGAAAAAAAATCCCTAAACAAATATTACTGGATACCCAGATTAGGTAAGAACAATCCTAACTGCAGAAGCAGTTTCCCATATATGAACTCAAACTAATTCTTGCTAGATTGTAGCCATGTATGAAACCATCAAACAGATGGCACCCCTCACCATATCACTGTTTTGGCTTTATCAGCAGGGGAAAAGGGATGCCCCAGCCTTTGGTAAAGGAGAAGCTGGGAGATGAGATCGTCTTCCCTTTTTTTGCTGTTTCACTGACTTGGCTTAGATTCTTCATTAGATTTTGATGTGTGTATTTCTGTCCTGGGACCTTCAGGTGAAGGGTGGAGCATAAATGCTTTAAATAACTAAATAAATTCCAGTTTCTGCAGACTGGTCACCTGCTGGGAAGCTGGCAAGGGCGATTAATTGAAGAAAACCTGCAAGGATCTGTAAAGTGGGGCACTTCCACAACTCTGTATAATGACATAAGGCTAAAACTTCCATTTCTTCAGTAGAAAAAGGCAGAAAGATGTATTGCCTAGCTGTGGTCACACAGGGAGTATGTGCTAACACTCTCTGAACTAAGCTTTGAAAACAGGATTCTCTGGCTCAGGTCCTATATGCTATCAAGTTGATCAGACATAGCCAAACATGGCCCCTTTAAACTCAAACCACACCCATCCATTTCATGCACATGCTCTCATTTTAAAAAAGTGCTAACTCTCTGAACCAAGAGGATGCATTAATCAATGGTGCAACTTTATTAGAATTGCACTTGAAGTGCCAGTCAGCACCCTTCACATTTACCTGACATATGAGATGTAGGACAACCATTGGAGGTAAGCTGGAATGGTATCAAAGCTGACAAAAAATCCTGAGAAGAGGAGAACGGGGATGGCTGTAACAGGGCCTACAAATGTTGCCACCTATAACAAAAAAACAGGCAGATATCAAGATTAAAAACTAAAGCAAAACGAGGGTTGCATTTTTGCCAGACCCATCACTAACAGAAGGCTTTTCAGTGCCAGTGGCATTTGTTGGAAGGCATGCACCATCCTTAAGCATGCCAATAAACTGAAGCTACAATTGCCGAAAGGAACAGGGATGTGTAATACAGCCTTCGCCAAGTCGGTGACCTTCAGAGCTCTTGGGCTATATGTCTGATCTTCAGCTCAGTTGGTAGAGCATGTGACTTTTAATCTCAGCGCCAATGGTTTGAGCCCCACATTGGGCAAAAGATTCCTGCATTGCAGGGGGTTGGACTAGATGACCCTCGTGGTCTCTTCCAACTCTATACTTCTATGATCTCATCAGTGCCCACCAGCATAGGCTGATGGGAGTTGTAGTCCAACACATGTGGAAGGCAGCAGCAGCTTGGCCAAGGCTGGTGTAATATCACAAAAAAGCAAGAGCCAAGACCTGGAGTGAAGTGGATGCTGCCCCAATCAGAAGCCCCAGTGACTGAGCCACGAGAGATGTCATTGTCCCCAGTGCTGCAAACAGGACAAATCGGAGCGCATCAGAGGGTTGTGCGGTCATCCAGTACACAATGCTACAATATGCTACAGGAAACATAATCTGCAAAGAGATAGACATCTTTTAAGGAATATGGCATTATACAACTTCTTTCTTTTTTGATATAAATACCATATTTTTCCATCTATAAGACGCCCCCATGTATAAGACGACCCCTATTTTTTCAACCCAAAATTAAGAAAATGGACTATGCACTATCCGTGTATAAGACGACCTCTTATTTTAAACTTCAAAAAGTTAGGAAAAAATATAGTCTTATACATGGAAAAACATGGTAATCGGCACTGTTTTTTGCTTAGGGGAGGGAGGAATGGGAGCTTCCTGCTACATCAGCTCTTTATGGTATCACTGTAGTTTGGCATCTTTCCTCCCCACATCCAGTGATGGAACACATGGGAAGAGGAAGAATACATTTTCTTCATCTCATCATGTAAGCCATATTGGTTTAGCAACTGAACTTCAACCAGTGTCACCAGCACCTTTCAGAAGAGCGCTAACCATATTCTGAAATTCACTTTTGTTGTTTTTAGAAAATATATCACATAGTGGTGTGCAGAATGTTTGTCTAAACTCTCTGCATACTGCCCCTACCCCCAGATTGCTCCAAGGGAGGCCATGCCACCAGCTGTCATGGTATGCCTTGTCCCCAGCGGTGGAGCATATGCCCACACTCACCAGGGTGGGCACGCTCCTGAGGGGGGGCAGGGCGCACTCCTGAGGGGCAAGGGGCATGGAGGGTGCCCTCCCAGGTGTGGGATAGTGGCTCGTGTGCACGGAGCGGTGCACCCCCTGCAGTCAAGGGTGGAGCGAGCCACCAACGGTGGACATTTGGCACGCCGTGTGCTCGTGACTGCCAAATGTCACCCCCTCAGCGAAGACACCCAGGGCGGTCCGCTCCCACCTCACCCCCTTCCTCCGCCCCTGTCTGTCCCCACTGCAAAGCTGCCCCACATGCACCCATTCATTTATATGGAAAAGATAACTGAGTGCGTTCAGGATTCCTACTGTTTTGCTGTTCTACAAAATTACAGAGAGAGATGTGAAAAGACAGATCTACCTGAAAAGGGACGTCAGCCATCGTTTTAGCCAAGTAGTAGGCCTTCAGACTGTACCAGTAATTCAGATGTTCTCTGAGAAATACGCCCATCTCTAGAGGAACTATGTTGAACAATTAAAACAACAACAACAGATAAACTGATTGCAATTGTAGATTATAACATTACAATTCAAATGTGATAGCTGGGCTTTACAAGGTGGTGTTCCTTGTATTCAGTCAGCATAAAGGAGCAGGTAAAGTGGAAGAGGTCCTAGGTTTGCAGCTGCGGCTTACCAGTTCCACAGCTAACTTCATGTGATATGAGGTGAGTGACGAGTGGGCCTAATTTGGCCCATGGGCTGCAAGTGCCCACATGGACCTCCACTGCCCTGGCCATACCTGCTCATGCTTCACCAGTTGGGGGGTGATTTTACATGCATGCACTGGTCATCACTGTAAGCATGTATTCCTTTTAGAGGAAAAGCAGGATCCTATATCTACCTATGTATATATTCATATATGAATTTTATAAATCCTGTAGGTGGCCTATCAAGTTACTAGCTGTAGACACAGAAAATACGGAATCACAAAAGGCTGAATGGTGGTTTACTTCTGTGTCACAACAATTTGTGGGCAATGAACAAAGACAACACACCATTTTGGGATTTTAATAGTAATAATAATAATAATAATAATAATAATAATAATTGTAAAGGCCATTACATTTCCTTGTTTGATTAAAATCAATTAAATAGTCAAGAGGGTGGAAGCCAAGTCACTGGCAAAATTCTCTCAGATTTCAACAGCATCACAGAAATCCTAAAAAAATGCCTCCTGCACAGGTCATGACTCACATGTAAGGACTGTTGGCATGAGAGCAGCAAACATGAGAAACAACATGGAAAAGAAGAGGAAGCCAGAGTTGCTCAGGACTTTTTTGGCTTCGTTTCCGATCCCCAAGTACAGCAATCCTATGAGGAGTCCAATGCCAATGTGCGATGTGATCCGCAGATGCGTCAGGACCTGGTAGGAAGGTAAAGATATGCTTGTGTTAAGAATGTTTTGAGTTGACAAGTGCTGTAACATAGCTTAATTTGGTAGATATGGATCTATCATTTGTATACCGTACAACAGCCTATTCACATTCCATACCAGCCTCCTCCAAGCTAATACATGTTTGGGACTTCAACTCTCATCATCGTTTGGACATTCCTAGAGGGAGGAGTTTTTTTTTTTAAGCATTGAAACCAGCCTTACCGAATCCCTCATTATGGTGAGAAATGTTCTTTTAAACAGAATGCAGAACTGAGTAAGGCAGCTGGCTGAGAAGCTGTGACAGCCTTCTGTGGATGAAGAATCCTGAAGGAATAGACAAACAAAAAGGTAGTTAAATGTACCACTCAGGACAGGTTTTGGATCAATGAATGCAAGAACTCTGTTGAATGAAATGAAGGACCCATCTAGTCAAACATCCTCTTTGCAACAGCAGCCAAGCATATGCTTCTGAGATGCCCACCAGCAAGGTAGAAAGGGGACACTTCGCCCTTGTTCTTTGGCCGTCTCCCAGCAACCAGTATATGGTTGTACACTAGAGCTGGTTGTTCCCCCATTCAGCCATTGTCACCACTGTTGGATTTATCATCCATGAATGCATTTAATCCCTGTTGAAAAACCAGTGCCCATTGCCACACAACTTAATGGTGGGTTGCGGGAACAAGTGCTTTCTACCTGAGTTTCCCTTCAGTCTCAGATGAGGAGAAAGAATGTTAAGCACTTGCAAATAACTCTGGATGAAGCGCTTCACGTGAACATGACGTTTCGGGCTTTAATTTTTTTTAAAACTCAGCTCAGATTTTTTTTTCTTTTTCTTTTTTAAAAAACTCAAATATGAATGTTATTGACCTTTTATTTTTGTTGTTTATTTCATAAAATTTATATACTGTTTGAGTGTAAATAAATAAATAACCCTCCAAGCAGTTTACAAGAATAAAGGCACAATGATAAGGCAAGAATGATAAGCATCAGCTTGTCAAATTGAGATTTTGTTTTGACTCCCTCCCTCCCCAAAAATCCCATAGCATTGAGAATATTGGAAGAAATCAATTAAGGAGAATGTGAATATGAATGCTTTCAAACAAATTCAAGGGTTGTATAAAACTAAGTTTTGTTTAGAGAGGACCCACTGAAACAAATGGACTTCAGTTAGTCACGCCCATTGAATTTAACAGAACTACCCTGAGTAGAATTAACGTTCGATATAACCCCAAGTTAGGAGAATTTGCTTAACAATCTTGCTTAGAAGTCTTGGCTGAATAAAACATTAATAACAAAGTTCATTTCCATGCAAATGTCTCCTCAAATGTCTGGTTTGTGTAACCTGGGCGCAATGGCACCCAACCATAATGCAGAATTGCCATTCTTGAACTACTTATTTCTGGCTTATGGCAGTAGCATTGCACCCCCCCCCCCCAAAAAAAAGGTGATTGAAGGGCTGTAGCAACTAGCTTGATCGCCTTTCCTCAGCCATTTAAGTCACAATTTTCATTTAAATTACCTCTTCAGATGGTCTGTGCCATAGGAAAGGGTTAAGTTCACTTTCTCCCCCAGAGTTTCTCTTGAAATCGGCATCGCACATTCCCTCTCGGACTGCCCTTACTAGACGAGTGTTCTGGTCTCCATACTCTCCGGAGGCAACTTCCATCACTAAACAGAACAGAAAAGAATCATTCCATCCTCCTCTATGTGAAATAGTCATGGAAAAGGCAAAAGGACAGGTGCACAAAGCAATCTCAGCTGGCAGGTATATTCAGAAGTGGGTGCAGAGATATTTTTGTGCATTTGTGTAAATGGTGGACCCTAAAGTTCAAATGGTAGCAGTAGCTATCTCAATACTCCATGCATTTGAGAAAGTGGGCTCTAGATTACAACAGCTACTGAACACATGATTATTTTGGATGAGGCTTCTATCCTACTGGACCACTGAGGATGGTAAACTGTGTTCCACGGGGGGGGACGGGACGAAACTGTACAGCAGAAATAGGGAACCTGTGCTCTTTCAGATGTTGTTGGAACTACAAATCCCATCATTCCTGACCACTGCTGATTGGTGGGAGTTGAAATCCAATATCTGAAGAGCCCCACCCCTGCTATTAAAGCACTATGAAAGACAATTGCAACTGGGACGCAGAAACTGCATCCAGAAATTATTTCAAAGAGTACGAAATTTTGGAACAAAATCCAGCCATGGCAATCTAAGAAATTCAACAATCCTTTGGTCATAGCAGGTTTCTGGGACAAGGAAATGCTTGTAGCATCTAAACCTGTGATATTTTACTTCTGAAGAAATGCAGGTCACGGGTTGCATGCAGAGATACAATATGAATTCAATGCAGCCTGTTCATAAGTTATGATGAACGCATGACAGGGGCAGGGGTTGCAACTCTGTAAGCCACACACCCCAGTATGTTCACTCCATGAGCAACATCATAGCGCAAACTAGGATTATTAGACAGTTCCTGAAGAAGGTCACCTGCTCTTCAGACATGCAGTACACACTATACTGGCACTTTAAATGAAAGCTGGACTATAGAAGTAGCTAAAAGCATGTTGCTGCCTTCCCCAATGTGGTGCCCACCAAATGTTTTGGACTACAGTTGCCATTATCCTGTAGTCCAAAACATCCAGGGGCAACAGGTTGCAGAAGTCAGGACAGTGATTGTAACAGCTTTGAAATATGTTATAGGCTTAATCACAGGACTAAGTGTAACACCTTGTAAGACCAGACCCATATGATTGTAATATACAGTGGTACCTCTGGTTACGTACTTAATTTGTTCTGGAGGTCCATTCTTAACCTGAAACTGTTCTTAACCTGAAGCACCACTTTAGCTAATGGGGCCTCCTGCTGCCACCGTAGCACAATTTCTGTTCTCATCCTGAAGCAAAGTTCTTAACCCGAGGTATTATTTCTGGGTTAGCGGAGTCTGTAACCTGAACTTGAAGCGCATGTAACCCGAAGTACTAATGTATAGGGTTGTCCACTAATTAAATAATTATCATTGAACACCCCCTGACATTTATTTGGTTACCTTTACTTTATATGTTGATGAAATGCAGGGTTGCCATACGTCCGGAATACTGCAGTCGCAAACAGGTGAAAATTGGTGAAATGTCTGGGAAAATCTGGACATATGGTCGCCCATGTCGGTAGTGTCATTTTTGATGATTTTGCTCAGAAATAGTTAAAAAATGTCCCCCCCCCCCAAAAAAAACCCCACCTCAACAACTTTGCCAAAAAAAATCTCTGGATTTTCATTTTCTGAAATATGGCAAGCCAGTTTGAAACTTTTAAAATATCAAATTTATTAGCAAGTCCAGCCACTACGGTTTCAAAATTCAAATAAAACTGGACTTCTTGGATTTTTCTATTGAACAGAAGGAAGAACTTCAGGAAATTCAGATTTTTAAAATCATTTCAGTTGTTCTGGGGAAATGATGGTAGGAAACGAGACATGACATTGCCTGTGCCCAAATTTTTCATTTCTAATAACTTATTCATGTGCTGAGTTCAGCATGCTTGCCTACCACTAGAGGGTGTGATTTAACAAGAAAGAGGTTATCATTTTATGACATATATTAAAAATAAATTTCCGTTTTGCTCTCAAGAGCTTGTTCAAAACAAAAACAAATAAGCACAACCAAGAAATCAATCCATTTGCTCACCAAAATCTGCTGGATTGTGGTACGTTGGACAATTTAAACCCAAATCTCTCAAGTAAGGGACTAGGTTTAACACTTTCCCACGGTAAATGCACTGCCCTTGGCTCAAGACATAGAGCTGAAAGAAAGAAAAAGAACAAATGATAAATAATACTCGAGACTGGCTGCCTTGTAAACCTATTCAGTACACCACTATCTGATCAGAGGGAAAAGTAGCAAGATTCCTTGCTAAGAGTCTAAATCAAAGGACACTGCGACACAGCAACGTCCGAGGGATTTTACTATACTTTTCAGGAAGCAATGCGATTTCTCAGAAGTAAGTAGTCTCAACTCTGAGACCTTCACTTCTGGAAAACACATGAAGAGTTTTTATCTACTAAACTCTGTCTTCAGACACATAGTGGAAAACAGGCTGAACATGAAACCATCAAAGAAAGAGGAGTAACCGAGCAAATTGATTCTATAATTGTCATTCTTCACTTGCTTTTCACTGAGGGCCCCTCCGGACTAATACTTCATTGTAGGTTCATTCTGCAGCACAGTCCTGATACAATGGATCCCTCTGCCAGGACTCTGCTGTAAACTGCTCCCTCCCTTGCAAAGGAGTTGCAGTTATGTTGGGGTTTGTTTGCATGCATCAGCAGATAATGTTTAATGAGGCCCTCAGAGCACTTTAAAGTGTCACCCAATCCCAGCTGTGGCTCCTTGGAAGCAATTTTTTCCAACTGTAATGACTGAAAAACGTGCTGCCGTGATCATGAAAATCACCTCCAGGGTGGTGTACGTTAGGTTCTCTGTGTGAATAGATCCTCAGGAACCATCAAGATCCAACCTATCAGTCCATTGACTTCTCTGTGACACACAAGGTTTCCATATAAAAAGGGGACGTCGACATGCAGGCATTTTCAAACAAGCAGTCTCCCAGAGGAACTTCTGAGGTAGCAAAATTTCCTGAGTATATGTGGAGTGGAACTGCCTTTAAGGCCACCTCAGCACAGAATAGCCATGGTTCTGTGGGAGTGCATCTTCTTTCCATCCAGCTAGGGGTGGGAAAGCCCCCTCTCTGAATGACTCTGGAATGCCACTGCCAGGCAGCATCGATACCACTGAGATTGATGTGCAGTATCAGCCTCACATGAAGCTTATGCAGCGAGGAAAAGAGAGAGAGAGAGGAAATATACATGCTCTTGGCTATGAAGTGAGACTCGGAAGCTATTCTATCTGTATGTCAGTGCAATGAGATCTCAGATACAGTATTGTGGCCTAGGAAATTAGATGCAGCTGTGAGTGCACTCTTTATACATTCATGTGTGTGGCAAAAAAGAAATCAAAATAAGTACCTGGTCAAATTGCTCAAAGAGTTTGGCACTGGGCTGGTGTATAGTGCAGATAATGGACCGACCACCCTGTGCTAAAGCCTTCATCAAGGAGACGACTTGAAAGCAGGATGCACTGTCCAGGCCGCTAAGAAGAAAAGGAGTTTGTCAGGATTGTTTTTTCACTCACTGATGTTCATAATAGCCCCTCTGAATTAAAAGAACAGAAGCTCCACAATCCCAACAGGGTTTGGGTAGGAGGAGATATTCCCAATGAGCTGTACTGGCTACCACCATTGGCTCTCCCTGGTTTTTCATATTTTAGTTTGGCAGCTACAAGATTGCGCTTAACATTATGCTAGAATGACTTCTTGTTCCCTAAAGCATCCTTCTCTCTCCACCTCACTTTCAGCTTTTCGTATCTTGCACTTGTTGGCCAACAATATACGTTCTAGTTTTCAAAGGATCTGGGACCTTACACATCTCAGTACACTTATGGCTGCCACTGTGGGCTTCTGTTTTATAAACTCAGGGTTCCCAATCCCTGGGACACCACATTTTTGGTTCTGCATTGCAACTTCTGGGTGCCCTATTAACAGCACTGCTTGGAAGTTGCCTGTGATGCATTGGCAGCCAGAGATTGCTGCTGAACGCATCACAGCAGGAGAAACAATGGCACCAACTGTTAGCAATCAGCAGAATCGGAACTAGTGAAGTCAGCATCATATTGTATATTGAACCATCGAATTGTAAGGTTGGTCATCTGGTTGAAACCCGCTGCAATGCAGGAATCTCAACTAAAACATCCATGACAGATAGTCATCCAGCCTCTGCTTTAAAAGGTACTGGTGAGCACATAAATTCCTTGTTAGGGGTTTAGGGGTGGGGGGTGGAATGGAGGGAGTAGAACTGGAACCATATAAACAAAGCAAAACATGAAATAAAATAAAAACATAAAGAGTTCAGGAGTGGGGAGATTAAGGAAGCGAAGGAACTACCTTTGGATGGAAGAAGGAATAATTAGATTGAATGATAATCAGTTTTAAATAAACTAAAACCAGAATGGGTTGTGGGGATTAATGAAGGGAAGGGATTGGCTTTGGATAAAAGATGAAAGAATAATAGGGAATAATAATCCACTACATGCATTCTAGCAATCAAGTATTTAAAAGTATTGGGTTTCTCCCTAGGCCCCATGCACTTTACCACATGACCCCTGGAGGGTGGGCCATGGATCAATGCGGTACTGCAAGCCATGCACTAAATGATGATGATGATACCATCTTTAGGTTGGAATACAAATTACCTGGTGGGTTCATCAAAAAACATAACTGGCGGGTTGTTCACCAGCTCCAAAGCAATAGCGAGACGCTTTCTCTGCCCCCCTGAAAGACTTCCAGTCCTCGTAGTGGCACAGGACAGCAAACCCAGAGCTGTCAGGATCTCCTTTACCTGAAATGAGGGACAACAAAGTATTTCAAAGGGTCTTCACAAGTGCTGTCCACATTCAACAGGGCGGGGAGCCTGCAGACCAGATCAGGACCTCCCGTTTGGTCCACTGGGGCAATTTTCAAAAACCCAAAAAAAGAAGATGCTATATCTGCTATCAGGTGTGGGGCAGGTAGAGATGTGTCTGGATCAGCTGCATGAGCCAATCCCTGCAGCAAGCAGGATTGAACCCCTCCCACCCATTAGCTGCTCGATTTGAGAACATTCATCAGTGCAATCTCTTTAACTCAGTTTGCGACGCTCTCTACAACAATGAATTTCCTTTCAACCACATACCCCAAACAACTATTTATACTGCTGTCTATACAAGATCAAAAGCTGAGCTGCAAATCTAGCTAAAATATAATATCCAGTTGTTAAATGAAGCATCCTTATAATTGTCTGAACGTTCCTATGAGTACTTTGAAAAGATTTTTCTTTCCTCTTTTATTCTTACATTGAGTGAAATTTAACCATTAACTGCTGGTTCTATAAATGGTAGGCAAGCAGCTGGGGCTTCTTTTTAATAAGCATGTCTTCAATCTGCCCTCACCCCAAAAAGCACAAAATTCGAATAGTTTATCCTAAATTCCTTTGTTACTGATATAAAGAGTGCTGCATACATATTTCATTCCCCACAAGCAAGGAGGAACTAATTTTTAGCTCAGGTTTCACAATTACATTAAAAATATTCAGTATGTTTCAGATTAATTCCTTGAGCAAAGTACTATACATACCATTTCTCTCCTGCCTTCATCTTTTTCCTGAAGTTTCAGATGAGCAGATACCTGAAATAGTAGGCCACACATAATCCTTGTTAGACACTCATCTCTGAAGACTCCATCAACTATCAACATGATTGACTAACTACAGTTCCCAGGATGCTTTGGGGGATGCCATGACTGTTTAAAGTGACATGATACTGCTTTAAATGTATAGTGCAGATGTGGCTTAATTCGGAGCCTTCTCTTAGATAATTGAAGCTCTTATACACAGGATGCCTTTGAGATTAGAATGCTTTTCAAACAAGCAATGCTTCTGTCTTGAGGAAGTGCTGAGGCATCAGATCAAGACCTGCATTTTAAAATGAGCTTAAAAAATATATTTGCAAATGTTTGTATGTCTCATGCCAGGCATAAAGCAGCTGGCTAAGTACTTTGGCAGATGTTTATCTCCTTGAACAGGGCCCCCCCGATTTATAACAGGAGACACGTTTCTTAAAGTTGTAAAAGGAAATTACAGGCTGGGAGCAAAAGGTCATATTGACCATACAAATTACAGAATACAATCAAGCTGCAAAAACACTAATTAAGAGTTGGTAAATAGTGAAATTTATTGTTTAACAGAAAATACCATGTGCCTCCCATCAGACTCGAGCCACATCTTCCTAAGGTTAAAGGGCAAGAGCTAATAGAAACAGCAGCTGGCTTGAAAGGGGGGTGTAAATTTAAGGGGTTGCTTTTGGAAACTGTTTTTACTAAGTTCCTTTTACTTTGAAAAGGCCTTTTCTTCTAAAAATCTATATATGTTATGTATGAAATATATTGGCTTAAATGTAATTATGCAAAGGATTTAGAAAGTAAGAAATGTTAGATTCTTATGTTAGATTCTTATTTCATTGATGGTGTGTGAGAAGGTGAACCCAAGATCTCTGTTTAAGATAAAAATTAAAACCATGAGCCATCTGTTTTAGCCATCTGTTTTGGAGTGAAAGGGCAATAGGGCAATAGGGCAAAGATGATCTAGTAATTAAGGTGCCTGGTCGAGGCAAATGTAAGATATATGGCTACTTGTCTGCCATTTATGGATAGAAGGAAATATAGCTCTTTGTCTCCCATAAAAGGTAATAGGAAATGGGTGTATCTTTTATGATTGGTTCTAGCAAACAGCCAATAGGAATTTCAACCAGGCTGATTGGACAGAGGCAGCCAAAGGAGGAGCAAGGGGGCTGGGCTGAGGAAATATAAGTGCTGGCCATCAGGGCTGGAGTGGGCAGAGCTTTGGTAACCATATACCACTGTGTCTCTCATTTATTTGTCTGACAAATAAATTATTATTTTAATTTCTCTATTGCTGCGTTGAATATTTCATTCCAGCTAAGCGTTAACCACAAGCAGGGTGCTACAGTGCAATCCAGCAAGAGTCCTTTACCACCTCTTTTCCTCCTTGACTCTGTATTTAAATCGTTTCTCATGATCAGACAAACCTTAGGAAGAAGAGAGTTGCATGAATGGCACACTTGGGAAGATTGGAAATCAGTTTGATGAGAGAGGAGAACAAATTGATAAAACACCGTGTACACCTCTCATCCCTTCAGACTATAACTTGGTTCAGCTTGACTCAAGTTGCTATGGAAAGGTAAGGTTTATTCATGTAAACATCTTACATAGGCCCCCATTGTATTTAAACATAAGGAGGAAGTCCATATTTTTATTCAGTGGGAAGACCCTCTTTATGTCTCCCTCCCTGTAATTTCCTGGTCTCTCTAAGAACCAAGAAGATTCAGAGTTCTGATCTTTGAGTCAATGAATTGCTTTCTGAATAAACAATGGGTGGGTAATCACACAAAGACACTTGGACTTAAGAGCCTGCTGGATCTAGTCTAGCATCCTGTTCTCAGTGTAGCCACCCAGATGGCTTCTGGGAAGCCTGCAAGCAGGACCAGAACACAACTGCACTCTTCCCACCTGTGATTCCCAGCAAATGGTAATCAGAGACATACTGCCTCTGACATAGCAAAGGACACATGAAGGTGTTGACAAAGCAAAAACAGTGGCCAATAGCAGCAGATTTGCTTTATTTTTTCCTTTGGGCAGCTACAATTAAAAAAAGAACTACTCTGAATCTTTTGATCCTAGAAGATATGTTTAAATAACATTTAAATTAATATTTTCCCCAAAAGTCCTCAGTATAATAATGCATTTAATCGCTGGAAAATGAGTACAGTGGTGCCCCGCAAGACGAATGCCTCGCAAGACGGAAAACCTGCTAGACGAAAGGGTTTTCCGTTTTGGAGGTGCTTCGCAAAACGAATTTCCTATGGGCTTGCTTTGCAAGACGAAAATGTCTTGCGAGTTCCTGCGGGGTTTTTTTCCTCCCCCCCCTTTTTCCCAAGCCGCTAAGCCGCTTATCAGCTGATCCGCTAAGCCGCTTAACAGCTGATCGCTAAGCCGCTTATCAGCTGATCCGCTAAGCCGCTTATCAGCTGATCCGCTAAGCCCGCTAAGCCGCTAATAGCGCTAATCCGCTAAACCGCTAATGGGCTTGCTTCGCAAGACGAAAAAACCGCAAGACGAAGAGACTCGCGGAACGGATTCTTTTCGTCTTGCGAGGCACCACTGTAGCTTGGGTTTGACCAGGCCAACTCACAGCAGTTGACCCTGTAACTGAACGCTCTTCAGGTCTCTGCAAAAAACTGCCAAATGGATTTCACAGAAGCCTGGACAGTGGACATTTTTAGATTTGTCAGCTCAAATCAACCTCTCTGGCACTAGGCCAAAGGCGGCTGGCTTTGCCTCCTAGCCCAGTGTTTGTTTATGGAACAAGCAGCCTTGTTGAGAGGGAAGTGAAGGAAGAGGCAAGGAGCGTGTATTTTGGTCGTTCCCAAAGACCTTGGACTATCATTAAACTGAAATCACAGGGAGATAAGCTTTAGTTAGATGCATCAGGCTGAAAAGGATATTTCAAAGACCTGCCACTGGCAAGACAGGCTCTTCTATACAGGGAGCCACACTTTCTACGCACATTAGAGTATTAATGTGTTTTTGCTTTATATACTGCAGCTGTATCGTCTGTGTGTAAACAAGTGACTTCCAGAATTGAAAAGCAGGGGTGCAGAGTAATGGATGGCCAGCCCTTTAATAATACAGATTTGTAACTCAGGCTCTTTTCTTAAAAAAAGAAATATCAATACGGTATCTATTTATTTTTCCTCACAAATTCTCTTCTGAATCCCCTCCACAAAGTGAAAAAGGCAAGTGAGGAGCTTCTCATTGCCCTGTTGTGGATGGTAGTGGAAGGAGAAGGCCTTCTTTGTAGTGTTGCTCTGATCATCAGCCTGCACCTATAGTCACAATAGTGGTCCCCTGTAGGCGTGGACAGTCATCACATTACTGGGCTTCTGGTACCCAGGCCTTTGGAAAATCCAATTAAATTCTATCAATGCACAATGTCCTAGACAGTGTTTTTTCCCCCTAAAAAATGTTTAGGGGTACTCTCATTTTGACTCAAGAAAACCATCATTTTATAGTTCAAATCTGGGGAAATAAATACAATAAATGGACAAAAGTACAAAGATTCACAAAATGTTTAGGGGTATGCATACCCCTGTGTCCCCGCAGAAAAAAAGCACTGGTCCTAGGGTTGGTTGGTTGGTTGGTTGATGAAAGCCTGCTTTTTTATTGTTTTACTGTTCATGAGGGTTTTTAGAGGTGTTTATTGATGTCTTTTTTCCTAGGCATTATAATCTTAATTGTATTTCTTTAATTATTTAATGTCTGTTAACCACTCTGGAAGGTTTTGATCAAGGTTTTATCATTTCAATCGTGTTTTATTGATTGCTTATTTAATGATTGCGCTCTGGGAATTATTTTGATGAAGGGCAGTTTAGAAGTTCCGTAAATAATAAATAAAATGGGACTTCCTCCTTTGAGCTATAAAACAAACTTCTCATTGCCTGCTCCAAGGCAAGAGCAGAGTGGTCAAGTCTACAGACTGCTTCACTTTGCAGCACTTAAGACTGAAAAGAGGTTTGTCAGGGTAGCAGCACACAGGGTTAAGCCTTATAAAGGATCAAGCAGTCCTGAAGCCACAGTCATGGGGAAGTTCAGGCTAAATATGGTTCAATTACCATCATGGCTTCTTGGACAGTAAGATGTGGAAGTAGCATGTCATCTTGCATTATGTAGCAGGAGACTTTGCGGAAAGAGCGCAGATCACGGGGTTGTCCATTGATGAGGATCTCTCCTTTCATCCCAGTCTCTCTGAAATTGGTCAAGAAAAGAAAAAAAGCATGAAACTTTCCTTCACATCCTTTAGGGGGAGACAAAGCTAAGGGCTGGCTTGCACTTAGGGACTGACTTATTTGTCAAATACAGTTCTCTGTTTCCCATTTTTCAGTCTTGAATTCCGTTCTCCACATTTCTGCACAAATTTGCCAGTTTTATGCATATAATATTTTATGAATTTGTAGTAAAATGATCAATTTTCATTTTAAAAAATCCTCATGGAAGTTCATCTGCATTTTGGTGCAAATTTAGCCTTATGTATGCAGATTTGACTAATGTACTCACTTTTGCAAGTAATTTCCCCTAATACAATGCATTGTTGTGGTATTCTCACTATCATGTTAACGTTATACACACTCTACATTTTTGTAAGCATTGCTTGGCTAGAAAATTCCATTCCCAAATTAGGAGAAGTGTAAATTTTGAAGGATAGCTATGCTTTGGTTCTTAAAGTGTGAATTAGGCAGGTTTGCCTTTAAAGGTGAACTGAACCAAATTTGTCTCCTACCCCTATGTGCACTTTACATTTTTAAAAAAAGACATGCAAGTCAATTATGCTTCTGCAGATGCAAGTAAACACAATGTGTGAAGTGATCTCACTCACTCATCTGACTCACCGAGAGCTCCAAGGCTGTTTTGTAAATCATGAGATTGTACAAGTCCTACATTCAGAAGACTGCAATGAGCAAATCAGCCCTCGGAGCAGGTGGCATAGTATTTACTTCTAAATCTCTGGAGTTCTCTCAATCATGCAGCACCATGAGTGAAAATATTTGTCTTATCAAAACACTTGTAGACTTTAAACCAGGGAATCCAAATCTGCAGGAGCAGGTTTGAGCAACAGTGTTGCTGATATGTATTAAGGCTTTTTTTTAAAAAAAAAGTTTTATAAATACAAGGTGAAATGATTTGCTTAAGAACAAGGATTAGACCTGGGGTTCTTCTATGTATTATATATGGCAGCAAATGCAACTTTGTGATAGTGAGTAAATGTGACAAAGAAGGTGCAGCCAATCCTGGTTCTCCAATGGGCATAAATGCATTCTACATACGTTTACAAGCACATGTTTATTATCTCACATATTACAAGTTTAGCTACACACTTAAAATTAGTTATATCTAAACAACATAGATCGTGAAGCTGAGGCTCCAATACTTTGGCCACCTCATGAGAAGAGAAGACTCCCTGGAAAAGACCCTGATGTTGGGAAAGATGGAGGGCACAAGGAGAAGGGGACGACAGAGGACGAGATGGTTGGATAGTGTTCTCGAAGCTACCAGCATGAGTTTGACCAAACTGCGGGAGGCAGTGGAAGACAGGAGTGCCTGGCGTGCTCTGGTCCATGGGGTCATGAAGAGTCGGACACGACTAAACGACTAAACAACAACAAAACAACATAATTTGGGAATTGACCGTTGCCCTCACTTACCTGTATCCTGCCAGGATGTTCATGAGCGTTGACTTTCCAGCTCCAGAAGGACCCATAATGGCCACAAGTTCTCCACTGCTGAACTTTCCTGAAATTCCTTTCAACAAGGTCTTGAAACCTGCAAAAGAAGGTGGTGCAATGTTTAGAAGTTTACCCCACGTCTTCCTAGTCATTCTAGCAGATTAGAATCTGAAGTACTTGCATCCCAAGATTGATTTAAGACTCAAGCTGTCGCTAGTCTCTACACAAGCTAGACCTAGTCAGGTAGCCTCAATTTAAGTGCTTGGTTTGATATTCAATATGTAATAGAACTATGCACTGCTGAGAGAACTTCTCTGTATTTTTACATTTTCTTGAAAAATCTTACAAGGAAAACATAAACGGCGAACATTTATTTGTTGCAAATAAAAGCTCTTTACCATTTTATTACCTACCATCTTTTCCCTAGTACAGCTGTCTTAGCATGGTATTTCAAGCACGCTGCACCTTTCTGGTTTTTGTTTATCTATTTCTTTGTAGTTTAAGAGGCAGCAATTAGGTTGTTGCAGCACCTACACTTTGCAACTCCCTGCCTGCTGACATCAGGCAAATGCCTTTACCGTACTCCTTTGGTGCCTGCTAAAAGCATTTTTATTTAGACAAGCCTACCCAGATATTAGAGGGACGCGGATGGCGCTGTGGGTTAAACCACAGAGCCTAGGGCTTGCTGATCAGAAGGTCGGCGGTTCGAATCCCCGCAATGGGGTGAGCTCCCGTTGCTTGGTCCCTGCTCCTGCCAACCTAGGAGTTCGAAAGCACATCAAAGTGCAAGTAGATAAATAGGTACCGCTCCAGCTGGAAGTTAAACGGTGTTTCTGTGCGTTGCTCTGGGTTGTCAGAAGTGGCTTAGTCATGCTGGCCACATGATCCAGAAGCTGTACGCCAGCTCCCTCGGCCAATAAAGCGAGATGAGCGCCGCAACCCCAGAGTCGGCCACGCCTGGACCTAATGGTCAGGGGTCCCTTTACCCTTTACCTTTACCCAGATATTTAGAAAGTTGATGCGAGCTTTAACCTTTTTTAGTTTATTATTTCAACTTTTTGAAAGTCTCAAATCATTGTTTCTAATTCTTCCTATTGATAAAATGTATTGTCTTGTCTCTTTTTTTGTAAACTGCTTTAAGTTTTGATTGTTTTTACAATCAAGTGGTGCATAAATTTTATGAAATGATAAATAAATAAAACAGTGAAACTAAGATATTCACAGGATATAGTGATGCCCATCATCTAAAATGGCTTTAAAAATGGGATTAGACAAATTGAGTGAGAATACTACCAATGGCTACTTCTTAACTTCCAGGATCAGAGGCAGGTTGCCTCTGGATTCTAGTTGCTGGAAAATGTGAGTGGGAGAATGCGGTTGCACTCCTGTCCTGATGATTGTGGGCTTCCCAATGGCATTGAGTTGCTGCTGTGAGAATAGGGGCTCAGCTAGAAAAAGCAATTTATATGTGTGGTATGTGTGATATTACACTGTGCCACCAGATGGCGACGTGGAGTCCTGGTTTTTTTCTACCTGTTTTCCCTGTTTAAATTTACGACGCTTTAAACTGAAACACGTCTTTGATGTGTCTAGATCCAGGCCAGGATGCTGAACTAGATGGGCCCTTGGTCTCATCCAGCACGACTCTGCTATGGCCACAGAACAGCAGGAAGTGAATGTGAGAAAGCAAGTTTGACATTTAATAAGTCAATCATTTTCATCTTCATTAGCCATTGAAAAGCCAGATTTGAAAGAAAAGGCCTAGAGTTTGCTTGTAATGTCTGCATTGATTTTAGCAGACTGCTCCAGCTGCTATACCCCCATCATTTGTGTTTATACAGACATTTTGACAAACATATAAGAGGTTTCCAATGTACTTGTCTCTTGAGCAGTGTTGAAAACGCAAGCCTCACTGATTTCCAGGAATCTTCACAGTATGAAAAGGAGTTGAAAGCAAGATAAAATGTCACTCCTTATCCACGCCTTTCAAAAAATACCAACTGCATACTGAAAAGTGCTCGTCATAAATTATTTGTCAAGGTACAACCTTAAGTGCATCCCGCAAGCTGCGTTTAAGCTGCCAGTGTGAAAGAAGGTTTACAATGAACGCTGTCAGAGATGTCCACCTCCGAACAAGAATAATGTGTGCTGGGTGAGAACATGTAGCAATTGTTCAGGAAACTTCACTAGCTTGATGGAAATGACTTAACTGCAGAAAAAGAAAAATAGAAATTTGGATCCAGGCAGTACTGCAGGTATGCGGGAACCTGTGCTCCAGATGTTGTTACACTACTGACATGTCAGATCTGGCCACAGTGATGCATGCCATAGTTACATCTCTGTTGGACTACTGCAACATGCTCTCTGTGCAGCTGCCTTTGAAAAATGTTTGGAAGTTTCAGCTGGCCCAGAATGCTGCAGCCAGACTGCTCACTGGGGCTAGCTGCAGGGAGCATGTTACTCCCTTGTGAAAACAACTTGCCACTGGTCTGTTTCTGGTCACAATTCAAAGTGATGGTTATCACCTATAAATCCGTATGTGGCTGGGGCACAGGATACCTGAAAGATCTTTATCTCCCTTTACAAATCCGTCCAGGTGCTATGATCCTCAGCTGAGAATCTTTTCTCAGTCCCATCAACATCAGAAGCACAGCTGGTGGTGATACAAAAGACAGACTTTTCTGTGGCGGCTCCCATACTATGGAATTCCCTCCCAAGAGAGGTTTGATGGGCTCCCTCCTTGTTATCTCTCCACTGGCAGGCTAAGACCTTCTTTTTCAGGTAGGCCTCTGAAAACTAGGTGCCAATGTTGTTGACCACTGGGCTGGTATCAGGGCAATCAGTAACTCAGTGCCAGTTTTAATTGTGCTTTATTTTTTAACTATTGTGTTTAACTAGTTTGCTTTCATGACCTTGTCTTTTATACTGATGTTTTTAAAATGTGGTAAGCTGTCTTGAATCCCAGTTCAGGAGAAACAAAGTTACAAAAAGACAGACAAACTACAACTTCCATCATCCCTGGGCCATTGGCTATGCTTGCTAGGGATGATGGGAATTGAAGTGCAACATCCTCTGGTAGGTCACAGGTTCTGTTTGCCTGCATCACTGTGTTTCACAACTGGCCTTACCACATTAAGTAACTGTATTTCCCAGGATTTCACAACTGGTCTAGCCACATTAAGCAATGTATACACTGCTGCTTCCCCACAGTATTTAACCCAAGCGTAAAAACATTTTTAATTTTTAATTTTTTAAAGGGAAAGAGTACAAAATGAATTAAAGAACTGGATTTTGTTAACGAGCATTTCAGGCTACTGAGACCCTAAAACACAATGGCATGCATTATTCCTTTCTGGAAATGGGTGAAAGGTCTTTTTGCTTATGAAGGTCAACCAAGTAGAGACTAGTTATCTATGTAATACCAGCATTGTGCGCCTTATAATCCCTTATGGAGGATTAAAAATATTCAGACACAGAAAGAACTAGAGCCTTTCTCTGCTGCAGAACATTTCAAGGCTAATCTGATTTAGAATCTGTTGACCCATAAATTCTATATTGGCATTGCATGCTTCCTGTGATTATAAACACTGGTGCTGTCGGGGTAGAATTTTCGGGCAAAAGTCTAAGACCTGCACAGAATGAATACCTTGCATTACTAAAAACAAAACAACAGCAGCGGAACGGAATTATGCTGACCAAGTCACCATTTGCGATCTAGAAGAGACACCAAGAGATGCCCTTCTTTCCTCCACAATATATGCTGTCTTACAAAAATGCCTTCACCAGTTAATGAAAAACCTAATCAAATGATGTGTATACAAAACAATCCTATCTGAAGACACCATTATGGAGTCCCAAAATGTAAAAAGCATGTGGGCCTTGTGAGAAAATTTCCTCAAAAAGTGTATGGAGTAAATACGATTTCCAAAGGGATAAACACTATTATTGTAAAACTGTGGAGAGAGATTATAAACACTTATCTCTTAACTGCGGTAAATCTCTGGCATAACAGCACAAGGCACTTATATGAACCATTGTCTAAAAGTAGGCATCAGTCAGGTAAGAAACTATGGCATGAACTGGGGGGGGGAATGCAGTTAAATTGTTAATTTACCTAGAATTTAGATTCCAGAAACTTTCATATACCCCTTTAACTTTATTGTTCTCTCAGAGCCATGGATTAAATTTCAGCTAGGCATTAGATCTGACAGACTGCATTGTGTTGTTAAACAGAAGGAAGTCTTTACAAAGTAAGGTTTATGGATCTTTCTAAAGCTGTGCATGCCATACTCCCCCCCCCCCCACAGCAGCCTATTCATTGTATAAATTTAATAACTGGATAATGCTTTTCTTCAGAGAAACTAATGAGACGTGACAACCCACTAGGCAGTTGGACCCCTAACACTATAGCATTTGTGGCTGGCCATCTAGCAGATGGTGTGACCTCATGCTTCCTGCCCAACTGCAAGTTGTTTACCACAAATTCATCACTGCCGTATTAGTATGTTATATGTACGTCAATTTAGATTTCCTTAGGAAGTGAGAAGTTCTTTAAACTTCTTTTTACAATAATTCTCTCTTAGCAGTAATCTTGCTGAAGTTATCCAAAAATCAACAAAATGGTAAGAGCACAGATTGAGCCCAAAAGGAAGAGAAAATACCACATAATTTGGGGCTAGCGGGCCATAACTTTATTGGTACTATTTCTTAAGCCATTTAAAAGAGGGGTCACCAACCCATCATCTGAGGGTGCCAGGGTGCCTACAAAGGTCTTCACTGGTGCCCTCAGGAAAGCGCTGCAGACTAAAAAAAAAAAAGCGCTGCAGGCTAAGTCTCTAGTCCTCCTAGAAAAAAATGTTATGAAGCAAAAAGTTCAGAAGTCTTTTGTGTTTGACGGAACTTGATCCCAGATAAATAGCTACAATATGACAGTCTAACTGGAGCCCTCAGCACACATTCAGAATTTGAAATGTACCCCCTGGTCCAAAAAGGTTGTTGACTCCTCTCTTAAGGGATTTGCAGCTACGGTACATTAACCTTTTTGACTTCCTCCATCTATCCCAGTGCAGGTATTCGTCTTGGTGAGATAGCAGAGACCATCTCCCTTCACCTCAGTCTTCTCACAGGCCAGCTCCTCTGACTTGAAGCTAAAGTCTACTATCAACAACTTCACCAATTAGAATGAAAAGAAACCAAACAACGGCAAACCAGAACCTTCCAAAAGTCACCAACATGCTCTTGACACAACAGCCACAATCGCACAACACTCCAAACCCTAATTTGGAAGATCATGAATGAGTTAATGTTGAGTTCATACATTTCCTCCTCCCCCTTCGCCACACGTGAAGAGTAACATCTGTTTCCAACTGGTGTCCAAATAGTGCAAAGTATGGTTTTCTCAAACCAAAGTCTGTTTGTAAACGAGGATCAAAATATGGTTTGGGGTCTTGGTTGAGAGTAACTATGATGGGCAAACTCGCACACTAAGATCCACAAGTCTCCACTTCACACATTGCCCCTGAAATGGGAAACAAAAAGTGCAAGTTGCCTGAATTTCAGCACAATGCATTTCTTTGTAAAGTGTAAATAGATTCTGATACTACCAGTCCTTTGTTTCCTATAAGCTACTGCCAAGGTTTGTTTCTTTAATGTCAACATTACAGAAGAAAGACAACCAGTTGGTAGGCTTGGACTTGCGTGGTTGGAGAAGAAAGCTTGACGTAGAAAAGGCTATAACACTGAAATTCTTCTTAAAATTATTAGCGAGGATGGCAGCTTTCATGCTTGAAAAAAATAAAACGATCCATTCTCCTACACAGATATAATTTTCATTAAATGTTGTCTTAAAAGATTGTGAAAATGAATTTTTCAATAAGACAACTTTGTCAGGATCTGGTTCTTAAAAGCAGGTGCTGGCATTGTGTGAGAAGCAACATAAAGCTAGATATAAGTAGATACAGCCACATGCCTGCAATCCAGAGCAGAGAGAGAGCCTCTTAAATGGGTCAATGAACGATAATAACCCTGCTCCCACCAGGCTTCATGCAAATGATTCAAGGATGTATTCCACATGGCAAGCTTCAGGTCTACAGGTTTGAGGAATTAAGAGTCAGAATGTGTCATGCTCTGTATATTACCTGTGGGTTTGTTTGCCTCAAAACAAGGGGGAAAAGTGATGAGGTGAAGTTACATGATATACTGTTTTATTCTTTTCTGTGAATTTACAGAATAGCTTCTTTTCAAGCAACTCAAGCCTTATGTAAACATTTCACACGTTATTATTGTTAGAAAAAAAGATCTTGCATTTGCTTTTGAATAGGAGTCTTTCCTGGAAGTATCTCTCTCTCTTAACACAAAGAGACAAAGAGACAAGGCAGGCACCTGTGGTCATAAGGATGACTCACAAATACAACAGCAGAACACATACTGGGGCTGGAGAAAGATATAGCACTGAATCATAGCACTGTAGAGTTGGAAGGGACCCTGAGGATCATCTAGTCCAACCCCCTGCAATGCAGGAATATGCAGCTGGTCCATACAGGGATTGAACCTGCAACCTTGGTGTTATCAGCACCATGGTCTAACCAACTGAGCTATATGCCTGTGCCAATCAAGCTGCCACCGATTAGATTTTGTGATTCTATTATGAGCTAAAGCCCAAATATTCAAGGGTTCATAACAAGGCCACACACCAATCAAAACTATATATATATATATATATATATATATATATATAGACACACGAGAGAGAGAGAGAGAGAGAGAGAGAGAGAGGCTGACAGCCAATGGTGCTAACCTGCCAACAGGATAGATTTCCATGAATGAAATGGGGTTTCCCATTCCACTCTCATTCTCTGCAGCTCCCTGTGTGCCCACAAATCAGTTCTGGAGGGTTTGGGGAACCTGCTGGAGAACATCTGGGAGGATGGGGCTACAGGGAGGAGCAATGGAAAACCCATCCATCCATCATCTTAACACTATTTCCTTTACAACTAGTAACAATATCACTAAAACATTTCTAATGGCCTCGAGTAGGGAAGTGGAATAACTTCGATTCAGTTTGCAGTTGCTGAAACAATGCACAAAGCAAAGCACAAAATCCACACTTCTCCAAATTTTGCAGCACAACTCCACAGCCAAGTAATTATATATCATAAAAATTCATGGATCAGGGAAAATAGCATCCAAAAATGCATTGCTTTGCAAAAATATGTATACTAGGCTAAACTGCGTACAAAAATGTGTATATCCGGACTAAAATGCTGAGTAGTTTTCATGAGGATTTTAAAAGAAAACTGCAGACTCATATCAAAATGTGATTGGGAAAACTGAGAGAAACCAACACTGATATTTTCACTCATCTCTAGCCTAGAGACACACAAAAAATCTAGAGGCCTGGTGAAACTGGCAAATTTGCACAATTTCTCTAAAATTTAGTGTAACAGTAGCATCTGTGTTCCTGAATGCTAAAATAATAATAATATTCCTCCCATGAATGTGGAAACAATCTGGATTTCTTCCAGATTTTTGGTTTATGCCTAGAGCATTGACAACAGTGTTTTTAGCCCTCCTCTGGATTATTTGCATTAATGAAGTCTCAGAAATGAAAATATTTTCACTGCCAACACACTAAACACAGAACCTGCTAAAACATCCCTGAACTATTCTAATTAGCCATCATAATTTCTTCTGAAATGTGTAGAAACATTAAACAGAAACCCACTACACAGTGAACACATCAGTGCTAGCGGAAAGAAAATGCATTAAGTGGATTTTAAGAGGATGGTTTTTACTGTTCCTGCAGTTCGGAAACTGAAAAACTGAGCAACCATGATAATACTGAACTTTCATCTGTTTTCAAATCCTAGACAACCTACATGTTGGATTAATATCAGCTGATAAAGTAGATAAAGTAATATGAAGTAAATCTGGAAGTGAGTGTTCCGGTTTGCAAACGTTCTTTGGAACCCAAACGTCCGACATGGCTTCCACAACTTCCAATTGGCTGCAGGAGCTTCCTGCAGACAATCAGAAGCTGTGCCTTGGTTTCTGAACATTTTGGAAGTCAAACGGACTTTCGGAATAGATTCCGTTCTATTTCCAAGGTACCATTGTACTTTTTTGAGAATATAGTACCTGTCTAAAGTGGAATGCATTCCCTAGGAAGGCTCATCTGGCATCTTTGTTACATATCTTTAGGCGCCAGGCAAAAATATTCCTCTTCTCCCAGGCCTTTGGCTAATTAAACAATCTATGGCATTTTAAACTCTCTCTGTGTGTGTGCATGTTTTGTTTTTGTTTATTATTATGGCATGTATTGGGGGGGTTATATTGTAAATTGCCCTGTGATCTTTGGATGAAGTGCAATATAGAAATTTAGTAAATAATAATAGCAGCATTACAGCTTTAACCCATGGTAACTAATACAGTACATGACTAAGTTTATCTCAAAGGGGAAGTTTTCACATCCCGTTTCAGACATGTGATCAGGTTCCAGGAAGACAAAGCTATCGCTGCTGCCCATCACACATTGCTGCTGAGCTACCTCCCTGCTGCGTATCAGGAAAAAAATTCTTTTGCTAATAGTAGGAATAGCTGAAGAATAAAACAGACCAGGAGGACCACAAAACTATTTAGATGGAATTTTTAAAAGGCTGGGTGGCTATTTTACCACCATAGTGACCTAGACCTCCATCATATTGCCATTCTTTCCACATAATCAGTTTTATTCCCCAGCATATTACACAATAGTTTATAATGTCACAAAAATCTTTGCCTTTTAACTTTTGAGTTCACTTAAAATTCTCCCTGTTAGAACTGCAAATATGCTATCTGAACAAACATAAGCAAAATGTTATCCCAAAGCATGCACTTTACTTCTTTAAGCTGGTCTTCACTATTGTGTGAATGGTTGACATCTTCATAACTTGATCTGATGAATTTTTACCCATACCTGCTGCCAATTAACTTCTGAAGGGTCTGTCAAGTTAAAATGAATAACTTGACAAATTGTATCCAAGACAAATTGTATCCAAGAAATTAATTTTGTCCAAACACATCAAACTGTGGTTGAGGGCCATTATTAAAATGCACTGCTTATTCCAAATTCCCATCCTTTTCAGAGAGGACTTTCAGCTTCCCCTTTACACTCTCCACGCTCCTTTCTTTTCAAGTTATTATAAGGGCTAACTGAATGGCAACAAAGAACTGAATAATTTCCAGAAACAGATGTTCTTTCATACTTCCAGTACAAAACAACAAAAACTCCACACATAGGCAAGATATTGAATTACACAATAAAAATCTCTACAACTAAAAGTATATAATCACAGTATTCATACATTTTCTACCCAGAGCACATTGACTACTGAAATTCTGCCTCATGGGGTATGTCTAAATCCAGGTCAGGTTAGCTTAGGTTAAAACTGAGAGAAGATTCATTTCTGGCTCACCTCCAAATCAGCCTGTCCTGTCCTGGTAGATTATGTTACTTGACTCTCATTTGTAAAGCAGCTTCCTAGTTTGCATGATAGACCCTGCAATTAATTGCACCAAATGATCTCCATGTGGTGTATTTGTACATGTTCGCAAAGATAGAAAACACTAATGAATTTCTTTGGATAAGCAAGGCAGACTTGAGGGTTTTTTAATGCAACTCTGTAGATACTTTTTGGAGCTCTGTCAAGAAGTTCCTTCTGAGTGTTCCCATAAATACACTGTTTCAGTCCATTCACTGAAGCCCAGTTGATAACAGAAAAAGCTCTACTTTTCTTCCCCGGGCAGCAAACAGAACTCTAGTCTCCTAGCTGTAAGAAACATCATCCATCTGGTTGCTGCAACATGGGAGGCAGTTGGCAAAACTTTCAGTGTTCTAGACCCCTCTGAACTCATATATGGTTTTGTCCTGTAAATGAACTTATCCCAAGACAATCATGCCCAAATAATCAAAGGCAAAGTCCCAGCCTGTCTTGGATTACAATCCAGGCACCTTGCAGTGTACTCCATAGGCTTCTGATGAGGTTCAGGCTACGTCCTCAGGAGAAGAACCATAATTACCTTATTCAGAGTTCCTCCAGCCAGAGGGCATGGCTCTGCCACTAACTCAAGGATTAGTCCGTGCAGAAATCAAAGGCTACTAAACAAAGTGAGGGCCCTTTAACCAGCCAGTCAGCTGTTCCAGAGAGACAGAGCCTACTCGCTACAGGACTGGTCAGCCTACATAAGACTTCAGTTGGCTCCAGCTCCCTGGGGGAGACAATTATCTCTCATAACTGTTTTAGCAGGGGCCCTTGGAATTGGCCAAGGTCCTGTTGCTTGACTGGAAACTGCTGGCCTCCCCTGTGAGCCTGAAGATCTCAAAGAACTAGATGCAACCTTTTATGACCCTGACTTTTGGACCTTGCACTGTACAGTAGATGCCTCTGATGAGACGAAAACACAGTTTCTGGTGGGGAGAAACTTTGTTAGCTTATTCAGGGCACTTCTGGTTGGAGAACAGAGTCCAGACATTATTCTTGGACCCAGAAGGTGTCTCCTTTCAGAACCTCTACTTCCTCAACCTAGCAGAAGTCAAAGACTGTAAAATAAGGTGAGGACCCTTAACAGCTCCTCCAGTAAGCCAAAGCCAGTGACACTGCCAGGGGTGTCAACCTATAAAAGCCTTGCTGCTGACCTGCTGCTAGAACAACATCTATATTCCACTTCCTTATGCTTCACTCAGCATGGCTCAATTGGAGCTATCCAAGGTCCTGTTTTTATCTGTTTTCTATAGAAGAGAGCTTCTGCCTAAATTTTAGCAGCTTGATCTGGCCTTGTCTACGGTGAATTGACTTTGTGTACCCTGACTGGTACACAAGCCGTGACTTCCCTAGGCACTATTCATTTCTCCTACAAACATCAAGCACCCACACAAATGGATTCAGCTCATTCCTAGTGATCCGACACTGAAGATCTGAAAGTTAAAGGAGTCATAGCTGTTGCCCTCATCATGCAAACCCTGTGTTTTATATTTTACCACAAATAGAAATATATCTGTTCCTTTCATGCCATGGACTTAAAAATCATCAAACTTGCTGTGGATGCTTTTCGATAGGACCTTCAGTTATGTAATGACACACCACAATAGATGCTGTTTGTTCTGATTTTGTAATAGTCTCAATCTTGAACTTTTCTCAATTGCTTCCTCTGGTATCTAGCTGAAAGACTAATGCTCCAAAAGGTGTTAAATTGCCACTTTCTTCCTCCAATTGCTGTTTTCAAATACAACAACCTGAGTACAAAGTAATTGCTGTCCTTGCCACTAGAACCTCTTTTATTATAACAAAAATGGCAACAATTTTATTGCCATGATTTTAGGAATTCAGGACTTTTGAAAAAAAATTAATGCTATGAAATACTAGAAACAAATGTTTCTGATTTAAAAGAATGGTTCCTTGGATTCTGGAGTGGGGCAATCCTGAATGTTCCTAAGTTATACTCACATAACTGAGTGCAGAGAAAGGGAAGAAATAGCTGGAGGTGAAAATGATGCATAATTTTCTGAAGTACACAAAATAATTGTTTCTTCCTCTGCATTTATGAAATAAATGAGCTTAAATCCCCAGTTGAATGTATTGTGAATGAACAACAGTGGTTGTGAGCTGTAGTATAAAAATGTACGTACTTCACCTCACACCCGAGGGGCATTGTTGTCATTAATTTACTTATTTATTTTGTTTGCACTCTGTTTATACTCTGCAGCTAATTCGTACAACATAAGCATCCAGGGTTGGATTCAAGTGCCAGCATTTCAGCAAGGAATACAGACATGATGTCTCTACAGGTGTGTGTTTCTTTAAAGAAGGAATTTGCAGTCCTCATCTTACAAACAATGACATGTGCTTATTGAGAGAGTTGTTTTGTGTAAATTTGGTCAAGTAAACTATAATTATTTATTGTACCGCCAAAAATATACTTCACTGCAATGAAGATTTTTGCCTGAAAATCTTAATGGAATTAAAATGTGTTATTTCTTTCAGATTCTGACAAATACGTGACAGGTAAAGTAACTATTCTCACATTTGTTGCATAAAATAAATCAGAAGCACATTTCCCATACAAACCACAATTGACTAATGAGGGACCATTCAGTCTGACATTGTTTGAGGGGAGCGTTATTTGATGATGATTTTGTTAGTTGACAGGCTGAAGTCCTGTCCTCTCCCCCACTTTGTTGGCTGTATATAGTATGGTTTGTATTTCCTTTTATTTTGCAACAAACCAATGGTTATGAGAAAATACAACTAAAGTCGTACCTTTTGTAGGGTTTAGAGCAGGCACAGGCAAACTTGGCCCTCCAGATGTTTTGGGACTACAACTCCCATCATCCCTAGCTAACAGGACCAGTGGTCAGGGATGATGGGAGTTGTAGTCCCAAAACATCTGGAGGGCCAAGTTTGCCTACGCCTGGTTTAGAGGATGTGTTCAGAGACTGTGCACACAGTCAGATATGCATGTAGATCCCATTGTAGGTGGGACTTCAAAAAACAGGGAGGCTGGGAGTGGGGGTGGGCAGATGCGATTCCCTCCATGTTTACATTTCTACACTTTTACTAGCTTTGCAAGGAACACACATCCAATCAATACTTGTCAGTTTGCAAGACCAGTGGGGAACAGTAAAACCTGCTGTGTACCTAAGAAGCAGGCCTCTTTCTTCACTTTCTTCTGCATCACAGAGTAGTTTTCATTCACTCCAGGGCAATGCAAAGTATGTCCTTAAGAAACCTACCATTGGTGGAGGCTAAGTCCTTCCCCGCCATCCCATTCCCATCAACTCCAGACCCATCAGTCCCACTTGGAAGGGAGAAGCAGGATGCAGTTCATTCAGGAGGGCTAGAGCCAGAGTCTAAGCCACAATTAGTAAAATAGCAGAAGAGCTGCCCATAGGGGAGCTAAGGCAAGGAACAAGAGACTGGGCAGGATAGATGCTGCATCGCAAGAGAGCAGTTGAGGGTTGTTGTGGGAGACTCTGCAGTCCTACCCCTTCTTAAATATTAGTGGAGACTCAAGATCATTGGTAGGCAAAGTAAGGTCCAGGGGCCGGATCCGGCCCAATCACCTTCTAAATCCGGCCCACAGACTGTCCGGGAATCAGCATGTTTTTACATGAGTAGAATGTGTCCTTTTATATAAAATGCATCTCTGGGTGATTTGTGGGGCATATGAATTCATTCTCCCCCCCCCCCAAAAAAATAGTTTGGCCCACCACAGGGTCTGAGGGACAGTGGACCAGCCCCCTGCTTAAAAAATGTTTGCCCAAGATCCTGGCAGGGCCTATGTAAAGTCTTATCTTCAGGGCTAGGTGAAGGAGGTCCTCATACTTTGAGACAACTATAGAATAACAGAATTGTGAAGTTGAAAGGGACCCCAAGGGTCATCTAGTCCAACCCCCTGCAATGCAGGAATCTTTTGTCCATTATAGGGTTCAAACCCACAAACCCATGTAGTACAATGTGTCTATTTGCACATGCCTGAAATGCACCTGAGCAGGCATCTGTGAAATATATAGCCCTCGTTCCATCTCTCCCTGATAGAATATGATGTCCAATTAAGTCACTGACTCACAGTTTTTACAGGTCAGATGCTAAAAATACCATGTTCCCCTTTTACCAAAGAAAAATAATATTCTTAGACAAGGTGCATCTATGTGGTTTTTTCTGGAACAATAAGAAGAAGAAACAATTAAACTAATCAAGTGCCATTCAGAAAGGGTCGCTTTAAAATTGTGTCTCTGTGCTGGGTTTCTACTTCCTGCAGTTAGTTCAGACTAGCTGCTTATTTCCCTTTTTAAAATGTGGTATACGACACGAATACTTCTGCTGTGTTTGAAAACGCAGGCTCCAAGGTGACTTGTGGATTACGTAATTCACATGCTTTTTACAGAATAGAACTATGCATCTTTCCCCCAGCAATGATTTTGGTCCTTAATATTCCCCATTCTTTTCTTTCTCATCTTAGCAACAGCCACCGTGCAGCCAATCCAACATCTGCTTCCTCGCTGCTCAAGCATCACAATCCAAGGTTACTATCGTGCATTGACCGACAGTAACCGAGCATGAGTGAGAGAGAGCTGGCTCATGCGGCGCCTCTGCTGCAATGCACCTGCTATGATAAGGACAGGCTTTTCTTGACTCCTCTAACCAGGATCAGCAAATAATTTAGAGCAAATCCTATTTTTGATCGTTTGCATCTTTAAAAGGCTCAGGGTATAGATTCTTGCAGAACGAAATATGCACTTGTTTCAATGAACGTGTCAGAATGAATTTGTAACAGTACCTCCAAACCAAACAAAACACCACACAGAAAAACCTGGTGAGTTTAAACCGGATTTTGTCAACAACTCTATTGTGAAGTCTGCTTTCCCCAACTGTTTTTAAACACTGTTTTCAGTTTTAAGATATTTTAGCTAAGACACAAGATGTAAATTACCTGATGGCATTAATTTCAAACATTGATTTTGGGAAGGTTTTAACAGTTTGGTGGCCAGCCAAAATTTGTGCTCCTTCATATCCGATAGGGAGCAAGTTTTGATTAAATGTGATTGAATTTATATTTTTATCTACATGCCGTCTTCTTTTGCAATCACTCATAGCCGAGTAAGATTGTCTTCCATGAATATGGTCTTAACAGTGTGTCCATAGGCGACTGTGGAGGCCAATTCTGGATCTCTATATACTTCCTACTAATATAAACAAAAACATGAGAAGAATGTTTCAGAATCATCTTCTCAGAAGTAGCTGTATTGAAGGACGGAAAAGTTAAGTATTGTCATTTCAGTGGGGCTTACATACAAAACATTCCAGTGGATTGTACTAGAAGCATTCTACCAACCACCAAATAAGACTGGTTCACACATTCTGTTGTGAGGTGAATTATCTGAGATTTTACAGGTATAATCCAGGCCTAAAAATGTAATGTGTGAACATGTTTGGAAATATGTACAAAAATGGTACTCTCCTCAGAAATCCATGATTAATTTGTGGTCAAGTCATGTACCAATGACCTGCATAGTTAGCATCCTTGTATAAAATGCCCTAAAACTCATTGCCTCATTACAACCATCACCAATACAGTGTTCTCAGGGAACATCACTATCTGCCTCCCAGTTGTAGGGTAACCAACACAGGTAATAGGGATTTAAATCTGTTTCTTCCACATCTAAACTCAATTCTCATTCCTCTGCCTCCACTGAAATATCAAACAAATTATGGTGGTTTTATCATGGTTTTATTACTTTTCTGGATTAACACTATCACACAATTCAAAAGGCATATTGTTAAATATGCAAGAAAGATAATGAGGGGTGTTACATAAAACCAAATCAAAAGAAACATACTGTATAACTAAGGATATGTATCTCAGTAACAGAGAATTCTTCTTTTGTGAAAGCACTACTATGCACTATCCTAATAAATATTAAACTGATTATTGCATCAGTATAAGCAATACAAGACAGTGAATTTGTCTGCGGCTTCAACACTTTGGAAAATTTTACACCTCTAGTGTCTCCATTATATAGATCTAGGGCCCCTAGGCAGAATGGCGGTGCGTGGAACAAGATAAACCTGAGCACATCCTGTGCCAGTTCTGCCTATTTATCTCAGTCTTCAGCTGCTCCCTGTGATAGTTACACTACTATTGAAAAGCAGAATTTATATCCTCTGGGAATGATGTAGCTGTGAGACTGAACTTTTGCAAGGAAATAATTTAAAATATGCTTAAAATATATGATTATTTTGCAATATGATGAAAGTTAAATTCAATATTCCTTCTCAGCGATACACAAACCAATGATCAGGAAGGGATTCCTACATCTTGAACGACTCACAATTCATCCCATCTCTAATTGCCACTTTAAATCTTGAGGACTCAGGAAGGAACAGAGGAAGCTGCTTTATGCAGAGTCAGGCCACTGGTCCATCTTGCTCAGTATTGTTTACACCGACCGAAAGCTGTACTCCTGAGTTTCAGACAACAAACATTCCCAGCCCTCCCTGAAGATGGCAGGAATTGAACATGGGGCATTCTGCACGCGAAGCAGATGGTCTATCCCTGAAGTAAGGGACATCTTGAAGTGGAACTTCCTTTCGAAAACTAAACCTCTGGTGGAAATGGCCTGTCAAATGGATGGATCTACAGTACCGGCCACTTCATTAATAATGAAAGCAATAGATTCCTTTTCAGGCTTTCCTTTTCAAATCAAGGTACATTAGGGGGAAGTTGGCCCCGTGCCACAATGAGCATGCTTATGCTGGATTCTTTAATGGTGCATTCCACCTACCTGACGGCGCCTCTTTTGCAACTAATGCGCCTCCATGTCCTCACCCCACTTTAAGGTTACACACATTCACCCCAAACACATCAATAAAGCTGAAATTAGGTACCACAGGATGAATAAGACTTCTGTATTCACTTATACAAAAGCAAAGCACTTCTTGAACTGAATGGGAATAAGGGATTCATGATCTCCTTTGAATTATTATTACTGGAGGGACTTTTTCAGCAATGCCATCATATGTGTCTTATGTTACCCTGGTTTTGCATCCTATATGAAGATAGATACAGGGATGTGGTTTGCTTTTGTTAAGATGTCTCAAATCATCAAGCCAGAAAGACATGGATGTCACTCCCCACCCCCCACAAGATTGCATGTGGGAACATATATTTCTTAGAGATGACTGGGTGGCAGAGGATGGAGTCAGAACCAAGGATACAAAGACATATTCATCACAGTATCAACTGTTAAGCCTATAGTAGGCTGACTTGTTGAACTTCTGGATGAGTATATTACGTACTTGCTGGTAGCAAGGCAGCAACAGGTATTTTCTTGCCAAAGGCTGGTGTTATTCTAGTCCTTTGCTTATGGGAAAGCAAGTTAACAGAACAAGATAAGAAAAGTATTTATGACCCCAGCTGAAGTTACCAGAGACATACTATTCCTCTGAGAGAAGAGAGCAGAATTGCCATGTTTGGTCTAGAAAATGTAAAAATCATTCAAGAAGTTATTTGGCATAAGCCCCATTAAAATGTTGGGTTATCCTGCTCTCATTCACTTTAAGGGAGCTTACACATGAGAACTTCCTGGTAGAACAGACCTTATGGTTTTGAGTAGGAATGATTTACCAAATGTAGTTTTCCATTAAGTCTGGAATATCCTGCCAAGTAGTACAGAGAATTTCACTACATCTCCACACGATCATAAATATGTGGTCAGAGTAAAGTGGTCAAGGTTTCCTCATCACACAGCAGGACACTGCAAACTACCTTACTGAATGGTCGTAGACACCATTATAAGTTATATTTTGATGATAAAAGTTGCCTGTGTTCATCCTTTTCACTGCATGAGTTGCACATGTAGTGACGTCAATATACGTACAGAGCTATGTAAGAACAAATACAGCTCATCTCTTTAGCACTCTTCACATCTGTTCACAGAATATGCTAAAAATGAATCTGATGGGGCAGGTCCTCTTTCTTTGAGTTCCATCAGTCTCTCATGGAACCTAAATCATGACCAGCACTTTAACTTGAAGCAGAAATTCATATGTTCAGGGCTTCCAGCATCACACTTCATTATTTCTTTATTTAATTCATATACCACCCTTCATCCAACTTGTGACTTAATAAATGTAAGTTATCATCTTCACAAAGAACTTAATTTGAAACACACTGCACAATGCCGCCTCTAACTGTATCTGCAGCTTTTCGTCTTCTGCCCATACCCCTTCTGTGCGAAGGGACAGACACTTGTCTTTTGTTTTTTAACAGCAAGAGAAGCTGGCTATTGATTCATTTTATGTGATATTTCTATGTGACCTGGCTATATAGCCTCAACAAATCCAGTTTCTATTTTTTATGTGCCAATAAAAGCTTTATGTGGAAAACTCCTAAATTAAATTTCCTGTCTAGATTCGGGCAGTTAAAAATGTACTGCAGTTGACAGGAAGACAATGCATTCTGAAATTCAAGAACTAGTTTGTATCAATGCACTTCTTTCCGAGAAATCTGTAATAAATAAAGAAATCCGTCCCATCCTCTGGCAAAGAATTGAGCAGGGTAGGTGCAAACATGGTCATATATTTTCTCTCTCAATGCAAATCAGATTTTAAGAAAACAGTTATTTTTCAAAACGTGAAGCTTGGACATTAAATATTCATTTGGGTATCTAGTTTCATATTTGAAGTAGTTTAGAGCAGTGTTTTCCAACCGGCGGCCCCCCAAGATATTCTAAGGGGGCGACAGGTGAAAATTGCATTAATGGGAGGGCAACAGCTTGAGGCTAGGGGGCCACAAAGGGATGTGAGAAGTGAGGGAGGGAAATCAATTTTGTTTTTAAAAAAACCCTGATCAGCTGGCTATCCACTTGGCCAATCACAAGCGGGTAAGGGAGTGGCTCGCCAGTGTGTATTCTTGGAACAGTCCTGGTTTGTTTCCGGTGTGAGAGGGCGATCACTGATGCTCCTGGTTTGACTAGTAGAGCCCACGACCCAGAACCCCCAGGTCAGGTAAGTGCGGTGATGGGGTGGCAATGGGTAGGGCTCCAACATTTCTCCAATGAAAACAGGGACATCCTAAGTAAAAGAGGGACAATCCAGGATCAAATGAAAAACCAGGACGGCCTCACTAAATCAGGGATGTCCCTGGAAAATAGGGACACTTGGAGGGTCTGGACTCACTAAACAATTCATCCAGCATGCTGAGTTTCTCTTAACTAGCTGTGTGTGGAAAAGGGGGCGGGGAACAGTACTTAAAACAAACTAGAAGAATTTCTACTTTTATTTTCCCACAAAGTAGCAGTTGGTGAATCAAGGGCAGAATTTTCTGTGCACATTCAAACAAACATTGGTAATTACACATCTAAAATAGATCAAGTCAAAGGTAACACAATTGGCAACATGCAGTCATGCCAGTTTAGACAACAGAAGACAATCCCATGTGGAACTGTAATTACTTCATTAAAACATGTGACACCAGCCTCAAGAGCTGCATTTCTCTCTTGGGTAATTTTCTCTTCGGAAGTATTTGCTGCTGGGAATCCCACATACGTCCTCTAGTCCTTTCATGGAGGACACACGTCACTTGAAGAAAACAAGACTTCAAACTAAGTGTATATTTGACTTATTCTGCTGTTGGTGCTTGCAGAAAACCATAATGGTGTCTGCCAAATGTTATCATTCTGACTGACAGCATTTTTCATTCTGTGTTGACAAAATACTAGCACACAAGTCAATGTTGTTAGAAGCCATGTAACTTACTACAGATCTTGAATTACGGAACAGATGGGACAGTGCTCCTCCATCTTTGTTGTATGCAGAGGGACCACCCTGGATCTGGGCCCAAACTACTACATCCATTGTTACAGGTTCTAGGTTATGGATCAAGCAGAAAATGCTCTTCTGTCCATGCTCTAATTAAGGGTGTGTTTTGAGTCAGTATTACCCCAAGCCAGAACTGATCTTCTGATGGGGTTTTATTTTTGCATAGACTGAAGAAAGGAAAAGTCACAGTCAGCACAAAAAGACTTTTTAACAATCAACACTGGTTTTTTTCCAATAGTCTGAAAAAGTTTTCTTCATAAACTTGGTCATAGTAAGAAAAAAAAATATGTGCTCTGGGCAACTTTGATAAGAACTCCCTGTCCCTGAGTGCCTTCCGGGTGTTAAAGCCCGATTACAAGTCCTGTTGATCTTTTGCTAGAAGTTTTGTCAGACATCTCCCTAGAACTGCGAAGTCCCCAAATTAAGAAGACATTACTAGTTTATTGGGGGTTTGGGCTATTTTATAGACTGCAACAACCTTATTCTTAAAACAAATCTTCACAAATGTGACATTATTAGATGATATTTAAACCATACTTAAAGTGCAGCAGTTATAAACAAATGTAACATTTCTATAGGTTATCAGGCCCTAATACAGATCATAGCTCATTCCGTTCAGAGAAACATGGCAAGTAATGAGCAAAATATTTATATTTTATTTCTGAAATAGCACAGCTAAACCTTATGACTTACAACTTTACATTTCTGGGGTCTGTTTGTTTGTCACAGCAATTAGCACATTCAGTTAGGTTATATAACTAGTAGTAGCACTCAGTCATTCACAGTTGGACCCTGATACTATTTCTTTTTTTCTTCCTTGGTTCACGAGACCCGTTTCTGGTTGGAAGACAGCTGTTTTATTTATCATACTCATCTGTGACCCTTTGTTTTCCCTCACCTGTAAGTACAAGTTGCCCCCAATTTTATCATTTCAGCAGATATGAACACTATCCATTTTAGATATAAAAACTGCAATAAAATAAAATATTCCCCCAAAATTATAAATCAGATTCATTAGAGTTTTTCTGATGACAGTGTTTAAAATTTAATAAAGAATGGTCCTCCACCAGTAAAAGCACATGAAATGAACTTAGGAACATAGAAAGTTGCCTTATACAGAGTCAGACCACTGTGGTTCATTTTGCACTGCATCCTGCCACACCACTATGGAGTAATAAATCCATCCACACAGCTCAGGAACTATGTAAACCCTGTGATGTTTAGGTTTTCTTGATTCCTTTATTGAGAAAGGAACTTGAAAAAAACACAGGAGTCTCATTTGATCCAAGAAAAGTCTCATGTTTGACATGTTTGGTTGAATTTGGAGACATGAGCACCTATTGCACGTGCTGAACCTATAGGCTTTTCAGGGAATCAGCACACTGAAGACAACCAAGAGAACCAATATATGTTTGCCCTTAACTTCATTAGATTTATTCAGGAGTAAGCAGTTTGGGCATAGAAACACACACTACAGTCTCTTTGAAGGCCAAGGAGTGTTATGTTATCTAAGATGCATATTAATTCCTTTAAAACAACATCACACATTTCACATTGTTGGAACTACAGCTCAGTAAGGCATTTTGCTGTTCAAAGCAAGCAAGATGGCATCCCCCTTCCCCTGCCAACTGGACTGACAGATGAATCACTCACGAAGAGATAGCACCCTCCAACACACATGAAGGCAAACAGTTGGCTTGGCCAGCTTCAATACCTCCAACATCTCACCATTACTTGCTGCCCTGAGCTTCTGGTGCCTAAGACAGCTGTCTCTGCCTAATGTGTACTAATGTGCCATGGTACCTTCATGCTCTGTCAGCTTCCAGTTTAGATCACTACAATGTGCTCAACACATGGAGTTGCCCTTGTTGACTCAGAAACTTCAACTGGTCAAAAATGCAGTGGCCAGATTATTAGCTGGGGTTGCCTTTAGCACTCATATAACCCCACATATAACACTCATATAAAACAGCTACAGTGGCTGCCAGTTTGTTTCTGGGCCCAATTAAAATATGCTCACACTAGTGTTTAAAGCCCTAAAGTGACCTGGGCCCCAAATTTCTGAGAGGCTGCCTCCTTTCCTACAGAACCTATTGGGTGTTAAGAGCAGCAGAGCAGGGAATCTCTGAGTAGTTCTGCTGTCCTCAGAAGTTCATGGAAGTGGCTTGGGAGGAGCATTCTCCAAGGCAGCCCCTAAATGCCCACCTGGCTCTGACTACCTACTCAATAGTGACTGCTGCTTGAGACTGCGTCACTTGAGACGTTTCTGTTCAGTAGCCACACTGTTCCTAAAATTGTAATTTAGTTTTAACTGTTTTTAATACTGAATTGTAAATTGTTGTAACCCACCATGGAACTTCCTAATGAAGTATAAATAAATGTGAGGGTGGTGGTGGTGGTGGTGATGATGATAGGGCAGGCTCTGCTAAGGCACCTCCTTCCTTAGAAGTTTTTAACCAAAGGTTAGATGGCCATCTGTCATGGATGCTTTAGCTGAAATTCCTGCATTGCAGGGGGTTGGACTAGATGACCCTTGGATCCCTTCCAACTCTACAATTCTATGAACAAGGACTTATTTGGAAGTGGTGACCATCTAAATTCAATCCATCCTTTATCAAAGGATCCATCCCAATTTACTGAGCCATCTGATTGAGTAATTTCCTTTGTCTTCTTGTTTCTCCTTCTTCAAGCACACTTTCACAACTAACCAAAGGAATTCAATGCATATTGACTTCTCTCTTGGCAAGATTCACCACCAGAGGTGGACAATGAGCTTAGCTCCTCTAGAAACTGAACCCAATATTCAGCAAGACACTGGGGGCAGTGGTTGTCATACTGACAACCAAGAAGAGGGGCACAACTTGCCCATTAGTCCTTTTTAAAAAATTATTTACATTTAGTATACATTAAGTCCATATAGACAAACAAGAAAGCAAGCATGACTACAGCAGAAGATTATCACAATGCCTCAGCAAGACAAAAATAGAAATCTTTAACTTCAGGACATATCACTGACTGCCTTTGCTATCATCTAATTTCCATTGTTCCCCTTCAGAGCCATGTCAGGATGAGAACACTTGCTTCCCTTCCAACAATAAGAGAACAGGAAATTTTCTCACAGACTTACCCTTCTTCCTCCACCATGGTCCTTCTTGGATCGAGTAAGAGAGTTCTTTAAACTCAATGTTCACAGCCGGTCTCCGCGGAAGGTAGGAGAAGCGATGGGCTTCTGTCAATGCATTGTCCACCTTTTTTAAATGGCCATTGAGTAGGTGGACTTCTTGGGTGTCGGTTCCATTGGAGACCACTTCATCTACTGAAACGCATACAGACTTTGGTTCAGGCATAGCAGATGCAGAATTGCTGGCATTCTGGAATACAAGAAGGGAGAAAATAGTTTCCACACAGGAAAATGCATCTGCTAGTCATTTGTTCCCGCTGTAATGTCAAAGAAGAAGAAGAAACAAGCCTAGGTTAAGCTCTGTTCATGTTACATCTTCACCAGCCTTCTGCCCTCCAGATGTTTTGAACTACAACTCCCATCAGCACATGCTAGGTGGGGCTGATGGGAGTTGTAGTCCAAAACATCTAGAAGGCACCAGGCTAGAAAAAGCTGATCTACACAATTGCATGATAAAACAGCATATAGGAAGAAATGTTCACACTCCAATATTTGACTAGGGCAACCCAACGATGACTACATTAACCACTCCCCCGCCCCTGAGAAGCTATGCTATAAGAAGTGGCTCACACAACATGTTCTTCCTCTTCCCAAGCAGCCCAGGAGATTCCTGTGCTACATTCGTGTGGACAAACATTAACAAGTAAAGCACACGATGCCAGCTGGTGGGGCAAAGGTAGTAGATCTGGTAAGGAAATCCACCTAATGCTACTCCTGCAATTGGCTTTAAAAGGCATGGACTTTGCAGAACGATGCAAAAAATTGGGTGCCATAGTGTTTGAATACTCTGCATGGTGTAGCTTCAAGAGATGGTGAGTGATGACCACTGGAACCGGTAGTGCAGAAGACGAGGAGCCAGAGAGGATGACACAGAGACAGCTGATTGTAGTTTTCTCCCGTCCTGCTCTCTGCTATGTTCCACAATGGCAACACTGAGACTAAGTAGGAAGAAGCAAACAGCTATCCCCTGGACTGGATGTATGTAAGAAAGCAGGCAGATGGGGGCTGGCTGAGGTTAGCTGGATTCACCCTCAAGGTCCAAGCCCTGAACTGATTTCAAGAGACTTGCTTTAAAAGTATTGAGAATTCACACACTCAAGACACTTTTGATATTTTCTCTTGTTTACATGTTTATCAGGCACTGTGATACAAAAAGATAAGCAAGGGGGCCAAGACAGAGGCGGATTTAGGGGACCGCAAGGGGTTCAGTCACACATGGTGTTGAGCTTTTGGGGGTAATAATAATAATAATAATAACAATTATTTATTATTTATTATTTATACCCTGCCCATCTGACTGAGTTTCCCCAGCTACTCTGCAACTTTGATGTAGAATGGAAGGCGGGGGGACACCCAAATTTGGTGTTGCACAGGGCACCACCAAAATTTGAGGCCCCGAGTTCTCCCAATGGGCAAGATAAACACCAAACCTGAGATTTAAAAATGTCAGATGATGAAGTTGACTCAGGGATTCTTCCTGTGTGGGGATTATTTCCTGCAAGCAAACATCTTCCCACCACTGCCAACTTTTTTGGAATTCGGTAAGATGAGAAATGGCATTACATGATTTGAAATAATAGTTGATCTTATCCCGGTAAGACTCAGGACTGTCCTAGTTAAGTTAAGAGGTTTATATTTTGGTGGAGAGTAGAAATGCATAGAGGAAAACAAATACCTCAATCTCAGATATGCTTCTCTTTCTGAATGAGCCAAGTCACTTAATATTTTATAATAATTAATATTTACAACAAATTGCAAATAATGTATGTCTAGTACTGATGCAGCAGGTTCTGAAATCCAGTTTATGTAACCTATTTCCTCTGCTGTAAAGCTGCATCATTTTCCTGTGGGGTTATACATTCCCATTTCACTTTTGAAGATTTTTAATTACATCATGTTACACAACCAGAAGCTGAGAAATAAATTCGTTGCGTTCCCTTGCAAAACAGAAGGACACTGACCGTGGGGGGGGGGGGGGCCAACTTACATCCTTCACCCATGAAACTTACTTTTGAGAAAACCCACTATTTGGCTCCAAGTTTACACAAAATCCATTATATAATGAGCTGGAAAGGTTATCTGTGCCTCAGTAAATCTGTTTCCAAATCATAGGATGCAGTCGCTAAAAGTCTGAGCATGCTCAGAAAACCCATCTCATTTCCCCCCTCCCCTCCTCCAGCTCCATCTTTTTTTATAAGCTCGAGGCAGAGAGGTAACTTTCGGTCAAACCCAGATGACTTCAAATTCAGAATGATGTACATGACAAAAACAAAATAAACCCCGCAGTTCTAACCAGCCTGTACCTGCAAGATGACAACATTGAAGCCACAGCAACTAACAGCCCCCAAAGGGAAGAGAAATTGTCACTGAAGCTTGCGGGGAAAGATGCATACAAGTAAGTTGCCACGCTATACGAAAAACAACCTCTGCAGGTCAACTGTCTATAAATATAGAAATAAACCCCATCAGAGGCATCCATTCGAAACGGAAAGCAATAAAACAACAGAGAGATTCCTTACCAAAGCAAAGGAAATGCTGAGGCTGCCAATCAAGATTGGTTAATTCCTGAGAAACCAAACTCCGGGTCCCCTTTTCCTTCCCATTCGGTGGATCAACACGCAACTAATTAAAGCGAGGGTTGATCCACCCCAGCAAAGCTCCGATTAAAAGAGGCAACCACTGACCCAGCTTTAGCGCCGGCTCTGGGTCACTTTTGCAGAATTGTCCCTCCCCCTCCTCGTCCCCCCGCCCCCTCCGCTCTAGCTGTAACGAATTAACTCGTCGCTTTTGACCCGCTTGGTATTATCTCCTTCGCTCTTTAAGCGTTTCTGCTTAGGAGGAGCCGGCCAACAGCTGGGCTACGTTTGATCTAGATAATGGGTTGCTCTTGGCCCCCGTTTCGTTTGTTTTCAACAAAACACACAGTAACACATAGAGCAAGCCACCAGCCCCCAAGGCGAGAGCGACGTCAAAGACAGACATACTGTAACAGTTCAAGTATGGGGGATTTTGAGGGGGGGTGCTGTCCCTTCAAAGTCACATACTAAGCTCAGGTTCTCCGATTCCACCTCCTTGCCTTCACACACACACACACACACACACACCAGCCCACCCAGGACTCTCCCTCTCCCCGTCTTCTCTGTGGGTCATTCGGAGCAGATGGTATATGCAAGTAAGTCAAGGGTCCTGTCATGGCCAGGGAAGGGGCGCAGGGTCAAGATCGCTCTGTGCAGCTGTGCTTGTCACACTGCTACGGAGGCAAAGGGGCGTCCAACTTACCAAAGCGGTGCCCACTGAGAAAGCGGCCATCAGGCATGCCATGTGCCCCCGGAGGCTGCAACCAGCGCAGGAGAAAAGATCAGCAGCAGGAGGAGAAGCACACACGAAACAAACCGCAAAAAAAAGGAGAGAGGAGGAGATCCAGAGCAGCTGCAGCAGCCTGAGAGTGAGGCGTCGCGGCTGGGGAAAGATCGACTGGAAGCAGCACCTAAAAGAAAGGGAAAAAGCACGAGAGAGAGAGAGAGAGGAGGCGGGGCCTCTCTGGGTACCGGCTGCTTGTTTACTTAGCCTGCCCTCTCTCGGCGTCCCACTGGCTCTCCCTCGGCTCTCTCTCGTTCCCGATTGGCTGAGGGGCAGCCGGGGGCGTGGCTTGCCTCTTGCCCGTAAACGTGCTCTTGTTTTCCTCCTGCCCTGAGCGGCGTTGCGTGGCGTTGGCGGGGCCCTGACGGGCTTCTGGTGCCCCCTTACTTCCTTGACTGCCGTTTCCAGACCAGAGAGACACGGGCACTTGGGGTGGACAGAAGGATAATAGAACTAGAGAGTGGCAAGGGACCCTCAAGGGCCATCTAGTCCAACCCCCTGCAATGCAAGATTCTCAGCGAAAGTATCCAAGACAGATGGCCATGTAACCTCTGCTTCAAAACCTCCAAGGAAGGAGAGTCCAGAACCTCCCAAGGGAGTCCACTGCACTGTTGGAACAGCTCCTACTGTCAGAAAGTTATTCCTGATGTCAAGTCTAATGGAGCAAGGAAGCTCTCTCTGCTGCTGGGGCTTAGATTCCAGAAGAAAAGGTGCTGGGGCTCAAAGAGATTTCTGCTCTCTACCCCCTCAGTGTTACTGACTCCAGTCCCAGAGGTTGTGCTGCGGTTACCCAGTACTAAAGGGCACTTTGCAGATGCTCAGAAGCACACTTTCCTATCGTGCCAAGCTTCGTTAACAATAAAGAAGCAGCCCTATATCTTCTGAATGCATTCACAGGTAGAAGCTTGTCCCTGCTCCCCATTTCGCACCTTGTGACTGGGATGGACTGGTGCTTGGTGTGATTGTTCTCTAGTTCAAGCTTCTGGAAAATATATTGATACTGTTGGTTGCCACCCTAATCTCTGAGCAGTGCAAGATGCCAGGAGTTCTAGGCACTTAAACCCATTCTTTTGTGTTTCCAATGGAAAGAAGCCAGTGGAGATTGTGGTGTGTTTGTGAGAAATGGTTTATTTACAACCTAAGCCTATGCTGGAGGGGTTCACAGCAGCAAGAGGGTCTTGCTTCTCTCATAGCTACAGCCTTTGATTCCAGCAGAAATCAGGCATGGCTCTGTCTCTCAGCTGCCCAGATTGCAGCTTTGCTTCCAGCTTCTGCCTCTCTCAGCTCTGGCCTTTGTCTTTCTGACTACCAGTGAGTTGAGGGAGGGGGGCCACCAGTTGCCCTCTGGAGCCAATCCACTTCCTTTGTTATCTTAACGGCCCATGGGCCATTACCAGGAAACTAACCTGGTTATTCCCAGGATGGAATCTGTGCTGGATCCAGGAATTAGAAGGGAGTTCAGGCATACAGCCTGCCCACCGCCACACACACAAACTCATAGCACTACTATCCAAATGTGACAAAGCTTTCCATTGCGCTGTAGAAAAATATCCTGAATCAATTCTCTTACACATTTTGGATAACAGTTGCTTAGCCTTAGCCCACTAAAGTATGAAAATTATTATTATTTATTTATTTTGCTTCTGCTTTTAGCAGTTAAAAATAACACAGGCTTTCAAATCAAAGCATTATGCCTTGTACAGTGTGTGTGGACAAAGAAAGTTTGAGAGATAAGGCACAAACTCACCTGTCAGACAGGTGAAACAAAGAATAAAGAAAGTTTGGACACCTGATTTGCCTTTCTCCCATTTCTTGAATCTACTGAATAAAGAATTATGGTACCATCACAATATATTGATTGAAGGGAATTACTGTTAAACTTAACTTCCTTTATCTGGGGTTGGTGGTGGTGGTTGGTTACTTTAACTCAGTTTGCTTTTTTTTAAAAAAAAAATCCATTAAAACCATGTTTAGAAGCAATGCAAGCCTCAGCAAGAAAGGAAGTTCCCCCCTCTCTTTTATCTGCCTGAATAAATTTCCCTATTGCGTTCCAAAGGAAGACTGGTGGTTAAAAGACAATAGGAGTGCAACTGCCCTTCACAACTCATCTCCTGCAGAATCTCAGGAAATTCTCACTTCCCTATTTTCCCAGCACCCCTTCCAAACATGTGATCTCAAAAGTCCCTTTAAGTTTCAAAAGGATTTCCTTGAGAACAGACTTTTGGGTTCCTATTAGATGATTCACTTTTCCACAGAACCTCTGACAGATCAATAAGTGATTCATCTCTGTGTAAACCCCTCTGAAGTGTCAAGGATGCTAACTGCTACCAAATTGCACTTAGGGATATTGCATAGCAATGAAATTACGTAATCCACAACCTAAAAATAGCAAAGACTCTCCTGCTTCCAACTCTTGCATTAACTTTGCAAATGGGATATGGGACAATTAGTAGACATTACCATAATGAAAAATTAAAGCTGGCATGCTGCCTTTAAAATATTGGTCTGGCAGTGAATAGGTGCAAAAGTTGGATACAGCCCTGGTGTATGCTCTCCCTGTGATGCTAGGAAGTGGCATGTTCTCATTGCTACAGTATTACAATTACCATTTAGTCTTTTACCATTGCATGTTCCTGTGTGCTTGCATATATTCATTTGCTACCTGTTTGTTCTGCCCCATCACCACTGCAATAATATGCAGCCTCCTGGCTTGAGCTAGAGAGGGAACTACAAGAAACAACTTCAAATCATTTTCTGCCATAGGGGTGGAGAACTTCAGACCCAAGGACCAAATGAAGCCTTCCATGCTTCTCACACCTTTGGATCTCTCTGCAGCACCCACCCTCTAACTGGCGCTGCTTTGCACTCAGAATGCTTTTGCCTAGCAGAAATGAATGTGTCCTTCAACTCTCAGAATGCCTCCTGCTTGTCTGGATAGAGGGGTGTAAGAGAGTGTCTGTAGGAAGTATCCTACAAAGGTAATGTTTGCACTCATTGTTCCACCCACTTTTAGCTCTGACCCATACCCATGTGACACTTGGGAGATTGTCCACATAGGAATTCAGCCTGTGGGCTAAAAATGGTTCTTCACCCTTGTTGTGCCATATTCACCTGAAATGTAAACATATGGAACTGCCTTACACCAGGTCAGAACATTATCTAACCCAGTATGTCTATTCCAGCTGTTATATGTTCTGCAAAAGAATCCGCCGCCGCCCCCGTCTTTACCACCCAAGATCTTGTCAATGGGGGATGCAGAGGATTGAAGGTGTGGACAAATGTCTGTATATTAGCAAAAATAACATGCAGAAACATCCATGCAAACGTGTGTTTATTAGGAGTAATTAGCCACAGCAATGTCAAGAGGACCTGTAAAAAGAAATTTGCAAATTGCTGAATAAACTTGGAGAGCTTAATTTAAGTTTTGGAAAACGAGAAACAGAGAGGACAAAAATTGATAGGTTCTTCCATTTCCTACACAGCACACACAGCAACTAATTAGAGGCTAGTTCAGAATTGCCCTCAACATGCAAATGAACAGGAAACAACTAATTACAAAGGGATGGAGCTGATGGGCAAGCCCAGTGGGACTGTATGCAGGTGGGTGGGGCAAGAGGCAAAAAGTGGATGAAGCGATGGATATGACAGCTACCTTTGTGAAAGGACATCTCTTGCAGTAAGTTCTGTTTGTTGGGGCTATGGATTTCAGGTAAGCGATTAGGAGGATTATCTACCCATCTTACCATTTTGTTCCTTGTTCTTCAGAGGCATTTATTTGCACATTTAAAACAATATACATCTGGATCCTGACACAAGCAATTTTTCTGAGGGGACATCTGAGATTGTTCTCAGTTTTTTTAAAAAAACCACACACATTTTAATGTTTGTTGTTTATGATTTCACTGAATTTCATTTTTAAAAAAATAATAATCACAAACTTCTTGAGTACCCCTTCCAAAAAACAGCATTAGAAAAAGATAGAAAGCTAAAAGCTCCTCTCTGTACTTCTGATAATTGCATGGCAGTTTAGGCTTCTAAAGTGAATCTGCACTCATTTCTCTTCCAAGGTCTAAATGCTTTTTACAATTTGTGTTCCAAGTGAGCATTGTAAATGACGCTTTGATATTTTAACAATGAAAACACAGGGAAAGTAATTACTTAAGCCATTATGAAAGAAGTGCAGAGTGCATAATATATTGCCAAAAGTGAAAAGGGGGAAAAGCTTGGGGAAAATACAAATAAATTAACTACCATGGCAACACATTTCTGAGGGGAAACACATTTTTTTAAATTTCCAACTCTTAGATTATTGTTTCTACTCCCAGGTTCTTGTTCAAAATAATGAATCTGTTTCACACTTGAAAATTTGTTTAACTTATCCATTGAAATTAATAGACATAACAGGGCTGGGTTTGATTTGGTCTCATGCAGGGCAATCCTATGCATATTTACTCAGATGTAAATTCCACTGTGTCCAATGGCTCTCGGTCCCTAGTCTGTGTGTTTAAGACTGCCATCATGATCTGTGCTATTCTTCAAGAAAAAGAGGTGCCGAAACTCACAATGAACGCCTCTCTTGTTCCAGCATTGAAGTAAGATTTATCCACCTCCAGTCTCCTTAGTTTCTGTGCATCAAATGGGCAGGAGAAGAATCTTGTCCACCTCAGGAAGTGAAATATCTTAGGTCAACCATGAACTCTGTCCATTTCTTTTTTACACTATATTTTCACTTCTGCTTTATCTGTCTAGGCAGTGTTTTCCATAGAACCACTAAGGTATGGATGTAACAATGCCTTATCACACTAGAAATGTCAAATCAGTGTACAAAAAAGGGCTATGAAATTAATGAAATTCAGGTTTGTGCATTTATAAGGGTGTAATCCTGTTAACAGTTTTCACATTGCTGTGCTATTTTTTCAAATAATAAAATAATTTCTTTACAATTCTATTTATATTTAAGCATTTCTAGTTATAAGGAAGGGGTGGGAAACTGACCTCTCAGAAGTTTGACTATAACTCCCATCATCCCTGTGTTGGCTGGGACTAATGGGAGTTTGAGTCCCGCAGATCTGGAAGGTCGCAGGTTCCTGATTCCTGTGATAAATTAGGCTAGATTCTCACACTGAAATTAGGTGTCATCACAGCCTGAAAACAGTGGAATCATCTGGGATCTAATAACAAGAAGGCAGTGTTAAATAAAAGTTAGATTTATTTAGCATCACCACACGAAGTCTGTGGTATCAAAAAGAATAATAAAATAGCATTCTAATTAAGACATTGATTTAGCTTAGCTATCAAGTAAAGAGAAAACCTTTCAAGTAGAGAGAGAAGTCTCATAAGGAGCAAAGACTTTTTTCTTTTCCTTAGCTGGCAAGATGCAAAATGTATCGTTTTATGTATATATGCCTCATCTTTGCCAGCAGAGGAAGAGAAAATAGCTTTTGCTCATTAAAATGATCAGCTGATCAGTCAAGCAGACAAACAAGCCCATTAGAGAAAACAATAGACAAGTTCAATGGTGTAGACCAGAGTTTCCCAAACTTGGGTCTCCAGCTGTTTTGGACTACAATTCCCATCTTCCCTGACCATTAGTCCTGCTAGCTAGTGATGATGGGTGTTGTAGTCGAACAGCAGTCGGAGACTGAAGTTTGGGGAACCCTGGTGTAGACGAAGAACATGACACCACTTTTGTGAAGAAGAAAGCTTTAGAAGTGGTCATAAACTACTTATAGTTTAATTTCCATTCTACAAGTCGGTCAAATGATGGGTATGAGCTTAACAGGAGTCCAACATTCCCCATGTTCAAATCAGCATTGCATAGGACCATAGCAGTCAATCAAGAGAAAGTGGGCAGGTACATCAAGGCTATTCAATGGGATTGGCTCAGATGTGGTGAATTTTTGGGCCGGCCCATTAGAAGCTTCCTTACAGAGTATCAGATCTTTGGCCTGTCTAGTCCAGTACAATGTACAGTGAGTGGCAGCAGCTCTTAAAGGTCTAGGGCCAAGGACTCTAGACCTGTTGCCTGAAAATGTTTAACTGGATATGCCAGAGAGATAACCTCAGACCTTATACATATAAAGGATGAGCTCTATTGCCGAACAATGTTTTGTTGTTCAGAATTATCCACTCACTGTCTAGTTAAAGTCCTCCTAGATCTAGAAGCCTCAGAGCTGTGCTCAGGGGAGATTCTCAGTGCGTATGGTCAGCTCTATCATTAGGCAGTGAGGCAGCTGCCTCAGGCAGAAATTACTTGGAGTTGTGAAGCAATGAGAAGGTGCTGAAGGACAGAGCTATGAGGGCCATGCAATCTGCTCTGTATCCACTAAGTCAGCCTGCTGGCTTTTGTGAAAGATACTGTCCCATTGCTGGTGTTGCCTTTTGCCTCAGGCAACTAAATAATTGGGCCAGCCCTGCAAATATAGGTCCAGAAAATAGGGAGAATTCTGCCCTCCACCGAGACAAGCCAATGAGGACACTGACTGCATACATAGTCTACTGTTTTGCTGTCCAAATAAGATAAAAGGCATGGGAACCTTCCAAGGATTTTTCCTGCCCACGCCAAGTGACTTCTAATTTAAAAACTAAAAGGTTGGGTTAAGAGGTGTGTGATTGATTTTGTTTTCATAAAGGAAGCTTTGGACTTCAGATATTTTGGAAGCCCTTTCTGAGTATTATTGACTTTTCTGAAGTTACTGATATTGTTAGAGCCAAATGCAGTGTATTTCAGACTTCACCATTCTCCTCTTAAGAAGTAATCAGAATGCAAAGCTTAATGCACAATAACAAGGCTGCACTATTGAGCAGTGTGGCTCAACTCTAATTTTTCCTTCATACGTCATAAAGGCACAGAAGATGGATGACTCTGACTAAAACCCACAGGTTTCTCCCAGAGATCAGTAGAGCTAATAATGAGTAGAGATGCACAACAGGGAAATAATTCAACATAAGATTTCTTGAATGATAAAAGGGAATGACAAAAATCAAGCAGTCTAATTAACATAGAGAATGCATTTAAAATACTTTTTTAAATTATTGAGTATTTTCAATAAATCAGGCTAATTTTTTTTTAAAAGGCTCTGCAACATCTATCATCATCACTAGTTGCTGATTCAATATCTCCAAGTAAGAAATGACCACAAGCTACAGTAATAATGATCAGCAATCCAAATATTTGTATAATGCCTATAAGAACATAAAGAGAAATTAACATTTTAAGCACATCAAGAATTTTAATGATGTATCACTAATACTGTTTTGTATAATACAGTGGTACCTCGGGTTACATACACTTCAGGTTATAGACTCAGCTAACCCAGAAATAGTACCTTGGGTTAAGAACTTTGCTTCAGGATGAAAACAGAAATCGTGTGGTGGCAGCAGCGGGAGGCCCCATTAGCTAAAGTGGTGTTTCAGGTTAAGAACGGACCTCCGGAACGAATTAAGTATGTAACCAGAGGTACCACTGTATTGACCTGCCAACCTCAAGTGTGCAGTGCCGATTGTTGAAATGAGCTGAATAAAAGTTTGTGACAACAATGCAAACCAGATGGCCTGGCTTTCGATTCGAGACACGGCAAGGCGAGTGGGCTGATGATTCAGGAGGCAGCATGCTTTCTTCTGAGTCAGGGTAAGAGCAAGACTCCAGGCCAACATGGAGGGGATTATGCTTTTGAAAGTGCCACTTCTTTCCTTATTTGACAAGTGAAAAGCAGGTCATGGAGAAGAACAATATGCTAAAGTGTTCAGATTCTATTTTCCAACTGGTCCAGCCCCTCCCCCCTTAACACTACCATTTATCCAACTAAAGCTTACCCTATTTACAACAGAAATCAGACAGAAGCATATCAGTTCAAATATACCTCATACAAGAGTACTTGAATGAATATTATTTATATTCCACTGTTCCTCCAAAGGCACCCAAGGCAACCAGCATGTCAATACTAAAACAATACAATGGAAACTTCTCAAAGCAGTTGAAAGCAACTTTCTCTGTGCGATACATGATGCAAAGAGTTTGGAAAAGAAATATAGCTCAGTCTTCAAGAGGCACGCTATTAGGATATAGCAGCAGCAGCAGCATGTTATTTATGGAGCTTTCCTAACACAGCAGTGGAAATACTGCCAGTTCCCAAATGAACCTACCTAAATAGGTTCACATTGTCATCCAATCCACCATCCTCCATATAAACTAAGGATGGGTTCAGCTGTTTGTAAATAGTTCTGTGAGAACGCTGCACCCACCCATGTTCTGCATGGACCACCACCACTTAAAATGAAGACACACATTTTATAACAGACTCCTGGCACTCTAATGATCTTTGCTTGATCTTCTTGTGAATTTCCTTACATCCATTGATTGCCTCCTCTTTCCCTGTGCTCCTGACGCTCTTTAACAGTTCAGCACTTTAAACAGACAGATGAGACTTGCATCACAATGTTGTAGTGTAGAGGACTTCCTTTTCTGTGTGACAGGCAGACAGACAACCATGCCCAGTGGCAGAGCCTCTGCTTTGCATGCAGAAGGTACAAGGTTCAATCCCTGGAATCTCCAGATCAGGCTGAGAATGTCCCCTGCCTGAATCCCTGGAGAGCCCCTGCAAGTCAGTGTAGATGGACCATTGGTCTGACATGATATGAGGCAGCTTCCCATGTCCCAGCATTCCATTGCCTCACCCCAACCCCTTTTTCATTCTACGCCTGTCAACAGACATTTAGCATTCTGTGACCACTGATCACGCTCAGTCCTCTTGAGATGTTTTGGGACACATCCCCTTAGTCCCCTCCCAATTCCCCCCCCCTTTTATACTTCTGCTGATTTGTCCTATTTTAGTTACAGTCTTGGCAGTACTCACCACCTGAGTTCGCTATTAGAAGGAATGTTTGTAGTACAAAACATCTGAAGCCAAAGATTGGAGAAGGCAGCACCAGCTACATCCAAATCAAGCCATAAAACCATCATCATCAATTTCTGGCATCCTGCTCATCTGATCGGGTTGCCCCAGCCACTCTGGATGGCTTCCAACAAAGAAGAAGAAGAAGAAGAGGAGGAGGAGGAGGAGGTGGAGTTTGGATTTGATGTCCTGCTTTATCACTACCCGAAGGCGTCTCAAAGCGGCTCACAATCTCCTTTCCCTTCCTCCCCCACAACAAACACTCTGTGAGGTGAGTGGGGCTGAGAGACTTCAGAGAAGTGTGACTAGCCCAAGGTCACCCAGCAGCTGCATGTGGAGGAGCAGAGACGCGAACCCGGTTCACCAGATTACGAGTCTACCGCTCTTAACCACTACACCACACTGGCTTTCGATTCGAGACACGGCAAGACGAGTGGGCTGATGATTCAGGAGTGTAAACAACCCACATCCAACAAAGTATTAACATCAAAACATCAAACATTGAAAGCTTCCTGAAACAGCCTTCAGGTGTCTGCGAAAAGTCATATGATGTTTAAAATTCTTGGAAAACAGCAGTGAAGATCTGGCACAGTCATCCATCGGAAATTGTGTGACTCTAGCAGTTAACACAGCTGCCTGCAACTTAAAAGGAAGGAATACCAGTAATTAATACATTTACCAGAGTCACCAGGTTATCAGTTTTGGAATCCTTCTAGAGTTTTGCTGAGAACTCTCATAAACAGGGTGCGCAGGGAACTCCAGACTTGGCCTCCTGCTTCACTACCACCCTTTTCCTCAGTCTTCTCAGAAGCCTTGGTGGTCAGGATGGGGAAGAAATTCAATTCAGCATGCATTTAGCGGTAAAAAGGTAAAGGTAAAGGGACCCCTGACCATTAGGTCCAGTCGTGACCGACTCTGGGGTTGCGGCGCACATCTCAATTTATTGGCCGAGGGAGCCGGCATTTGTCCGCAGACAGCTTTCGGCTCGTGTGGCCAGCATGACTAAGCCGCTTCTGGCAAACCAGAGCAGCGCACGGAAACGCCGTTTACCTTTCCGCTGGAGCAGTACCTATTTATCTACTTGCACTTTGACGTGCTTTTGAACTGCTAGGTTGGCAGGAGCAGGGACCGAGCAACGGGAGCTCACCCCGTCGCGGGGATTCGAACTGCCGACCTTCTGATCGGCAAGTCCTAGGCTCTGTGGTTTAACCCACAGCGCCACCCGCGTCCCGCATTTAGCAGTGAACATACCTAATTTTCACTTTCCAAAACATGACACAGATGGAAACACAGCCATCCTTTGAAATTCACCAAATTTCTCCGAATTTCGCAATACGATTCTGCAGCCTAGATCGCAAGAACATGAGAAGAGTCTGCTGGGCCTAAGTAGACCAATGTCCTGTTCTCACAAGGCCAGCCAGATGCTTGTGGGAAGCCTGCAAGCTGGACATGAGCACAAAAGCACCCTGTCCTCCTGTGGCTTCCAGTAACTGGCATTCAGAAGCCAAGGATAGCCTGATGATCCATGAATTTACTGAACCCTCTTTTAGAGCCGTCTGAGTTGGTGGCCATTGCTGCCTCTTGTGAGAGTAACTGTGCGCTATGCAAAGAGGTACTTTCTTTTATTTGTCCCAAATCTTCCAACATTCAGCTTCATTGATTGTCTCTGAGTTCTAGTGTTATGGGGGGGGGGGCTCTTTTCTGTCCACTTTCTGCATGCCATGCAAGTAACGTCCATAAAAATGCATGAACTGGGGTAATGTGAACCTCTGGCCTCCCCCCCCCCCTTCTCCACCCAACTTGTCCACGTGCCTGTGTGCTATTATGTTCACAGTCTTCCTGGCTCCCGACTATATTAACACCTGATCCTGTCCAGACCTCCCTCTCTCCGGCTCTCATCATTTACATTGTGTTCATGTCCTGGCTTGCTCTGCCAAAAAAGTACATTGATTTGCCAGCTGCCCTTTGTTTTAAAGAAACGTACATGTGTTATGATACATTCCCTGCTCTTACTTTTCATTTCTGCCTCTCCTTATTCTGAAATTTCATAGCTCCACAGGCTATCTTTTATTTCAGAACACACCAAAGGAGATATACTTGTATACTGCAAGCGCTTCAAGCCAGAGGCCTGGAGTTTCCCTTACTTTAATTTTGATCTTCCAAGCTGTTGGCTGCTTAGCTTTACAATGCAGGTAGCCAAAACAGGTGCCAGCAGCTCCCTTCACCCTTTTCCAGTCACCGTGATGGCTAAATCTTCTGGGAGTCGTAGTGCACCAGCACCTGGAGGGAACCACGTTGGACAACTCTGCTTTTTTACATTGGTTGTAAATGGAAATAGGGTTTTTCAAAAACAGGGGGGGGGCGGTATTTAAAAAATGGATCTAAATGCACACCTTTTGTACATAGCAATTAATCCCTGCTAATCCTCTTTAGCTTTACATGTAAGATAAGCTTTGCATTGGCACAGGGAATTAATTTTAGGTGAGCAAAGCAGGTTCTGCCTTTCCCTGCCAGAGTTTCTTCACGTGTTGCGACAAACAAAGCCTGCCTGCCATGCTAAGTCTCTAATGACTCAACCGTTTACGTTGAGTTGTCGTCTATAAAAGGAGTGCAAACAGAGACACCTAGTGGCGAATACTTCACATTATTGCCGCCGAACCTATGACATCAGAATGCTACTATCTCTGCTTAAAAATATGACGACGAAATGTAGTGAACTATGATTTTAAAAAAGCTTTAAAAATGAGCACTAAACAGAGAATGTGGGATAAGGAATACAAGTGTATGTGCGGAGTGAAGATATCATATTTTAATCAACTGTTATAAATTGACATAGCTGTCACCTTTTCCCTTTTCTTGCGAGGAATCCTATTCGGAATAAGGGAATTTCCCTTTAAAAAAGGGAAACGTTGACAGCTATGTAAATTGATATGTTTGAGTTTATTTTATAATGCATTTAAAATGTTATAATTCCCGTATTAGCAAAGTGAAATATGTATTTCAGCTGTTTTGAAATGAATTAGTATTTAGACTGTTACTGTAATGTTGCATCAATTTGAATTTATTGCTGTCGTGTTCTGAGCCACTAGGGCACATTTATGTGGAAATGCAGTATACAAATTGAAATAATGAAAATAAATTAAAAGATATGATGATCTTAGTTCATTACATCATATCTTGCAAGCGCAGAATATGATCCATATAGGATGGTGGCTGCTATAAGTCACCATTGGCCAAATAGCTGTATGCCTGAATATCTCTGGTTTCCAATCCTATTATTGTTATATTAAATAACACAGATGGAATCCAGAGAAAAAAGTCCTGATAACACTTTACTAAGCAAACTGAATAAAAACAATGTATAGTTTGGCTTCCTGTGTCATGTGCCATAGGTAGATAACTTTATGACCACTGCCCCATAGCAATTGTTGTTATACAATTTCATTCACCATTTAGATGGGTTTATGAAACATTTCTGTATCCTTCTGCTGTGCTGAAGAAGAATTCCACGAAACAGTGGGTATATCCGGAATCACTACATCTGTTTGCTGACCACTTCAGCAGCGTTGGACATCATAAACAAAGATTTACGGCTTGTTTTCACCAGATAAGAATCTGACCCATTGCTTCTTTCAGAGACTTGCATAAAAGAGACTTGCATAGTCTACAAAGACTTTCAGAGACTTATAAGACTTATGTTTATTTGGTTCTATATTTTCAAGAGAATCCATCAAGAGTGCATATTTTGCGACTTTCAGAGATTTATAAGATTTTTGTTCATTTGGTTTTGCAGAGAGTACATATTTCATATATTTCATACTGTTCAAGGTTCTGTATAGATTATATAAAGTGTTTATAGTGACATTGCATTGTTGTACTTGGTCATTGTGTTGCCTTGGATATTTCTGATAATTGTTTGCAACACAGGGGTTTAATTGTTTGGTTACTATAGGTAGATAAAGAGCAATGTTTTTTTCTGGGCGGGGGCAAGGTGGGGGAACTCACTATAAAGTTTTTTGTTTATTTGTTTGTTGAGAGCCCAGTTGCAGTGCCAAAACACCCCCACACCCCCACATGGGCAGTGGCTAAATGTAAGATGTGATTAATAAACTCAAGCAGACGATGATCTGGATTAGAAATGGCCACAACTTTGTTCATTACCAGACAAAAAAATCCCCAATTAGTTAATTTAAAAGAGGTAAGGGAATTCAGTTTCCCCGAGTTCCTACTAAAAAAAGAACCTCATAAAAAGTAACGAGGCTGCCATAGGATAGTATGATGCCAACGAGGCATAGAGGTAGGATAGTAAAACCATGGGTCTTTGTATGTACATTTACACAGTCAAAAATTAAGTCCCGACTAAACACTATAGTAAAAATAATATATTTATTTGCCACAGTTTCATGAAAAGAAATGTCTCTAGCAGCCTTAAAATAAATATTATTATACAAATTCAAGTTTGGTATATTATAAAATAGGGTATTTTGCTGAATTTAACCTCAATCTGGTTTCAAAGAACACTTAACAAGCAACATTACTATTAACATTACATTTTAATCTCCATCTGCAATACGCAGGTTTCAAGCAAGTCTATATTTACTAAACTTTTTTATTTTATTTGGAGAAACATGTAAAAGAAATGCGTCTCAGGTAGGCTCAAAATAAATATTATTATACAAATTCAAGTCTGATGCAGCATATATAGCAGCACATTGCTTATCTTACTTCAATCTGTTTTCAAATCCCATTAAAAAGCAGCCTCCATATAAATTACTATTAATCTTCATATGCAGTGCGCAATAATTAAGTCTGTGTTCGCTGAGCTAATTTAACCATGTTCAAAAGTTCAAATGATTAAAAATGTATCTTTCACAGCTTGCGCACTGCCTAAAAATAATGCAAGCATATTAATATTGCCCGTTTGCCCGTGCTAATTCCATTTATTGTGGACTAATTAAGTTTATTTGAATATCGGGACTATTGCTTACCTATTTTCAAGTTCCATTAGCTTCCATGGAGATATTGGCAATTTATTCCTGATTGGCGTTCATGCATGACAAAGGATGCCGTACGAGATGGGAATGCCCACATCCATGACTCGCAGTGCCCTTCTGCTGGGCTGGAACCATGCAGGAACTCACCAAGCTGCTAGCTGGAGCTGTCCACTCTGACTGCCTGGTTTTGCAGGTAGGGGAACAAAGTTGGCACATTCTCTCTCACACAGTGGGTGAGCCCAGCCATACCCTTCCATCTGGTCAATCGTGCCCAAGCTGACAGTATTCACCAACCGTCCTAGAAGGGAATCGGGTGGCACTTCCAGGGAACATGTTTATTAAGCATTCATCCTGATTATTTTCAGGGGAGGCTAGGTTATATCAGCTATTTAAGGAGCATTAATTCTGATTTGTTTGAGTTGGCTATCTTCAACCTTTCACTTTTAACCCCAACATGCATCTACAGACCTATTTCTTAATCTTTTGCCATATATTTGCACGGTGGTAGTGCTCCTCTTGCAACCCACCTTCGATCAGGCCACGCCTCATGAGTGGGTGCTGACCAGTGGGCTACATGACACTGCATCAAAGCAAGTGTTCCCAGTGCATTTTCCTGTCACTTTCCGGTCTTTGGGGGAAGCAAGTTTGTTGGGCAAGGTATCCCAATCAATTATAATTTGCAATCCAAATTTTCTAGTGTGTGACTGAATGCCACCTGAAAATAGTGACAGTCTGGAAAAACCTTCACATGCAAGGTATGCATGCAGCCCACTGCTGAGCATAAGGATGACATGATTTTCCAGCAAATATGGGGTGTGGGTCCATAGATTTTTCACAGAAGCAATCACAGCATAGCCCTATAGAATATGAATCGAAAGCCCTTCTCATTGGTCTAGTACTTTCCCTTATGCTTAAAGCTTGGTTTACAATGGCAAGGTTTTGCACCAACATGTCACAACAGAATTGCTCCTGCTTTGCAGCACTAGAAAGAAGAAATGAAAGTACATGGCAAGTTTTTCAATGCAAACACTGAAAGGCATTCTGGCCTGTCTGGAGTCCAAAACCATTTCTCGAAGATTCCGTTGCATGCAAAAGTAAGCCGAGTCTGAAAATGTGAAATGCTTGAAAATATCCAATATCTTTTATCTTGAAGTCCCTTGTGAGATTTCTAGTCCTGATGAAGTGTCCCTTTGATGCAGCGCTGAGTTCTGTTTCTTCAGGTCTTGCCCTATTCCCTCGAACAAACAGGGGAATTCCACTGAGTCACATCAGTTCTAAGTTCTACTCAGACTTAAGTAAATAACCTACAGATTCTACTGGCATTCATCTTCTGTTCTGGTTAGTCTGTTTTCTAATAACTATGCAAACTTCAGAGTTAAAATATGCCACAGTTGGGAGGCAACTGAGACATTCACAAGTTCTGAAAGGCAAACTTTCCCATGGGTCCTTGAGGTTCGATAATATATTTGCCCATTTTTTTCTTCATATAAAGCCATACTGTGACCATCACCACAATAGATATCAACGCAATGCTAAAGAGCACTGCAAGGACAATGACTCCTGTTTTCCAGGCTGAATTGTCTTTCGTTGGCTTCAGATCTTCCACTTGCTGGGATGTGGCAATTGCTGAAAGTATATTGTAGAAACAAAAAATTAGCTTAGCTTAAAGTACTGCAACCTTTAAAAAGTGCTGAAACTAGCAGAGTGGGTCCAAGACATTTTGCTGCCTGAGGCCAAACAGTAAACGGTGCCCCACCACCAAAAAGTCAAGGTGTATGGAATCTAAGGCAGTCAAGTCCTTTTGGTACTTGAGGCATTCAATCCTACATGTGCCTCTCCCTTGAAGCAATAATAAATAAATAACAGTTGGCTGCTCTTTCATGAAAGTCAGCTGTCATAGGTGGCTGCCTCACATTACTTCATGGTAGGGCTGGCCCAAATTCGCACAAGTCACTGGATACTATTTTTTCCACAGCATCATAGGAACTTTTCTCAGGGAGCACTAGACCTTGTTAATACTAACTTTTTACTTGTGACACCTCAAGTGTTACTTTATTTTATTAGGCCTGCAGGCAGATATTTTTAAATACTTATACACAAGAGTAATCAGCTTTCAATCAGACTGAATGTGCTACAATGAATATGGAAAGGATAGCACAACGTTTAGGCCCTATGTTTGGGGAAGGTTTTTCTAAGTTGGTGGATTCTTGAAAAGCTACAGAGCTGGCGAAGTCTCTGGAAATTAATTTGCCATGAAACAGCCAAACTAAGCTACATGTGACCAGGAGTGGGTGGTGCCACCGCAGACCTGCCCCCGGCCCCAGCAAATAGCACTGCTGCCATGACCTGGGATGGTGAGGAGGGAGGTTTGGGTTGTTTTGCATTACATTTGCCAGTGCAACTGACACACTGGCCCTCCCCGCCAGCACGTCCTTCATTTTACAGTGAGCATGCAATTATCCACTGTTGCCAGTACAGTGGTACCTCGGGTTAAGTACTTAATTTGTTCCGGAGGTCCTTTCTTAACCTGAAACTGTTCTTAACCTGAAGCACCACTTTAGCTAATGGGGCCTCCTGCTGCCGCCGCGCTGCCGCTACACGATTTCTGTTCTCATCCTGAAGCAAAGTTTTTAACCTGAAGCACTATTTCTGGGTTAGCGGAGTCTGTAACCTGAAGCATATGTAACCTGAGGTACCACTGTATTTTCGTTGCTAAACAGTAGGTGACTGCTCTTGCTACAGTCCTGATCTAGATCTCTGCCCCATTCCTGCACCTACTGTTTGCCCAGATAGGATGGCCTGATCTGGATCAGGATTGCAGTAGGATCAAAAGGTTAAAATCCCCCACTTGGGATTTTCTTCCCTCCCATTCACCTCCTATTTAGCACAGAAAAAGAAGGACTACATTTGTTAATTACATGCACAGCATAATGTGGCAAATGGCCAAAGCTGGTTTTGCATGAGGAATTCTAACGTCATCGGTCTGTTATCTAGGTAAACACCTGTGCAAGTCTGAATCTGCCTTATGTACTGAGGTTTCAAAAGGTCTGAACATTTACTTTGGCATCCACTGGACATCCTACCCAAAGGGGGAGGGAAACCCACTTCCTGCATACCTTGTGATTTTGAATATGCAAGCAAGACAATGCCCAGACATTTGAAGCAGTACAAAAAAATGGGATATTATTTCTTGCCTAATCTCCCTGAACAAAGGATGGATCCTTCACATGACTGGACTCACTGCTAATAGAGAAAGAATGCAAGTACATATGAGAATGATGGACTAAAATCCAAGTAGCCATGGAAAGCTACAGTCCCTGGATTTCCCATTGCTTCTTAGAAACAGCAGTTTGTGTACTATCAAACAATGCAAAGACCACTCCTTCTGTTGGTAAAGCAGGAGTGATGTATGCAGGCAACCTGAGAATGAAGCAACATTACACTTTTCCTCAAATACTCCCCAAACAAGTTGAGAATGACAGCTGTGCTTCCTGTATGCCCCTCTCAGGTTGCCAGCAAATATTTGCACGTATAACCTGTTGGCTAACTGGAGCTAGGCAGTTTTAGGATCTTCCCTTTAGTTAGGGTTTAAGAGGCATTTATTTATGCCCTGTTTGGAGCCTACAAGGAAAAGGGACCTATGCCCTGTGGGTGCATCCTCGAAGTTTGGTTTCTTAACATAGCCACACCACAAACAATCCATTTGGAAACAAAGGGTGGATTCCTCTTTGTACTAAAAGGATGGAGAGAAACTAGGTTCTGAGGACACAATGGAGTGTGTCTTCCAGTTCTGGTTACAGCCCCACTGAAGATTCGCTCCATGGCAAGGAGGACTCCCCCTCTGCTGTGGAAAGCTTGGGTGGAATTGACTTTGGAGGACACCTATGAAAGGATACAAAGGTTCCTTTCTGTGGTGAGATGGGCTCCCTCTTCACCACTTAAAGGATCCTTGGGTGAGGGGGGGGATTGCCCCTTCACCACTGAAAGTATAGGGCAAACTAGCCCCCGATAAGATATGTTTTGTGGTATGTGTCCTCCAAGCCTCAATCACGCTTCCCAAATAATCTTTTAAACAGGGAAAAGCTTTCCCTCCTTGCTGCTGAACTGATCTGAAGGAGGCCTCCAAGGGAATACATCCTCTGATCTGGGAATTCAACTTCCAGTCCTTTGAGAAGAAAGTCATGATGGAACTTGTCATGGTGGACAATTTCTGACTAGATCAAGAGATATTTGTAGTGCCATGAACAACAAGATTACCTGTTACTGTTACAGCAGTCTTGTTATCAAGCATTTTTGTTACTACTTCTGTTAAATAGTCCGTGAAATTTTTTGTTCCAATCCACTTTTGTCCTTGCAGGAGAAATGCAAAATATGCATCCACACTTCCAGCTTGGTATCCCACCATTTCGATATTAAAGTTGTCATCTCCAAGCTTCATTATCATTCCTTTAGAAACCTGAAAACATTTATATTTATTCCAAAATGTCAATACGTAAAAAACGGGCAAGACACCATCACCATTCCCCCAAACTTTAACTCTTTTCACTTTTACCGGACTTCTTTTAAAAGAACAAATAAAAAAGACCATGAGATTGGTCTAAACAAAACGTATTTAACATTTCCAAAATGTTGTGCAGTAAATAGCCTAAAGTTTCATATGTAAGAGCTCATATGTGACAGCAGTTCTTTGCCGTACTGTACCAAGGTCTGCTAACCAAAGTCAGATGGGAAGTGGTGGCTCAGGGACTGTAGCCAATTTCCTACTGCACTCCTGCATATATGTATATATGCAGGTATATATTATCTACATATACAAGAACAAATTTATATTGAGTTACTACTGAACAGAGTTTCTAATAGCCTAATTGTTTGTGGAGTGGCAGGACCTTTTTGTTATCACTATGATGAAACAACTGGGAGTCAGACTGCAAATCATCTAGCAATCTAAAAGCTGACCTTGTTCTAGGCTTCTTCCCATAGAGATCCAAGAATTCCATTCCTGCTGTTGGTTCCAGGTCTCCTGCTGGACTCCTGTCACATTCTGCTCATGCCCCCCCATCCCACCCCAGTTCACAGAACTCAGTGAGCCCCAGTTACCACTGTCCTGTGGGATAGGTCAACACTGATGAAAGACACACAACATGTGTGGAAGTATAAGGATTTGCTATCTGGACTGGAAATATTAGGGTATGTTGCTGGTTTTGGGTTGGGTACCCTTGGGAAAGAAGCATAAAGGCATAGACACCCATTTTTTTATTATTACTATGGCTTTTCTAGTTTGAGACTTTTATTCCATGGTGCTTTTTACTGATCCCCAAAGGTTCTAAATATTGCAGCATGTTGTTTGTTATGCTTTTAGGGTATGATTTTAAATATTCCCAATCTGATACTCTCAGATAGGGGTGCACATTCTATTGCTGCTGTTGTGTATACTGGTTTGAAATAGATTTGCACATTGTGTTGAGAATGCTTCTTCAAAAGATAATGACTGCAACAAGGGATAATGTTAAAGAACTCACAGTTGTTCTGATTTTGTTTGACATATTCTTATAGATCTCACTTTCTGGATTATAAAGGTCAGGTGTGAAACTCTGGTTTTTGAATAAAATTCTGCAAGCAAATGCTTGTTTGCCTGAAAAAGGAATGCAACATAATTAACACCTCAATCAGTTCCATCTCAGAATTCGTTTTCCATATTTCATTGGTTACAGCTCCTGCCTGTCTGGAACAAGACAAACCACAACCCCAGGTTTGGATGTAACTCTATGCCAAACTGTGTTGGGGCAGAATCAGCAGGTTCAGGGGAGTGCAGCAGCTACAATCATCTCTATGAGAACCCCTCAATACTGACACTAAGCTATGGCTTGACTTAGTGTTACTTGCTTATTAGGTCAGCGTGAACAGCCTTCCAGTCTAGATATATTACGACTGGATATGCAACTCCAGAATACATTCTTATGCTTTTATTAGCTTATTTTTAATGGTCATTGCGAACCAGCTAAAAGGACTGAAAAGTGAGCTGTTTGTTTATATGCTTAACAATCATAAATAAACATTTTATTTTTGCTCATGTGCTAAAAAATGTTGATGTGCTCAAAGAAATATGGTCTTAACACTTGCTAAGAAAAAAATTCATTGTAATACTGTCAGAAGAGCACCCAACTTATTCAGGAGGGATGGTGAACCCATAACCCTCCAAAGGATGTTGGTCTATAGCTGCCAGGCTCCCTGGCCATTGGCCATGCTGGCTGGGGCTGATGGGAGTTGGTGTCCAATGGCACCTAGAAGTTCACAGGTTTCCCAGTCCTGCTCTACAAAACGTCATTTGTAGTTATGTATTTAAGCAATCTAATCTTTTTTTAAATATAATTTTTGTTAAGTTTTCCATATTTCATTACGTTTAATCTTACAGTGACAAAAAAAAAATCATAATACATATTTACAACATACTTGAACAGATGTCATGTCGTAAGGAAAGACATGCAGTAGATTGCAAGCAAATATCAGGCGTGTTCAGACACAAGATGGGGTCTATAAAAGAAGCACAAAACCAAATTAATCATGTAAAAGATAATATTCCTCCTCTTGCTGAACTGCCATTTATGTAACTGAAATATAAACTTCAAAATATGAAATGCAGCTTATGAAAGTTGTACTCCCTGCCTGATTTCAAAGAATAATACCAAAAGGTTTGTTGCATATCTTAATTCCAGTCCCAAATACACCCATTTTTGGAAATAGCAATTTAGAGATGATGTGTATGTACATGTGACACATGGCGGTCACTGAAAATCCATGTGCAATTGCCCTAAGCAACACTGCTCACAGGAATATGCTTTTAGCACACTAGCCCAAACCCACATTGACAGTAGTTTGTACTGGCGTAACAAATCCTATATAGCCACCCTCACATAGTACTCATGCAAAATCGGCTCTACTAATTGAAGAGACACCAAGGATTGCCCTCCCTCTGGCATTGTATAGCTGCCCTACGCCAATGTCCACACATTAAGTGAGGACATCTGCAGAAGAAAAGCCTAAACTTGTCAACCTTTACATGCATAGGTTTCCCTGTTGAGACATCCAGATTCAGAGGACAAATGGGGTAGGGGCAGCAGCATGGTCCCCCAGCCACTTCAACCCAGGAAACCCCTTTTGCCTGAGCAACATGTGAAGTGGGGGCTTTGGCCTCTTGGCACCAACTCAGGAAAATGCAAGTAGCGCTAGTGATTCAGAAGCAGTGCTAGAATCCGGATCAAATTTGCAAGGGAGTACAGTATGTTTTCGGAAGTACCTCCTATCATTTATCTGGCATTATGAAAGTCAATACCAGGAGTGCTTTTTCTATCAAACAGACCTTCCTTGAACTAGCTTTAAATAAAGTCATGGCTCTACCTACTGAAACTGTTGCAGAACAAACTCACCGTGTGCTCCATTACACTTCATATAACTCTAATGCACCTTGAATGAACCACTGCAGCTGGAGAAATTTAGCCTGCATTGTGCTAAAATCAGGAATAGAAGGGCTTTTGAAAAAGGAGTCCTGACAGCAGTGAGATGTGCACATGTGCATCCCATGACGAAGCAGTGAAGCTTAAACCTTAATCATTTAATTAGCCATACAGCTTTATAATTTTAATTATCATATCATGGGAAGGTCATATTCACTAACCTTGACACTCTGTTCCAGGATTACTTGTATTCAGATCCATTATGCCTGGATAACATTGACATTTATAGCTGCCAATAGTGTTCTCACACACAGCCAACTTGGAACAGGCGTTATTTCCCTCGCATTCATTTATATCTGGAAGAGGGATGGGGTAAGAAACAATTGCAATATTCTGCTATAGTAATAAATTCTAGTACTGAAGCAAATAAGGAATTTCATGTTCTATACATGTGGAAGAGTAGTTGTAATCCTCCAGGGGAAACTTTCAAAACTCTTGCAACCCTTCCCTATCTTTAGATGGGCCTGACTGTGAAAGACACCTTTCCCTCTGCAGTTGGGACACAGTGAGACTTCAGTTTCCTCTTCACTGGAGACCCTCAAAGCACTTGTTTTTGGGAAAGCTCTCTTGAAATAAGAAGTATGTCTGCAGAACAAGTGGGTTGGGAATTAGCGCTTTTACAGATTAAAACACAGGATGGTGTATTGGTATTTAGAGGCAATTCTCACTGAAATCTGTATAGTTTTGTGATGGGAAGATGAGCTGCTTGTGCGTAAAATCGTATTCCCTCAGAGTTTGTTCAAGTCCACAAACCTCTGTCTGTGACTGAGCCCCTCTGACATGGCTCCTCTAGTCACTAGAAGATTCCGACAGTGGCTGCTTTCGTAATCGCTTCCAACATAAAAGCTCCTTAACGGAAACACGTCTTCTGGACTCTCTGCGTGACAGTTTCCGGCGAGGAGTGGGTGTCCCAACAGGAGGTCCGGAAACCTCACCACTGTTTTCGCTGGAAGTATCTCTGAGCCATCCCCCAGCTCCCTTTCCCTCAGTTCAGCTTCTCTCCCCTGCTGGTTTCCTCTTCAGCTGCTGAGTCTCTTCCAACCTGTCTGAGCCCTTTCACCTCCCTCAGTTCAGCTTCTCTCCCTTGCTGGTTCCCTCTTCCGCTGCTGAGTCTCTTCCAACCTGTCTGAGTCCTTTCACCTCCCTTCCTTCCGATGGCAGTTCCCTGACATCCACCTCCCCTCCAGGGCCCCCTTCACCCCCTCTCGCCCCTCCTCTACGGGCGGTGAGGAGGCAAACCCCGGAATGAACTTCCTTCATCTTCCGATGTCTCGAACACTTCTCTCCACCTGTTGCGGTTCCTGGTCTCGAAGCACTCCTCCTCCTCCGAGTCCATCTCCCTTCCCCTTCCGATTCTGGGAATCCTTCCAACTCCTCCTCCTCCTCAGTGGTCCCAAAGTATTCCCTCCGGAACCTCTCCACAGGCTGAGGTTTCCTCGGGAACCTTTGATGGAACGTTTCTATCAATACCTCGTCATTGATATCTTCGGCCATTACCCACGTGTTTTCTGACTCCGGTTCTCCTTCCCACGCTACCAAATACTCCACCTGATTCCCCTTCCACCTGGCATCAAGGATTTCTGCCACATGACTGCTGCATTCTCTTTCTTCTATGACCGGTCCCCGAGTGGCCATCCCTTCTCGTCCTCCCTCGTACGGTGACAGTAACGACCTGTGAAATACTGGGTGCAGTTTCATGTGGTTGGGTAACCGGAGCCTGAAAGCCACTGGGTTGACCTGTTGAATGACCTCAAAGGGACCCAACCTCCTGGGTCTTAATTTCTTACAACCTCCTTTGAACGGCAACCCTCGGGTTGACAGCCACACCCTATCTCCAACCCTTATGGTTTCACCTTCCCTTCGGTTCTTGTCTGCCTGCCTCTTGTATTCTTCCTTCGCCCTTTCTAAGTTGAGTTGGAGCTGACGGTGGATTGCTTCCATTTCTTCTACAAAATGCTCGGCTGCCGGTACGCTCCATCTCTCCCCTTCTCCCCTGGGAAAGCCCTGGGATGACACCCATAATTAGCCAAGAAGGGGCTCATCCCTGTGGACACATTCTCGGCATTGTTGTAGGCAAATTCCGCCAGCGCCAACTTTTCTACCCAGTCATTCTCTCTGTCATTGACATAACACCTCAGGTATTGCTGGAGGACACCGTTTGCTCTTTCCGCCTGCCCGTTGGTTTCAGGGTGCCGGGCAGTCGAAAAGTTGACCTCCACCTGCAGTAAGCTCATGAGCTTCCTCCAGAACCTGGAAGTAAATTGTTTTCCTCGGTCTGAGACCACCCTCAATGGCACCCCGTGCAACCTAAAAATGTGTTCTACAAATAACTTCGCTGTCTCTTCCGCCGTGACTGCATGCGAGCAAGCTACAAAGTGGCACATCTTTGTTAGTAGGTCTACCACCACCATGATGGCTGTTTTCCCTTTGGACTTCGGCAGATCAGTCATAAAATCTATCGACACTGCCTCCCAAGGTCGTTCTGGTGTTGGTAAGGGTTCTAACAGCCCCGCCGGCGCCCGCCTTTCCCCTTTGGCTCGCTGGCACTGCTCGCACCCTCTTACATACTCACGTACATCCTCCCTCACCTTAGGCCACCAAAATTCCCTGGTGACCAACCACATGGTTTTGTGTTGCCCAAAATGCCCCGCCGTGGGGCTGTCATGCAACTGCTTGAGTACCCTCCCCTTAAGTCTCCTTCAGGGATATACAGTGCCCCTTTGTAATACAAAGCTCCATTTCTTTCCTCGAAACCCCTTGATTCCTCTCCCTCATCCCTAAGACCTCTGAGCTTATTCTGGGCGTATTCATCATTCTCTGTTTCTTCTACCAGTTCTCTTTGTCCCACCAATGCCGCCCCACACACCCAGCGGTCCTCTGGAATGACATGTCTCTCTTCGGGTGCTCCCTCCCCCTCCAAATATTCAGGTTTGCGTGAGAGAGCGTCCGCCCTAATGTTCTCTGGGCCTGGCACGTAACAAATCTCAAAGTTAAATTTGGAGAATTCCTGGGCCCACCTCACTTGCCGTTGGTTGAGCACTCGTGCCGTCCTCCAATACTCTAGGTTCTTGTGGTCAGTGCACACTTGCACCTTATGTTGTGCGCCAATTAGCAGGTGCCTCCATCTCCGGAACGCCTCATGAATGGCTAGTAGTTCTCGGTCATACACCGTGTAGTTCCTCTCGGATTTGTTCAGCTTTCGCGAAAAAAGCACACGGTCTCCACTCTGACTCCTCCTTCCCTGGCTGGAGAAGCACCGCCCCAACCGCTCTGTCTGATGCGTCAGTTTCCACTCTCATCGGTTTTTGTAAATCCACATGCAGGAGCTGTTGTTCCGAGGCGAAGGCCCTTTTAGTTCCTCAAATGCTTGCTCCGCCTCCTCCGTCCAAACGAACTTCTTCTTACTGCTGAGACAGTCCGTAATGGGCGCCGTCAGGTGGGCAAAGTTTGGGATGAACTTACGATAGAAGTTCCCAAATCCTAAAAACCTCTGCACATCCTTCCTTGTTTTGGGTGTTTTCCATTCCAGTACCGCCTGGACCTTGCCGGGATCCATGGCCAACCCCTTGTCAGACAGGCGATACCCCAGGAATTCCACCTCCTTGGTATGAAACTGACACTTCTCCAGTTTCACCCACAGCTGGTTGGCTTGCAGCCTGCTCAACACTTCTCTGACGTCTCTCACATGCTGCTCCTCATTCTCAGAATACACCAACACGTCGTCTAAGAAGGCCACACAATTCTTGTAAAGCAACGGCCCCAGGACGTGGTTCATAAACGATTGAAATGTTGCGGAGCCTGCTTGTAGACCGAAGGGCATAACTAAGTATTCAAATGCCCCTAAAGGGGTGAACATGGTGGTTTTCCATTCATCCCCCTTCCTTATTCGTATCAGGTTGTACGCCCCCCTTAGATCCAGCTTGGTGAAAATCTTTCCCTTCCGCACCCTTGTCAAAATGTCGTCAATCCTGGGCATCGGGAAGGCCACTGGTTCTGACACTGCATTTAAGGCCCTGAAGTCACACACCAGTCTCGGCTTGTTCGTGTTTTTTTGTCCACAAAAACACTGGGCTGCCCCCACCGCCCTGGACTCTCTGATGAACCCTCTCTTCAGGTTCTTGTCAATGAACTCTCTTAGCTCCTGCATCTCTCTGTCTGACATGGCGTACAGCTTGCCCACAGGGAGCTGTGCCCCAGGGAGCAAATTGATTTGACAGTCAAAGGCTCTATGCGGTGGTAGTTGGTCAGCTTCCCTTTCGCTGAAGACGTCGCGGAGATCTGCGTATTGTCGTGGTACCTTCACGTTCTCCGTTACTTCAGTCCCTGCTAGGGTGGCTTGGGCCCCTGCCAAAACCTTCCCTCTTTGCAGTGTTCTAAGCAATGTGCTGACCCAAAAGAAACCACTCTTTGATGCCAGCCCACCAGCGGATCATGTAACGCTAGCCAGCTCATCCCCAATATAATGGGAGCTCCTCCCAAGGTGGCCACATTAAACGCAATGAGTTTGGTGTGCCTTGCCACCTTCATTATCATTGGGACGGTCTGCAAGCTGACTTCTCCTCCCAACAGCTCCCTGCCATCGATCGTGATTACCTGCAGGGGGTTGCTTAAAGGGAGCGTCTGTATCTGGTGTTCAGCTGCAAACTCTTTGCTCATGAAATTGCAGGAGCTGCCTGAGTCCAACAGCGCCTTTATCTTTAGAGGGTGTCCGTTTGGCAGCTCTAGTGTCACTTCTATCACTAGGGCGGGTTTAGGAGGTTCTGGCGTGGGCACTTTCACTGCTCTTTGGCCTGGCTGCTGTGCCCCGACAATGGCAGCCAGGCGTTGGCTTTTAGTTGCTCCGGTATCTTTTCCTCTCTTCCCTCCACAGCTCCCACCATCCCTTGCCATTCCTTCCTCTGGGGGCAGACTCTGGCAAAGTGCCCTGGCTGTTGGCAGAGATAGCATTTCCGGGCGCCTTTTCCCTCCTTTTTCCCCCTCACTGGGCTTTGAAACTGCGCGCGCGCGCTGTTCCGATTTCCATCGGCTCTGCCGGCGGGAAAGTTGGCTCTGGAATGTCTGGAATGCGGAACTCCTTCCAACGTTCCCCTTTCCCTTCCCGCCTCTCCAATGCTCTCGCCTCCTGGCGCGCTCCTATGGCCAGCGCTGATTTGGTCAGCTGGTCCATAGACTCCGCCCTGGGCGCCCGGGAAAGTTCATCTTTCACAGCCGAAGAAAGCCCTTCTTCAAAGAGCATTTGAATGGGTTCCGCCGATAAGTCCCACCCCAATCTGTGTATCAGCATGGTGAACTCAGTCCAGTACTCACGTACAGATCGGCTCCCCTGTTTGCAAGCCATTAACTGTCTGCGCACCACTCCCTTTTCAATATCGCTGGAAAACATCAGATCCATGGCGCGAAAGAACTTCATCGTGTCCTTTAGGACGTCACTATGCGCTGCCATCAGGGGTCTAACCCAGTCTCTCGCCCCCTTTTCAAGATGCCCAATCACAAAAGCCACTCGTGATTCCTCATCAGGGAATCATCAAACTGCAGATTGAGGGCATATTGCATTTCTGTCCGAAAGCTATGATAGTCTTTGGGCTCCCCCCCAAATTTCTGCACCAATCCTGGTACCTTTCTGGCGAGCTGGGTGGCTTTCTCCCTTTGTCTGCATCTTGAGCCCTCCTCTCCTCCAGCCTCGCCGTCTGCAGCGCCAGCTGGACCTCCAACACCCGGTACCTTTCTTCCAGGCTTGGACCCGCTCCAGCCCCTGCTTCTCCGGTTCCTGCTGGGTTGCTCATTATGCCTTCTCCTGCACAAGCTGCGTTCAAAGACTGTCGGAATGCTGTGATGGGAAGATGAGCTGCTTGTGCGTAAAATCGTATTCCCTCAGAGTTTGTTCAAGTCCACAAACCTCTGTCTGTGACTGAGCCCCTCTGACATGGCTCCTCTAGTCACTAGAAGATTCCGACAGTGGCTGCTTTCGTAATCGCTTCCAACATAAAAGCTCCTTAACGGAAACACGTCTTCTGGACTCTCTGCGTGACAGTTTCCGGCGAGGAGTGGGTGTCCCAACAGGAGGTCCGGAAACCTCACCACTGTTTTCGCTGGAAGTATCTCTGAGCCATCCCCCAGCTCCCTTTCCCTCAGTTCAGCTTCTCTCCCCTGCTGGTTTCCTCTTCAGCTGCTGAGTCTCTTCCAACCTGTCTGAGCCCTTTCACCTCCCTCAGTTCAGCTTCTCTCCCCTTGCTGGTTCCCTCTTCCGCTGCTGAGTCTCTTCCAACCTGTCTGAGTCCTTTCACCTCCCTTCCTTCCGATGGCAGTTCCCTGACAAGTTTCCACACATGCAGACTATCCGCAGATACAGTTTTACAGCCCAGTGAGCCTACCAGCCCACAATAAAACTGGAAGCTAGACAAACTTTAGTCCCATCTTCAGCCCAGCAGCACTAAAATTGCACTTCTCTCATCTCTTTACTATTGAATCAGGGCAGATCAGCATCACTTTCTTCCCTCTTTGTCATTTATTTTTTTAAAAACACCTCCAGACAGCCAGAATTTTGTAGGAGGGATTCATAGGTATATGCATTTAAAATGAATTAAAGCACTCTGTACCCCTAGGGCAACGAATCCACTTTTTAAAAAAAATCTGGACTTTTTCCAGTTTGGAAAGTGACAGGGAGATGCATTGAAAAGTATGGGGTGAATGAAGGTTGAATGGGGGACACATAAACACCCTGCAAACAAATTAGGGTGAATGTTCATTAGCATACAGCTGTGCCATAAGCAAATCAGAATGAATCCTCATGCAGTATAGACTGGATATAGCCTGGCCATTGTGTAATCTTTGGGCAAGCAAATCAGGATGAATGCTGAATAAGCAGACCCTCTGAAGAAACCCCCGTTCTTACCTTCACATTGTCTTCCTGGCACCTGGGGACTCAGATCCAAAAATCCCGGCTTACATTCACATGAATAATTTGTGCTTTGGGGGATGCAGTAGGCAAATTCAGAACAGCCATTGTTGTCTGGCTGACAGGCAGGGATTACTATGACAAATTTCAATAAAAGAGCAACAAAATTAATGCACGAAGGTCAACATAAAAGGCACCACAAGTGCTTATATGCATGCTGTCATTTTTAAAGAGAAAGCACTTTCATTGGCATACAATATAATCCATAATTTATTTACACACACAGAACCATAGCTGTCAACGATTTCCTTTTTTTAAAGGGAAATTCCCTTATTCCGAATAGGATTCCTCGCAAGAAAAGGGAAAAGTTAACAGCTATGCACAGAACTATGCCACCAAATGGATCTTTTAATGCCTGTCACTTGCTAGGGCTGATGGGAGCTAGTGTCTAGGAGGATCTGCAGGACCACAGGTTCCCCAGCCCCACTTAACAGTTGCTTCTGGGAAACACTCTGGGATAGCATCATGATTTTATCACTATTTTTTCACTGTTGTTAAACACATAGGATGTTTTATTTGCTTAAAAAGGCAGGATATAAATGTTCAAATAAGCACGTCTTGTCCACTGTATGAGCACAGACTAACTGTGAAGCAGGCCAGGAAAGGCAATGCAGACTTGGCCTATCTGCACTGGCTGAATCACACATAAACTGACTGAAGAGCCATGGCTAAGTGGGGATAGGCAACACACGTTTGCGTTTAGACAGTCCCAGGTTTAGTCTCTGGCATCGGCTCCCGTCTGAACCCTAGAGAGCCCCTGTCAGTCAGTATGGATACTACAGAGTAAGGTGAACCAATATTATGACTTGATACGAGGAAGCTTCCTATGTTCCTACCATATAATAGAAAGACCATACCTTCTATGGAAGTCCGAGTGAGGTCTACATCCAGATGTCTGCTTTTGTTTAAGGCTTCGATTACAGCCCTTTCAACCTCATTGTGTGCTATATTTCTATCTGGAACCATCTCGATGATGAAGGTCACAATCACACTGCCGCTTGTAATCTCAGTTATGGTTATACGCATTTTCCCAGAATCTATTAATGCTCTCAACGAAGGCGGCAAGTTGTTTATTATCTGTAAAAGTGGCAGGTTTGAGATTATTTTCTTTGTTTTGCATAATATTCAGAATAATTTGTTTATCGTTTCTTCCAATATATGTTGGATCTCAGACTGTCAACAGCCAAAAGTCTGGCCTTAGGCAGGTTTGTACCAGAGAACAGAAAATAAAAGCATTCTTTCTGGCCTCACAACAGAGAATGGATTGCATAGGTGGGCCTCTGGAGTTTGTTGGACTTCAATTTCCATCATCCCTAGACGGCATGGCCATGGTAAGGGGTGATGGGGGCTGAATGTGAACACTGTCTGAAGGGCCAAAATTCAACACAGGCCTAAAATTTGCAAGTTCCCTACCACTCTGTCTTGTTTTTTGACTTTTTGAAAAATTATCCAGATTCTGCTGGATGCTCCAGCTTGGTGCAACATCGTTGAATCTAAGGATGCTGCTGACTTTTGTTCTCCTGAGTCCCACACCACATCTCTCACAGCCCACTAGACTCCTCCCAAACGTCTTTTTCTTTCCTGTTGTCTGAGGCTTCCTTATCTCAGGCAGCAAACATAAAATCAAGCTTCCTGGCCCTTACTTCTGATTAGACATTATGTTGTTGCTGTTATTACTACTACTACTACTACTACTAATAATAATAATAATAATAATAATTGTTTTATTAGCCATCTAATACCAAATGGAATCTAGGTAACTTACTACACATCCAAAAATTGAAAACAATAACCATAAATAACAAATATTATAACATTACAAAACCTAGCCAACCTCCAAAAGCCACAAACTATTATTGACAGCTGTGACAGACCGCTGAGCTAGACTGGTGATGCAGTACCCCAGAACTCCACCAGAGTGCTGAAGCCTTTCTCTGATTGGCCACCAAGACAGCGAGCCAGAAGTGGGTGGAGACAGTACTTTGGGAGGGAAAATAAAAAGAGCCGTTTCTAAGAGAGTGTGGTGATAGAGAGAACAGGAAGGGGAGGGAGGAGAGTTGGTTCTGTGTGTATAACATCCACTCTGAGGAAATTATCTACAGCAAGAGAAGGGAGCCTCTGAGCTTAAGATAGAAAGACAGTGCTTAGTGTCTTGTGAGAATATTCAGACATGAGTTAACTGGAGGGCTGAGTTTGAGCAAGGAGAGGGAGAAGCTGTGAGGATACAGTCTGTTTGGGTCTCATTTCAGTCAGGAGGGGAGAGATCTTCTAGAAAGAGAAGACTGCCAAACCAGTTAAGAGGGGTGTGGCGATTCCCTCGGTCTGTTGCACTGCTAGAAGTACCTCAGTATTGTGATTGACAGAAGGTTGGGAAGCTGACAGAAAGTACCACCTTGTTTCAAGCATTCTCTTCCATGAAATGGTAATCATGTGGGGGGGGGGGGGAAGCCATGTCTGTCAATGTTGTCCCTGCCAGCCCTGCTGGAGATAACTTACGTAAAGGGGTGCTGGCTGAATATGTGCAAGCTCACCCCAACTCTGCATGTGAAGAGGCGAGGCTAGCAGGACCCAGTTTGCCTTCCATGCAATTTCAAGGATGCGGTGGGAAATGGCTGAAAGGGATCAAGTCTGCCCAATCTGTCGTCAGTCTTTGACTCAGGGAAGCACATAGTCATAACTGTGCCATGGAAAGGGGGACTTAACGTTACTCTGCTGAGGATCAGTAAGAGAGCACTGAAAATATGGGCATACTCCAGCCCAGGCCAGAACAGAGGGCCTGCAATTTTGAGGGGGCCTGCCTGTTGGTAACAATTATTGAAATGGGGCCTAAATTCACCATCTGGCCTGCACAAACCCTGGTCGAGGCAAATGTGAACATTTTAAGTCCCACTGGATTCTAAAGAACCATTAAGCTCATTTTTAAGTCAGTTTCACTGAAATCAATGGGGCTTAAAAATGCTTGTCTTGGGTTATGCTCAGTGCTTTTAACTAATTACTTTTCATTTTTTAAAATGCTGTAGATGATACCTCTTCGGTGACATTTTTTTGAAGCTCCTGAAACTCTGTACTTGATTTGTTGCTGAACTGAGGTATGTACTTCTTATTTGTAATCCTGGCTGTCCCACGATAGGCTGTGGCTTCTATAAGGAATAAGAGAACCATTTAGTTAATAGTATAGGTAACATTTTTAGTACAGAATACTTATGCTGTTGTTGCTGCTGCTGCTGTGCCAGATAGATAAACTAATATTCATTAGTTTGAGGTCCTTAAGGACAATGTGAAACAAATGAAACGATCTTTTCTTATTTAGACTGAAAATGCACATTTACTTGAGAGCAAATCCCATTGAACATAGTGGGACTTATGTCCAAATAAACATGCATAGGATGTATTATTTGTCTGTTTACTTACTTATTTAAAATATTCATATTCCACCTTCCCAACAAAATGTTCAAGGCTGCTTACAACAGGTATTAAAATACGAAAATACAAATAAATTAAAAGCACCAAAAAGGACAGAAATGGCATATAAAATAGCTTTTTAAAAGATTCCATATGCCAGGAAAGCCAAATGTCTGCCCAGAAGGTATTGGGACATTAGTTTCTTAAGGCTGCAGCCCTATTCCACTTACTTAGGAATAAGCCTTATCCATAAAACTCCATTGGATTTTTTAAACTGATTTTTATAACACATTTAATTAAGAAACAACATTAAAATACATTAACCATTAATGCATCCATCTTAATTTAAACATAGAAATCAGTGTGTGACATCCAAATGTCCAGATATTCACATGGAGTTGATAAGAAGCATATTCAAATATAGCAAGGGGGGGGTAAGCTCTGCAGAGCATTTCATAATAGGCTTATGTTTATCCTTCCAGGATCAAAGTATGAGTCTCTTGGTGACTGAAGGCTTGCAAAATCCTCTTTTGTTGTCCTGTTGTTAATCCCCATACTTGTTGTTTTGTTGTTGTTTAGTCGTTTAGTCGTGTCCGACTCTTCGTGACCCCATGGGCCAGAGCACGCCAGGCACTCCTATCTTCCACTACCTCCCGCAGTTTGATCAGACTCATGTTTGTAGCTTCGAGAATCCCCATACTACAGGGATATAATTGTGGAAGAGGGCTATTGTTTTTGTTTTGTTAGGTATTTTATGTTTTTGTTTTGTATTTTTATGTTGTGAACTGTCCTGTGATCTTTGAATGAAGGGTGGCATAAAATTTTTAATAATAATAATAATAATAATAATAATAAACTACTACTAATCATCATCATCATTAATATAAAAGTACACGGACATCCACATATATCAAGGATTTTGCAAATAGAAAACTTATATGGAAAACTTCAGACCATCCTCCCCAGCCCCCTGTTGGCCATACATTCGGAAGCTATAGGAAGTAGTCCAATGTGAGAGCCAGGGTGGCGTAGTACTTAGAGTGTTGAACTAGGAGCTGGGAGACCAAACCCCTACCCTATATGTCTCTCTAAACTTCTTGGAGGAAAAATGTAAATAAAAAAATTAAAAATTCTGATGTACATGCACAAGATTCCTTCTCACAGGGGGAAGTCTAGGGCCAGTTATGAGTCCACCTCATGATGCATCTTTATGTGCATAGGACTGCTTCACACAGCAGCCAAACAAGCCATCAGCTTGCTCGCCAGACTCCGTCTTCTTGCCAAAGCTGTGTGCAACATTGGGATGTCAGGGATTCCCATGAAGAAAGTGGTGAGCAATGAGAGATATCCTGGGTTGTCCCATTACATGAGCTAACCCACCTAATGCACCAAAGAGACAGAAAAGGGAAATTCACAAATGGCTGGAGATTAATTCCCTATTCATATATTGGGTTTTCCTTTGGGGACACTGTTTGAATGAAGGCTAGCGCTGAGCAAAATGTATCAGAATACTGTCTGGTACTGTATGCATTACTACAATAAAACAAGTGTAGATGGATGATTGAGATAATACCTGTCCGAACCATCACGGAGGAACTGAACTTCTTACTGCAACTCAACACCTCCACAGTTACTGTATACAAACCACCTGGAGAAAGGTTTCCAAATACCATCCTGGTGTCATTTGTGACAGTGTTATTTATAACTGTGTTATCTGCCATGAGAGACACGGTATAAGGGCTGTCCCTTCTCACACTCTGAAGAAACCAACGGAATTGTATCACTTGGCTGGTTACTTTTTCAAGTTGAATGTAGAAAGCATCTACAGCTAAACAAAACAAAAACAAAAATACACATCTGATGTCAAAGGTGCATTTCAACAACTCTGGAAATATTCACAAAATGTTAAATATGATGAGGGGAGAATATGTTATGTTGCTGAGTTTCTGCTATAGTTGAATTCTTACTCCCACTTCATAAAAGTAAATTCAGTGAATAAATGATAAATTCTAGCTTTAATAAACCTTCCAAAAACAACATAAACCAGAAGGAAAAAAATAAGGAATATAAAGAGATTCTGGGGCGCCATATCACAATATGTATATAAGAGGGTGGGAAATTTGCAGCAACAGGGTATAATCAAGCCCTCAAACAACTTTTTCTAACCCTCCCACCCCCCAAACCCCTGGTTTTGTTGCTGTAAAAATCAAAGTGACATACTGCTCAGGTGAATGTAGAGATTTAACCCACTCTGCCAATGCCATGATGGATTTGCAAAGATGTCCCTGAAACTTCACACATCACATCAATTATCTGAGGAGCAGGGAGGGATTGATAAACCCACTCCTCAGCAGATTTTCATGGATTGGAGAAAAGAGAAGCCATTTGTGTCCATGTATGTGTGCACACCTAAGTGAGTCTGTGTGTGCATGTATGTATGTATGTATGTGTGTGTGTGTGCTTCTGGCTTTTCTTATAAGGGCATGCAAAATTATGGTGTCTGTGTGTGTTTAGGACTGTCAGGCGGCCGAACCCACTGTTGACCACATGTACTGCTCCTCTTGGATAGAAGTTATTCAATACATCACACGGCACTCACAATGTAAAATAACAAAATAGCATAGCATAACCAGGTGGGACTTACTACAAAATATTATGGTATGGAATAGAGCCATGTAGACTATTCCATTCCATTGCATTGCATTCCCTCCTTCACTATTTTTCTACCATCCACCTATGAAAGTAAGTAAGCATTCCACGACCAGGAAGCATTCTTCACCCAATTTAATATTGTGCTCCAGGGATCTTCTATTCAACACCATATGCAAATTAAGAGATTAAACAAAGTGAGCAAGAAATTGAGCCTCCCTGAGGATGGTGCAGTCTGACCCATATAAGGGCTGGGGGCAGAAAACAAGAGTGATCTTTCTATATATGAAGGGGGGGAAGAATTTTAAATACATATTCTGATTGGGGAAAGACAAGAAATTAAGGGGAACTGTAAATTAAAATATAATTTGTAAAGACAAAAAATGGTAGTGCAAATTTGATACACAGAAAGAACATCAAATATTATAAAGAAATCTAATTACACTCACAGCATTTTTCAGGCATTTTAGTAGAGGGTTCTGGGTGGGGTGTTTTCACAGAAGAGAAAACCTCTGGCTTATGGGTTGTCATTGAAAAGTCACTTACAGAAGTTCTGGCCAAGGTTCTAGAAACTGCTGTACTTTCTATGAGAGAATCATGACTAATAGTGTGCGGAGAGGATGCAGAGGAGGTCTGTGCACTTCCCAAAGATGTGCTGGATGAAGCCATAACAGAAGAAATGGAAGCTGGGCCTCCGGGCCAATTGGTAGCCGGGCTCCCTGTTGCCACTGGTGCTGCGGAGCTGTTGTCAGCAGTGTGTCCCCACCCCCCCCCCCCCCCACCCCCCCCACCCCCCCCCACCACCCCCCCCCCCCCCCCCCCCCCCCCCCCCCCCCCCCCCCCCCCCCCCCCCCCCACCCCCCCCACCCCCATGGTGCTCCTCAATGATGCAGCAGGCGTTGGTGCTAGTGGAGAGGTGAGGTGAGCTGTGGCGGCTGAGCTGGATTCCACGGAGGTGTCCCGCACTCCGCTAGGAGAAGGTCTGCCCGCTTTCCGAAGACGCGCTGGATGAAGCCATGATGGAGGCACTGGATGCTGGGCCTGCCGTCCAAGTGGTAGCCGGGCTCTCTGTTGCCACTGGTGCTGCGGAGCTCTTGTCAGCAGTGTGGGTTGTGGCCGAGAACACACTTGTCCCTGAGATCCCGGGAGATGTTTCTGAAGAAACGTGCTCCGTGGTGGTCACCTGAGGTAGCGCTTCAGAGCTGGAGGATGCCGGGCTCCCGGAGGGTCCAGATGATATGATAGACTCTGTCGTGGAAGAAGAGGAGACTTCCAGCTTGCCTGTTCCCGTACTTGATAAGCCGACCGAGGTGCTGGGACCCGCTGAGCTTTCTGTCCCGGAAGAACTAGCCATCACGTGGGAAGAGGTTGCGGAGCCCTCCAGCTGTGGAGAACTTGGGCTTCTGGAGAAGGACGCAGCAGGGGAACCGGTGGCCCCAGCCACGCTTGTGGCTGGCGCTGCAGAGCTCTGGCTGCCCAGGGTGCTTGCAGCTTCCGAGGATGCTGTCACTTCAGTCGGGCTGGCTGCATTCGGAGTGGTGCTCCTCAACGATGCAGCAGGCGTTGGTGCTAGTGGAGAGGTGAGGTGAGCTGTGGCGGCTGAGCTGGATTCCATGGAGGTGTCCCGCACTCCGCTAGGAGAGGTCTGCCCGCTTTCCGAAGACGCGCTGGATGAAGCAATGATGGAGGCACTGGATGCTGGGCCTGCCGTCGAAGTGGTAGCCGGGCTCTCTGTTGCCACTGGTTCTGCGGAGCTCTTGTCAGCAGTGTGGGTTGTGGCCAAGAACACACTTGTCCCTGAGATCCCGGGAGATGTTTCTGAAGAAACGTGCTCCGTGCTGGTCACCTGAGGTAGCGCTTCAGAGCTGGAGGATGCCGGGCTCCCGGAGGGTCCAGATGATATGACAGACTCCGTCGTGGAAGAAGAGGAGACTTCCAGCTTGCCTGTTCCCGTACTTGATAAGCCGACCGAGGTGCTGGGACCCGCTGCGCTTTCTGTCCCGGAAGAACTAGCCATCACGTGGGAAGAGGTTGCGGAGCCCTCCAGCTGTGGAGAACTTGGGCTTCTGGAGAAGGACGCAGCAGGGGAACCGGTGGCCCCAGCCACGCTTGTGGCTGGCGCTGCAGAGCTCTGGCTGCCCAGGGTGCTTGCAGCTTCCGAGGATGCTGTCTCTTCAGTCGGGCTGGCTGCATTCGGAGTGGTGCTCCTCAACGATGCAGCAGGCGTCCCCGTTGGTGCTAGTGGAGAGGTGAGGTGAGCTGTGGCGGCTGAGCTGGATTCCACGGAGGTGTCCGGCACTCCGCTAGGAGAGGTCTGCCCGCTTTCCGAAGATGCGCTGGATGAAGCCATGATGGAGGCACTGGATGCTGGGCCTGCCGTCCAATTGGTAGCCGGGCTCTCTGTTGCCACTGGTGCTGCGGAGCTCTTGTCAGCAGTGTGGGTTGTGGCCGAGAACACACTTGTCCCTGAGATCCCGGGAGATGTTTCTGAAGAAACGTGCTCCGTGGTGGTCACCTGAGGTAGCGCTTCAGAGCTGGAGGATGCCGGGTTCCCAGATGATATGACAGACTCTGTCGTGGAAGAAGAGGAGACTTCCAGCTTGCCTGTTCCCGTACTTGATAAGCCGACCGAGGTGCTGGGACCCGCTGCGCTTTCTGTCCCGGAAGAACTAGCCATCACGTGGGAAGAGGTTGCGGAGCGCTCCAGCTGTGGAGAACTTGGGCTTCTGGAGAAGGACGCAGCAGGGGAACCGGTGGCCCCAGCCACGCTTGTGGCTGGCGCTGCAGAGCTCTGGCTGCCCATGGTGCTTGCAGCTTCCGAGGATGCTGTCTCTTCAGTCGGGCTGGCTGCATTCGGAGTGGTGCTCCTCAACGATGCAGCAGGCGTCCCCGTTGGTGCTAGTGGAGAGGTGAGGTGAGCTGTGGCGGCTGAGCTGGATTCCACGGAGGTGTCCCGCACTCCGCTAGGAGAGGTCTGCCCGCTTTCCGAAGACGCGCTGGATGAAGCCATGATGGAGGCACTGGATGCTGGGCCTGCCGTCCAATTGGTAGCCGGGCTCTCTGTTGCCACTGGTGCTGCGGAGCTCTTGTCAGCAGTGTGGGTTGTGGCCGAGAACACACTTGTCCCTGAGATCCCGGGAGATGTTTCTGAAGAAACGTGCTCCGTGGTGGTCACCTGAGGTAGCGCTTCAGAGCTGGAGGATGCCGGGCTCCCGGAGGGTCCAGATGATATGACAGACTCTGTCGTGGAAGAAGAGGAGACTTCCAGCTTGCCTGTTCCCGTACTTGATAAGCCGACCGAGGTGCTGGGACCCGCTGCGCTTTCTGTCCCGGAAGAACTAGCCATCACGTGGGAAGAGGTTGCGGAGCCCTCCAGCTGTGGAGAACTTGGGCTTCTGGAGAAGGACGCAGCAGGGGAACCGGTGGCCCCAGCCACGCTTGTGGCTGGCGCTGCAGAGCTCTGGCTGCCCAGGGTGCTTGCAGCTTCCGAGGATGCTGTCTCTTCAGTCGGGCTGGCTGCATTCGGAGTGGTGCTCCTCAACGATGCAGCAGGCGTCCCCGTTGGTGCTAGTGGAGAGGTGAGGTGAGCTGTGGCGGCTGAGCTGGATTCCACGGAGGTGTCCCGCACTCCGCTAGGAGAAGGTCTGCCCGCTTTCCGAAGACGCGCTGGATGAAGCCATGATGGAGGCACTGGATGCTGGGCCTGCCGTCCAATTGGTAGCCGGGCTCTCTGTTGCCACTGGTGCTGCGGAGCTCTTGTCAGCAGTGTGGGTTGTGGCCGAGAACACACTTGTCCCTGAGATCCCGGGAGATGTTTCTGAAGAAACGTGCTCCGTGGTGGTCACCTGAGGTAGCGCTTCAGAGCTGGAGGATGCCGTGTTCCCGAGGGTCAGATGATATGACAGACTCTGTCGTGGAAGAAGAGGAGACTTCCAGCTTGCCTGTTCCCGTACTTGATAAGCCGACCGAGGTGCTGGGACCCGCTGCGCTTTCTGTCCCGGAAGAACTAGCCATCACGTGGGAAGAGGTTGCGGAGCCCTCCAGCTGTGGAGAACTTGGGCTTCTGGAGAAGGACGCAGCAGGGGAACCGGTGGCCCCAGCCACGCTTGTGGCTGGCGCTGCAGAGCTCTGGCTGCCCAGGGTGCTTGCAGCTTCCGAGGATGCTGTCTCTTCAGTCGGGCTGGCTGCATTCGGAGTGGTGCTCCTCAACGATGCAGCAGGCGTCCCCGTTGGTGCTAGTGGAGAGGTGAGGTGAGCTGTGGCGGCTGAGCTGGATTCCACGGAGGTGTCCCGCACTCCGCTAGGAGAAGGTCTGCCCGCTTTCCGAAGATGCGCTGGATGAAGCCATGATGGAGGCACTGGATGCTGGGCCTGCCGTCCAAGTGGTAGCCGGGCTCTCTGTTGCCACTGGTGCTGCGGAGCTCTTGTCAGCAGTGTGGGTTGTGGCCGAGAACACACTTGTCCCTGAGATCCCGGGAGATGTTTCTGAAGAAACGTGCTCCGTGGTGGTCACCTGAGGTAGCGCTTCAGAGCTGGAGGATGCCGGGTTCCCAGATGATATGACAGACTCTGTCGTGGAAGAAGAGGAGACTTCCAGCTTGCCTGTTCCCGTACTTGATAAGCCGACCGAGGTGCTGGGACCCGCTGCGCTTTCTGTCCCGGAAGAACTAGCCATCACGTGGGAAGAGGTTGCGGAGCGCTCCAGCTGTGGAGAACTTGGGCTTCTGGAGAAGGACGCAGCAGGGGAACCGGTGGCCCCAGCCACGCTTGTGGCTGGCGCTGCAGAGCTCTGGCTGCCCAGGGTGCTTGCAGCTTCCGAGGATGCTGTCTCTTCAGTCGGGCTGGCTGCATTCGGAGTGGTGCTCCTCAACGATGCAGCAGGCGTCCCCGTTGGTGCTAGTGGAGAGGTGAGGTGAGCTGTGGCGGCTGAGCTGGATTCCACGGAGGTGTCCCGCACTCCGCTAGGAGAAGGTCTGCCCGCTTTCCGAAGACGCGCTGGATGAAGCCATGATGGAGGCACTGGATGCTGGGCCTGCCGTCCAATTGGTAGCCGGGCTCTCTGTTGCCACTGGTGCTGCGGAGCTCTTGTCAGCAGTGTGGGTTGTGGCCGAGAACACACTTGTCCCTGAGATCCCGGGAGATGTTTCTGAAGAAACGTGCTCCGTGGTGGTCACCTGAGGTAGCGCTTCAGAGCTGGAGGATGCCGGGCTCCCGGAGGGTCCAGATGATATGACAGACTCTGTCGTGGAAGAAGAGGAGACTTCCAGCTTGCCTGTTCCCGTACTTGATAAGCCGACCGAGGTGCTGGGACCCGCTGCGCTTTCTGTCCCGGAAGAACTAGCCATCACGTGGGAAGAGGTTGCGGAGCCCTCCAGCTGTGGAGAACTTGGGCTTCTGGAGAAGGACGCAGCAGGGGAACCGGTGGCCCCAGCCACGCTTGTGGCTGGCGCTGCAGAGCTCTGGCTGCCCAGGGTGCTTGCAGCTTCCGAGGATGCTGTCTCTTCAGTCGGGCTGGCTGCATTCGGAGTGGTGCTCCTCAACGATGCAGCAGGCGTCCCCGTTGGTGCTAGTGGAGAGGTGAGGTGAGCTGTGGCGGCTGAGCTGGATTCCACGGAGGTGTCCCGCACTCCGCTAGGAGAAGGTCTGCCCGCTTTCCGAAGACGCGCTGGATGAAGCCATGATGGAGGCACTGGATGCTGGGCCTGCCGTCCAATTGGTAGCCGGGCTCTCTGTTGCCACTGGTGCTGCGGAGCTCTTGTCAGCAGTGTGGGTTGTGGCCGAGAACACACTTGTCCCTGAGATCCCGGGAGATGTTTCTGAAGAAACGTGCTCCGTGGTGGTCACCTGAGGTAGCGCTTCAGAGCTGGAGGATGCCGTGTTCCGAGGGTCAGATGATATGACAGACTCTGTCGTGGAAGAAGAGGAGACTTCCAGCTTGCCTGTTCCCGTACTTGATAAGCCGACCGAGGTGCTGGGACCCGCTGCGCTTTCTGTCCCGGAAGAACTAGCCATCACGTGGGAAGAGGTTGCGGAGCCCTCCAGCTGTGGAGAACTTGGGCTTCTGGAGAAGGACGCAGCAGGGGAACCGGTGGCCTCAGCCACGCTTGTGGCTGGCGCTGCAGAGCTCTGGCTGCCCAGGGTGCTTGCAGCTTCCGAGGATGCTGTCTCTTCAGTCGGGCTGGCTGCATTCGGAGTGGTGCTCCTCAACGATGCAGCAGGCGTCCCCGTTGGTGCTAGTGGAGAGGTGAGGTGAGCTGTGGCGGCTGAGCTGGATTCCACGGAGGTGTCCCGCACTCCGCTAGGAGAGGTCTGCCCGCTTTCCGAAGATGCGCTGGATGAAGCCATGATGGAGGCACTGGATGCTGGGCCTGCCGTCCAAATGGTAGCCGGGCTCTCTGTTGCCACTGGTGCTGCGGAGCTCTTGTCAGCAGTGTGGGTTGTGGCCGAGAACACACTTGTCCCTGAGATCCCGGGAGATGTTTCTGAAGAAACGTGCTCCGTGGTGGTCACCTGAGGTAGCGCTTCAGAGCTGGAGGATGCCGGGTTCCCGAGGGTCAGATGATATGACAGACTCTGTCGTGGAAGAAGAGGAGACTTCCAGCTTGCCTGTTCCCGTACTTGATAAGCCGACCGAGGTGCTGGGACCCGCTGCGCTTTCTGTCCCGGAAGAACTAGCCATCACGTGGGAAGAGGTTGCGGAGCGCTCCAGCTGTGGAGAACTTGGGCTTCTGGAGAAGGACGCAGCAGGGGAACCGGTGGCCCCAGCCACGCTTGTGGCTGGCGCTGCAGAGCTCTGGCTGCCCAGGGTGCTTGCAGCTTCCGAGGATGCTGTCTCTTCAGTCGGGCTGGCTGCATTCGGAGTGGTGCTCCTCAACGATGCAGCAGGCGTCCCCGTTGGTGCTAGTGGAGAGGTGAGGTGAGCTGTGGCGGCTGAGCTGGATTCCACGGAGGTGTCCCGCACTCCGCTAGGAGAAGGTCTGCCCGCTTTCCGAAGATGCGCTGGATGAAGCCATGATGGAGGCACTGGATGCTGGGCCTGCCGTCCAATTGGTAGCCGGGCTCTCTGTTGCCACTGGTGCTGCGGAGCTCTTGTCAGCAGTGTGGGTTGTGGCCGAGAACACACTTGTCCCTGAGATCCCGGGAGATGTTTCTGAAGAAACGTGCTCCGTGGTGGTCACCTGAGGTAGCGATTCAGAGCTGGAGGATGCCGGGCTCCCGGAGGGTCCAGATGATATGACAGACTCTGTCGTGGAAGAAGAGGAGACTTCCAGCTTGCCTGTTCCCGTACTTGATAAGCCGACCGAGGTGCTGGGACCCGCTGCGCTTTCTGTCCCGGAAGAACTAGCCATCACGTGGGAAGAGGTTGCGGAGCCCTCCAGCTGTGGAGAACTTGGGCTTCTGGAGAAGGACGCAGCAGGGGAACCGGTGGCCCCAGCCACGCTTGTGGCTGGCGCTGCAGAGCTCTGGCTGCCCAGGGTGCTTGCAGCTTCCGAGGATGCTGTCTCTTCAGTCGGGCTGGCTGCATTCGGAGTGGTGCTCCTCAACGATGCAGCAGGCGTCCCCGTTGGTGGTAGTGGAGAGGTGAGGTGAGCTGTGGCGGCTGAGCTGGATTCCACGGAGGTGTCCCGCACTCCGCTAGGAGAGGTCTGCCCGCTTTCCGAAGACGCGCTGGATGAAGCCATGATGGAGGCACTGGATGCTGGGCCTGCCGTCCAATTGGTAGCCGGGCTCTCTGTTGCCACTGGTGCTGCGGAGCTCTTGTCAGCAGTGTGGGTTGTGGCCGAGAACACACTTGTCCCTGAGATCCCGGGAGATGTTTCTGAAGAAACGTGCTCCGTGGTGGTCACCTGAGGTAGCGCTTCAGAGCTGGAGGATGCCGTGCTCCCGGAGGGTCCAGATGATATGACAGACTCTGTCGTGGAAGAAGAGGAGACTTCCAGCTTGCCTGTTCCCGTACTTGATAAGCCGACCGAGGTGCTGGGACCCGCTGCGCTTTCTGTCCCGGAAGAACTAGCCATCACGTGGGAAGAGGTTGCGGAGCCCTCCAGCTGTGGAGAACTTGGGCTTCTGGAGAAGGACGCAGCAGGGGAACCGGTGGCCCCAGCCACGCTTGTGGCTGGCGCTGCAGAGCTCTGGCTGCCCAGGGTGCTTGCAGCTTCCGAGGATGCTGTCTCTTCAGTCGGGCTGGCTGCATTCGGAGTGGTGCTCCTCAACGATGCAGCAGGCGTCCCCGTTGGTGCTAGTGGAGAGGTGAGGTGAGCTGTGGCGGCTGAGCTGGATTCCACGGAGGTGTCCCGCACTCCGCTAGGAGAGGTCTGCCCGCTTTCCGAAGACGCGCTGGATGAAGCCATGATGGAGGCACTGGATGCTGGGCCTGCCGTCCAAGTGGTAGCCGGGCTCTCTGTTGCCACTGGTGCTGCGGAGCTCTTGTCAGCAGTGTGGGTTGTGGCCGAGAACACACTTGTCCCTGAGATCCCGGGAGATGTTTCTGAAGAAACGTGCTCCGTGGTGGTCACCTGAGGTAGCGCTTCAGAGCTGGAGGATGCCGTGTTCCCGAGGGTCAGATGATATGACAGACTCTGTCGTGGAAGAAGAGGAGACTTCCAGCTTGCCTGTTCCCGTACTTGATAAGCCGACCGAGGTGCTGGGACCCGCTGCGCTTTCTGTCCCGGAAGAACTAGCCATCACGTGGGAAGAGGTTGCGGAGCCCTCCAGCTGTGGAGAACTTGGGCTTCTGGAGAAGGACGCAGCAGGGGAACCGGTGGCCCCAGCCACGCTTGTGGCTGGCGCTGCAGAGCTCTGGCTGCCCAGGGTGCTTGCAGCTTCCGAGGATGCTGTCTCTTCAGTCGGGCTGGCTGCATTCGGAGTGGTGCTCCTCAACGATGCAGCAGGCGTCCCCGTTGGTGCTAGTGGAGAGGTGAGGTGAGCTGTGGCGGCTGAGCTGGATTCCACGGAGGTGTCCCGCACTCCGCTAGGAGAGGTCTGCCCGCTTTCCGAAGATGCGCTGGATGAAGCCATGATGGAGGCACTGGATGCTGGGCCTGCCGTCCAAGTGGTAGCCGGGCTCTCTGTTGCCACTGGTGCTGCGGAGCTCTTGTCAGCAGTGTGGGTTGTGGCCGAGAACACACTTGTCCCTGAGATCCCGGGAGATGTTTCTGAAGAAACGTGCTCCGTGGTGGTCACCTGAGGTAGCGCTTCAGAGCTGGAGGATGCCGGGCTCCCGGAGGGTCCAGATGATATGACAGACTCTGTCGTGGAAGAAGAGGAGACTTCCAGCTTGCCTGTTCCCGTACTTGATAAGCCGACCGAGGTGCTGGGACCCGCTGCGCTTTCTGTCCCGGAAGAACTAGCCATCACGTGGGAAGAGGTTGCGGAGCCCTCCAGCTGTGGAGAACTTGGGCTTCTGGAGAAGGACGCAGCAGGGGAACCGGTGGCCCCAGCCACGCTTGTGGCTGGCGCTGCAGAGCTCTGGCTGCCCAGGGTGCTTGCAGCTTCCGAGGATGCTGTCTCTTCAGTCGGGCTGGCTGCATTCGGAGTGGTGCTCCTCAACGATGCAGCAGGCGTCCCCGTTGGTGCTAGTGGAGAGGTGAGGTGAGCTGTGGCGGCTGAGCTGGATTCCACGGAGGTGTCCCGCACTCCGCTAGGAGAGGTCTGCCCGCTTTCCGAAGACGCGCTGGATGAAGCCATGATGGAGGCACTGGATGCTGGGCCTGCCGTCCAATTGGTAGCCGGGCTCTCTGTTGCCACTGGTGCTGCGGAGCTCTTGTCAGCAGTGTGGGTTGTGGCCGAGAACACACTTGTCCCTGAGATCCCGGGAGATGTTTCTGAAGAAACGTGCTCCGTGGTGGTCACCTGAGGTAGCGCTTCAGAGCTGGAGGATGCCGGGCTCCCGGAGGGTCCAGATGATATGACAGACTCTGTCGTGGAAGAAGAGGAGACTTCCAGCTTGCCTGTTCCCGTACTTGATAAGCCGACCGAGGTGCTGGGACCCGCTGCGCTTTCTGTCCCGGAAGAACTAGCCATCACGTGGGAAGAGGTTGCGGAGCCCTCCAGCTGTGGAGAACTTGGGCTTCTGGAGAAGGACGCAGCAGGGGAACCGGTGGCCCCAGCCACGCTTGTGGCTGGCGCTGCAGAGCTCTGGCTGCCCAGGGTGCTTGCAGCTTCCGAGGATGCTGTCTCTTCAGTCGGGCTGGCTGCATTCGGAGTGGTGCTCCTCAACGATGCAGCAGGCGTCCCCGTTGGTGCTAGTGGAGAGGTGAGGTGAGCTGTGGCGGCTGAGCTGGATTCCACGGAGGTGTCCCGCACTCCGCTAGGAGAGGTCTGCCCGCTTTCCGAAGACGCGCTGGATGAAGCCATGATGGAGGCACTGGATGCTGGGCCTGCCGTCCAATTGGTAGCCGGGCTCTCTGTTGCCACTGGTGCTGCGGAGCTCTTGTCAGCAGTGTGGGTTGTGGCCGAGAACACACTTGTCCCTGAGATCCCGGGAGATGTTTCTGAAGAAACGTGCTCCGTGGTGGTCACCTGAGGTAGCGCTTCAGAGCTGGAGGATGCCGTGCTCCCAGAGGGTCCAGATGATATGACAGACTCTGTCGTGGAAGAAGAGGAGACTTCCAGCTTGCCTGTTCCCGTACTTGATAAGCCGACCGAGGTGCTGGGACCCGCTGCGCTTTCTGTCCCGGAAGAACTAGCCATCACGTGGGAAGAGGTTGCGGAGCCCTCCAGCTGTGGAGAACTTGGGCTTCTGGAGAAGGACGCAGCAGGGGAACCGGTGGCCCCAGCCACGCTTGTGGCTGGCGCTGCAGAGCTCTGGCTGCCCAGGGTGCTTGCAGCTTCCGAGGATGCTGTCTCTTCAGTCGGGCTGGCTGCATTCGGAGTGGTGCTCCTCAACGATGCAGCAGGCGTCCCCGTTGGTGCTAGTGGAGAGGTGAGGTGAGCTGTGGCGGCTGAGCTGGATTCCACGGAGGTGTCCCGCACTCCGCTAGGAGAGGTCTGCCCGCTTTCCGAAGACGCGCTGGATGAAGCCATGATGGAGGCACTGGATGCTGGGCCTGCCGTCCAATTGGTAGCCGGGCTCTCTGTTGCCACTGGTGCTGCGGAGCTCTTGTCAGCAGTGTGGGTTGTGGCCGAGAACACACTTGTCCCTGAGATCCCGGGAGATGTTTCTGAAGAAACGTGCTCCGTGGTGGTCACCTGAGGTAGCGCTTCAGAGCTGGAGGATGCCGGGCTCCCGACGGGTCCAGATGATATGACAGACTCTGTCGTGGAAGAAGAGGAGACTTCCAGCTTGCCTGTTCCCGTACTTGATAAGCCGACCGAGGTGCTGGGACCCGCTGCGCTTTCTGTCCCGGAAGAACTAGCCATCACGTGGGAAGAGGTTGCGGAGCCCTCCAGCTGTGGAGAACTTGGGCTTCTGGAGAAGGACGCAGCAGGGGAACCGGTGGCCCCAGCCACGCTTGTGGCTGGCGCTGCAGAGCTCTGGCTGCCCAGGGTGCTTGCAGCTTCCGAGGATGCTGTCTCTTCAGTCGGGCTGGCTGCATTCGGAGTGGTGCTCCTCAACGATGCAGCAGGCGTCCCCGTTGGTGCTAGTGGAGAGGTGAGGTGAGCTGTGGCGGCTGAGCTGGATTCCACGGAGGTGTCCCGCACTCCGCTAGGAGAGGTCTGCCCGCTTTCCGAAGACGCGCTGGATGAAGCCATGATGGAGGCACTGGATGCTGGGCCTGCCGTCCAATTGGTAGCCGGGCTCTCTGTTGCCACTGGTGCTGCGGAGCTCTTGTCAGCAGTGTGGGTTGTGGCCGAGAACACACTTGTCCCTGAGATCCCGGGAGATGTTTCTGAAGAAACGTGCTCCGTGGTGGTCACCTGAGGTAGCGCTTCAGAGCTGGAGGATGCCGGGCTCCCGGAGGGTCCAGATGATATGACAGACTCTGTCGTGGAAGAAGAGGAGACTTCCAGCTTGCCTGTTCCCGTACTTGATAAGCCGACCGAGGTGCTGGGACCCGCTGCGCTTTCTGTCCCGGAAGAACTAGCCATCACGTGGGAAGAGGTTGCGGAGCCCTCCAGCTGTGGAGAACTTGGGCTTCTGGAGAAGGACGCAGCAGGGGAACCGGTGGCCCCAGCCACGCTTGTGGCTGGCGCTGCAGAGCTCTGGCTGCCCAGGGTGCTTGCAACTTCCGAGGATGTTGTCTCTTCAGTCGGGCTGGCTGCATTCGGAGTGGTGCTCCTCAACGATGCAGCAGGCGTCCCCGTTGGTGCTAGTGGAGAGGTGAGGTGAGCTGTGGCGGCTGAGCTGGATTCCACGGAGGTGTCCCGCACTCCGCTAGGAGAGGTCTGCCCGCTTTCCGAAGACGCGCTGGATGAAGCCATGATGGAGGCACTGGATGCTGGGCCTGCCGTCCAATTGGTAGCCGGGCTCTCTGTTGCCACTGGTGCTGCGGAGCTCTTGTCAGCAGTGTGGGTTGTGGCCGAGAACACACTTGTCCCTGAGATCCCGGGAGATGTTTCTGAAGAAACGTGCTCCGTGGTGGTCACCTGAGGTAGCGCTTCAGAGCTGGAGGATGCCGGGCTCCCGGAGGGTCCAGATGATATGACAGACTCTGTCGTGGAAGAAGAGGAGACTTCCAGCTTGCCTGTTCCCGTACTTGATAAGCCGACCGAGGTGCTGGGACCCGCTGCGCTTTCTGTCCCGGAAGAACTAGCCATCACGTGGGAAGAGGTTGCGGAGCCCTCCAGCTGTGGAGAACTTGGGCTTCTGGAGAAGGACGCAGCAGGGGAACCGGTGGCCCCAGCCACGCTTGTGGCTGGCGCTGCAGAGCTCTGGCTGCCCAGGGTGCTTGCAGCTTCCGAGGATGCTGTCTCTTCAGTCGGGCTGGCTGCATTCGGAGTGGTGCTCCTCAACGATGCAGCAGGCGTCCCCGTTGGTGCTAGTGGAGAGGTGAGGTGAGCTGTGGCGGCTGAGCTGGATTCCACGGAGGTGTCCCGCACTCCGCTAGGAGAGGTCTGCCCGCTTTCCGAAGACGCGCTGGATGAAGCCATGATGGAGGCACTGGATGCTGGGCCTGCCGTCCAAGTGGTAGCCGGGCTCTCTGTTGCCACTGGTGCTGCGGAGCTCTTGTCAGCAGTGTGGGTTGTGGCCGAGAACACACTTGTCCCTGAGATCCCGGGAGATGTTTCTGAAGAAACGTGCTCCGTGGTGGTCACCTGAGGTAGCGCTTCAGAGCTGGAGGATGCCGGGCTCCCGGAGGGTCCAGATGATATGACAGACTCTGTCGTGGAAGAAGAGGAGACTTCCAGCTTGCCTGTTCCCGTACTTGATAAGCCGACCGAGGTGCTGGGACCCGCTGCGCTTTCTGTCCCGGAAGAACTAGCCATCACGTGGGAAGAGGTTGCGGAGCCCTCCAGCTGTGGAGAACTTGGGCTTCTGGAGAAGGACGCAGCAGGGGAACCGGTGGCCCCAGCCACGCTTGTGGCTGGCGCTGCAGAGCTCTGGCTGCCCAGGGTGCTTGCAGCTTCCGAGGATGCTGTCTCTTCAGTCGGGCTGGCTGCATTCGGAGTGGTGCTCCTCAACGATGCAGCAGGCGTCCCCGTTGGTGCTAGTGGAGAGGTGAGGTGAGCTGTGGCGGCTGAGCTGGATTCCACGGAGGTGTCCCGCACTCCGCTAGGAGAGGTCTGCCCGCTTTCCGAAGACGCGCTGGATGAAGCCATGATGGAGGCACTGGATGCTGGGCCTGCCGTCCAATTGGTAGCCGGGCTCTCTGTTGCCACTGGTGCTGCGGAGCTCTTGTCAGCAGTGTGGGTTGTGGCCGAGAACACACTTGTCCCTGAGATCCCGGGAGATGTTTCTGAAGAAACGTGCTCCGTGGTGGTCACCTGAGGTAGCGCTTCAGAGCTGGAGGATGCCGGGCTCCCGGAGGGTCCAGATGATATGACAGACTCTGTCGTGGAAGAAGAGGAGACTTCCAGCTTGCCTGTTCCCGTACTTGATAAGCCGACCGAGGTGCTGGGACCCGCTGCGCTTTCTGTCCCGGAAGAACTAGCCATCACGTGGGAAGAGGTTGCGGAGCCCTCCAGCTGTGGAGAACTTGGGCTTCTGGAGAAGGACGCAGCAGGGGAACCGGTGGCCCCAGCCACGCTTGTGGCTGGCGCTGCAGAGCTCTGGCTGCCCAGGGTGCTTGCAGCTTCCGAGGATGCTGTCTCTTCAGTCGGGCTGGCTGCATTCGGAGTGGTGCTCCTCAACGATGCAGCAGGCGTCCCGTTGGTGCTAGTGGAGAGGTGAGGTGAGCTGTGGCGGCTGAGCTGGATTCCACGGAGGTGTCCCGCACTCCGCTAGGAGAGGTCTGCCCGCTTTCCGAAGACGCGCTGGATGAAGCCATGATGGAGGCACTGGATGCTGGGCCTGCCGTCCAAGTGGTAGCCGGGCTCTCTGTTGCCACTGGTGCTGCGGAGCTCTTGTCAGCAGTGTGGGTTGTGGCCGAGAACACACTTGTCCCTGAGATCCCGGGAGATGTTTCTGAAGAAACGTGCTCCGTGGTGGTCACCTGAGGTAGCGCTTCAGAGCTGGAGGATGCCGGGCTCCCGGAGGGTCCAGATGATATGACAGACTCTGTCGTGGAAGAAGAGGAGACTTCCAGCTTGCCTGTTCCCGTACTTGATAAGCCGACCGAGGTGCTGGGACCCGCTGCGCTTTCTGTCCCGGAAGAACTAGCCATCACGTGGGAAGAGGTTGCGGAGCCCTCCAGCTGTGGAGAACTTGGGCTTCTGGAGAAGGACGCAGCAGGGGAACCGGTGGCCCCAGCCACGCTTGTGGCTGGCGCTGCAGAGCTCTGGCTGCCCAGGGTGCTTGCAGCTTCCGAGGATGCTGTCTCTTCAGTCGGGCTGGCTGCATTCGGAGTGGTGCTCCTCAACGATGCAGCAGGCGTCCCCGTTGGTGCTAGTGGAGAGGTGAGGTGAGCTGTGGCGGCTGAGCTGGATTCCACGGAGGTGTCCCGCACTCCGCTAGGAGAGGTCTGCCCGCTTTCCGAAGACGCGCTGGATGAAGCCATGATGGAGGCACTGGATGCTGGGCCTGCCGTCCAATTGGTAGCCGGGCTCTCTGTTGCCACTGGTGCTGCGGAGCTCTTGTCAGCAGTGTGGGTTGTGGCCGAGAACACACTTGTCCCTGAGATCCCGGGAGATGTTTCTGAAGAAACGTGCTCCGTGGTGGTCACCTGAGGTAGCGCTTCAGAGCTGGAGGATGCCGGGCTCCCGGAGGGTCAGATGATATGACAGACTCTGTCGTGGAAGAAGAGGAGACTTCCAGCTTGCCTGTTCCCGTACTTGATAAGCCGACCGAGGTGCTGGGACCCGCTGCGCTTTCTGTCCCGGAAGAACTAGCCATCACGTGGGAAGAGGTTGCGGAGCCCTCCAGCTGTGGAGAACTTGGGCTTCTGGAGAAGGACGCAGCAGGGGAACCGGTGGCCCCAGCCACGCTTGTGGCTGGCGCTGCAGAGCTCTGGCTGCCCAGGGTGCTTGCAGCTTCCGAGGATGCTGTCTCTTCAGTCGGGCTGGCTGCATTCGGAGTGGTGCTCCTCAACGATGCAGCAGGCGTCCCGTTGGTGCTAGTGGAGAGGTGAGGTGAGCTGTGGCGGCTGAGCTGGATTCCACGGAGGTGTCCCGCACTCCGCTAGGAGAGGTCTGCCCGCTTTCCGAAGACGCGCTGGATGAAGCCATGATGGAGGCACTGGATGCTGGGCCTGCCGTCCAATTGGTAGCCGGGCTCTCTGTTGCCACTGGTGCTGCGGAGCTCTTGTCAGCAGTGTGGGTTGTGGCCGAGAACACACTTGTCCCTGAGATCCCGGGAGATGTTTCTGAAGAAACGTGCTCCGTGGTGGTCACCTGAGGTAGCGCTTCAGAGCTGGAGGATGCCGGGCTCCCGGAGGGTCCAGATGATATGACAGACTCTGTCGTGGAAGAAGAGGAGACTTCCAGCTTGCCTGTTCCCGTACTTGATAAGCCGACCGAGGTGCTGGGACCCGCTGCGCTTTCTGTCCCGGAAGAACTAGCCATCACGTGGGAAGAGGTTGCGGAGCCCTCCAGCTGTGGAGAACTTGGGCTTCTGGAGAAGGACGCAGCAGGGGAACCGGTGGCCCCAGCCACGCTTGTGGCTGGCGCTGCAGAGCTCTGGCTGCCCAGGGTGCTTGCAGCTTCCGAGGATGCTGTCTCTTCAGTCGGGCTGGCTGCATTCGGAGTGGTGCTCCTCAACGATGCAGCAGGCGTCCCCGTTGGTGCTAGTGGAGAGGTGAGGTGAGCTGTGGCGGCTGAGCTGGATTCCACGGAGGTGTCCCGCACTCCGCTAGGAGAAGGTCTGCCCGCTTTCCGAAGACGCGCTGGATGAAGCCATGATGGAGGCACTGGATGCTGGGCCTGCCGTCCAATTGGTAGCCGGGCTCTCTGTTGCCACTGGTGCTGCGGAGCTCTTGTCAGCAGTGTGGGTTGTGGCCGAGAACACACTTGTCCCTGAGATCCCGGGAGATGTTTCTGAAGAAACGTGCTCCGTGGTGGTCACCTGAGGTAGCGCTTCAGAGCTGGAGGATGCCGGGTTCCCGAGGGTCAGATGATATGACAGACTCTGTCGTGGAAGAAGAGGAGACTTCCAGCTTGCCTGTTCCCGTACTTGATAAGCCGACCGAGGTGCTGGGACCCGCTGCGCTTTCTGTCCCGGAAGAACTAGCCATCACGTGGGAAGAGGTTGCGGAGCCCTCCAGCTGTGGAGAACTTGGGCTTCTGGAGAAGGACGCAGCAGGGGAACCGGTGGCCCCAGCCACGCTTGTGGCTGGCGCTGCAGAGCTCTGGCTGCCCAGGGTGCTTGCAGCTTCCGAGGATGCTGTCTCTTCAGTCGGGCTGGCTGCATTCGGAGTGGTGCTCCTCAACGATGCAGCAGGCGTCCCGTTGGTGCTAGTGGAGAGGTGAGGTGAGCTGTGGCGGCTGAGCTGGATTCCACGGAGGTGTCCCGCACTCCGCTAGGAGAGGTCTGCCCGCTTTCCGAAGACGCGCTGGATGAAGCCATGATGGAGGCACTGGATGCTGGGCCTGCCGTCCAAGTGGTAGCCGGGCTCTCTGTTGCCACTGGTGCTGCGGAGCTCTTGTCAGCAGTGTGGGTTGTGGCCGAGAACACACTTGTCCCTGAGATCCCGGGAGATGTTTCTGAAGAAACGTGCTCCGTGGTGGTCACCTGAGGTAGCGCTTCAGAGCTGGAGGATGCCGGGCTCCCGGAGGGTCCAGATGATATGACAGACTCTGTCGTGGAAGAAGAGGAGACTTCCAGCTTGCCTGTTCCCGTACTTGATAAGCCGACCGAGGTGCTGGGACCCGCTGCGCTTTCTGTCCCGGAAGAACTAGCCATCACGTGGGAAGAGGTTGCGGAGCCCTCCAGCTGTGGAGAACTTGGGCTTCTGGAGAAGGACGCAGCAGGGGAACCGGTGGCCCCAGCCACGCTTGTGGCTGGCGCTGCAGAGCTCTGGCTGCCCAGGGTGCTTGCAGCTTCCGAGGATGCTGTCTCTTCAGTCGGGCTGGCTGCATTCGGAGTGGTGCTCCTCAACGATGCAGCAGGCGTCCCGTTGGTGCTAGTGGAGAGGTGAGGTGAGCTGTGGCGGCTGAGCTGGATTCCACGGAGGTGTCCCGCACTCCGCTAGGAGAAGGTCTGCCCGCTTTCCGAAGACGCGCTGGATGAAGCCATGATGGAGGCACTGGATGCTGGGCCTGCCGTCCAATTGGTAGCCGGGCTCTCTGTTGCCACTGGTGCTGCGGAGCTCTTGTCAGCAGTGTGGGTTGTGGCCGAGAACACACTTGTCCCTGAGATCCCGGGAGATGTTTCTGAAGAAACGTGCTCCGTGGTGGTCACCTGAGGTAGCGCTTCAGAGCTGGAGGATGCCGGGCTCCGGAGGGTCAGATGATATGACAGACTCTGTCGTGGAAGAAGAGGAGACTTCCAGCTTGCCTGTTCCCGTACTTGATAAGCCGACCGAGGTGCTGGGACCCGCTGCGCTTTCTGTCCCGGAAGAACTAGCCATCACGTGGGAAGAGGTTGCGGAGCCCTCCAGCTGTGGAGAACTTGGGCTTCTGGAGAAGGACGCAGCAGGGGAACCGGTGGCCCCAGCCACGCTTGTGGCTGGCGCTGCAGAGCTCTGGCTGCCCAGGGTGCTTGCAGCTTCCGAGGATGCTGTCTCTTCAGTCGGGCTGGCTGCATTCGGAGTGGTGCTCCTCAACGATGCAGCAGGCGTCCCCGTTGGTGCTAGTGGAGAGGTGAGGTGAGCTGTGGCGGCTGAGCTGGATTCCACGGAGGTGTCCCGCACTCCGCTAGGAGAGGTCTGCCCGCTTTCCGAAGACGCGCTGGATGAAGCCATGATGGAGGCACTGGATGCTGGGCCTGCCGTCCAATTGGTAGCCGGGCTCTCTGTTGCCACTGGTGCTGCGGAGCTCTTGTCAGCAGTGTGGGTTGTGGCCGAGAACACACTTGTCCCTGAGATCCCGGGAGATGTTTCTGAAGAAACGTGCTCCGTGGTGGTCACCTGAGGTAGCGCTTCAGAGCTGGAGGATGCCGGGCTCCAGGAGGGTCAGATGATATGACAGACTCTGTCGTGGAAGAAGAGGAGACTTCCAGCTTGCCTGTTCCCGTACTTGATAAGCCGACCGAGGTGCTGGGACCCGCTGCGCTTTCTGTCCCGGAAGAACTAGCCATCACGTGGGAAGAGGTTGCGGAGCCCTCCAGCTGTGGAGAACTTGGGCTTCTGGAGAAGGACGCAGCAGGGGAACCGGTGGCCCCAGCCACGCTTGTGGCTGGCGCTGCAGAGCTCTGGCTGCCCAGGGTGCTTGCAGCTTCCGAGGATGCTGTCTCTTCAGTCGGGCTGGCTGCATTCGGAGTGGTGCTCCTCAACGATGCAGCAGGCGTCCCCGTTGGTGCTAGTGGAGAGGTGAGGTGAGCTGTGGCGGCTGAGCTGGATTCCACGGAGGTGTCCCGCACTCCGCTAGGAGAAGGTCTGCCCGCTTTCCGAAGACGCGCTGGATGAAGCCATGATGGAGGCACTGGATGCTGGGCCTGCCGTCCAATTGGTAGCCGGGCTCTCTGTTGCCACTGGTGCTGCGGAGCTCTTGTCAGCAGTGTGGGTTGTGGCCGAGAACACACTTGTCCCTGAGATCCCGGGAGATGTTTCTGAAGAAACGTGCTCCGTGGTGGTCACCTGAGGTAGCGCTTCAGAGCTGGAGGATGCCGGGCTCCCGGAGGGTCAGATGATATGACAGACTCTGTCGTGGAAGAAGAGGAGACTTCCAGCTTGCCTGTTCCCGTACTTGATAAGCCGACCGAGGTGCTGGGACCCGCTGCGCTTTCTGTCCCGGAAGAACTAGCCATCACGTGGGAAGAGGTTGCGGAGCCCTCCAGCTGTGGAGAACTTGGGCTTCTGGAGAAGGACGCAGCAGGGGAACCGGTGGCCCCAGCCACGCTTGTGGCTGGCGCTGCAGAGCTCTGGCTGCCCAGGGTGCTTGCAGCTTCCGAGGATGCTGTCTCTTCAGTCGGGCTGGCTGCATTCGGAGTGGTGCTCCTCAACGATGCAGCAGGCGTCCCCGTTGGTGCTAGTGGAGAGGTGAGGTGAGCTGTGGCGGCTGAGCTGGATTCCACGGAGGTGTCCCGCACTCCGCTAGGAGAGGTCTGCCCGCTTTCCGAAGACGCGCTGGATGAAGCCATGATGGAGGCACTGGATGCTGGGCCTGCCGTCCAATTGGTAGCCGGGCTCTCTGTTGCCACTGGTGCTGCGGAGCTCTTGTCAGCAGTGTGGGTTGTGGCCGAGAACACACTTGTCCCTGAGATCCCGGGAGATGTTTCTGAAGAAACGTGCTCCGTGGTGGTCACCTGAGGTAGCGCTTCAGAGCTGGAGGATGCCGGGCTCCCGGAGGGTCCAGATGATATGACAGACTCTGTCGTGGAAGAAGAGGAGACTTCCAGCTTGCCTGTTCCCGTACTTGATAAGCCGACCGAGGTGCTGGGACCCGCTGCGCTTTCTGTCCCGGAAGAACTAGCCATCACGTGGGAAGAGGTTGCGGAGCCCTCCAGCTGTGGAGAACTTGGGCTTCTGGAGAAGGACGCAGCAGGGGAACCGGTGGCCCCAGCCACGCTTGTGGCTGGCGCTGCAGAGCTCTGGCTGCCCAGGGTGCTTGCAGCTTCCGAGGATGCTGTCTCTTCAGTCGGGCTGGCTGCATTCGGAGTGGTGCTCCTCAACGATGCAGCAGGCGTCCCCGTTGGTGCTAGTGGAGAGGTGAGGTGAGCTGTGGCGGCTGAGCTGGATTCCACGGAGGTGTCCCGCACTCCGCTAGGAGAGGTCTGCCCGCTTTCCGAAGACGCGCTGGATGAAGCCATGATGGAGGCACTGGATGCTGGGCCTGCCGTCCAATTGGTAGCCGGGCTCTCTGTTGCCACTGGTGCTGCGGAGCTCTTGTCAGCAGTGTGGGTTGTGGCCGAGAACACACTTGTCCCTGAGATCCCGGGAGATGTTTCTGAAGAAACGTGCTCCGTGGTGGTCACCTGAGGTAGCGCTTCAGAGCTGGAGGATGCCGGGCTCCCGAGGGTCAGATGATATGACAGACTCTGTCGTGGAAGAAGAGGAGACTTCCAGCTTGCCTGTTCCCGTACTTGATAAGCCGACCGAGGTGCTGGGACCCGCTGCGCTTTCTGTCCCGGAAGAACTAGCCATCACGTGGGAAGAGGTTGCGGAGCCCTCCAGCTGTGGAGAACTTGGGCTTCTGGAGAAGGACGCAGCAGGGGAACCGGTGGCCCCAGCCACGCTTGTGGCTGGCGCTGCAGAGCTCTGGCTGCCCAGGGTGCTTGCAGCTTCCGAGGATGCTGTCTCTTCAGTCGGGCTGGCTGCATTCGGAGTGGTGCTCCTCAACGATGCAGCAGGCGTCCCGTTGGTGCTAGTGGAGAGGTGAGGTGAGCTGTGGCGGCTGAGCTGGATTCCACGGAGGTGTCCCGCACTCCGCTAGGAGAGGTCTGCCCGCTTTCCGAAGATGCGCTGGATGAAGCCATGATGGAGGCACTGGATGCTGGGCCTGCCGTCCAATTGGTAGCCGGGCTCTCTGTTGCCACTGGTGCTGCGGAGCTCTTGTCAGCAGTGTGGGTTGTGGCCGAGAACACACTTGTCCCTGAGATCCCGGGAGATGTTTCTGAAGAAACGTGCTCCGTGGTGGTCACCTGAGGTAGCGCTTCAGAGCTGGAGGATGCCGGGCTCCCGGAGGGTCAGATGATATGACAGACTCTGTCGTGGAAGAAGAGGAGACTTCCAGCTTGCCTGTTCCCGTACTTGATAAGCCGACCGAGGTGCTGGGACCCGCTGCGCTTTCTGTCCCGGAAGAACTAGCCATCACGTGGGAAGAGGTTGCGGAGCCCTCCAGCTGTGGAGAACTTGGGCTTCTGGAGAAGGACGCAGCAGGGGAACCGGTGGCCCCAGCCACGCTTGTGGCTGGCGCTGCAGAGCTCTGGCTGCCCAGGGTGCTTGCAGCTTCCGAGGATGCTGTCTCTTCAGTCGGGCTGGCTGCATTCGGAGTGGTGCTCCTCAACGATGCAGCAGGCGTCCCCGTTGGTGCTAGTGGAGAGGTGAGGTGAGCTGTGGCGGCTGAGCTGGATTCCACGGAGGTGTCCCGCACTCCGCTAGGAGAGGTCTGCCCGCTTTCCGAAGATGCGCTGGATGAAGCCATGATGGAGGCACTGGATGCTGGGCCTGCCGTCCAATTGGTAGCCGGGCTCTCTGTTGCCACTGGTGCTGCGGAGCTCTTGTCAGCAGTGTGGGTTGTGGCCGAGAACACACTTGTCCCTGAGATCCCGGGAGATGTTTCTGAAGAAACGTGCTCCGTGGTGGTCACCTGAGGTAGCGCTTCAGAGCTGGAGGATGCCGGGCTCCCGGAGGGTCCAGATGATATGACAGACTCTGTCGTGGAAGAAGAGGAGACTTCCAGCTTGCCTGTTCCCGTACTTGATAAGCCGACCGAGGTGCTGGGACCCGCTGCGCTTTCTGTCCCGGAAGAACTAGCCATCACGTGGGAAGAGGTTGCGGAGCCCTCCAGCTGTGGAGAACTTGGGCTTCTGGAGAAGGACGCAGCAGGGGAACCGGTGGCCCCAGCCACGCTTGTGGCTGGCGCTGCAGAGCTCTGGCTGCCCAGGGTGCTTGCAGCTTCCGAGGATGCTGTCTCTTCAGTCGGGCTGGCTGCATTCGGAGTGGTGCTCCTCAACGATGCAGCAGGCGTCCCCGTTGGTGCTAGTGGAGAGGTGAGGTGAGCTGTGGCGGCTGAGCTGGATTCCACGGAGGTGTCCCGCACTCCGCTAGGAGAGGTCTGCCCGCTTTCCGAAGACGCGCTGGATGAAGCCATGATGGAGGCACTGGATGCTGGGCCTGCCGTCCAATTGGTAGCCGGGCTCTCTGTTGCCACTGGTGCTGCGGAGCTCTTGTCAGCAGTGTGGGTTGTGGCCGAGAACACACTTGTCCCTGAGATCCCGGGAGATGTTTCTGAAGAAACGTGCTCCGTGGTGGTCACCTGAGGTAGCGCTTCAGAGCTGGAGGATGCCGGGTTCCCAGATGATATGACAGACTCTGTCGTGGAAGAAGAGGAGACTTCCAGCTTGCCTGTTCCCGTACTTGATAAGCCGACCGAGGTGCTGGGACCCGCTGCGCTTTCTGTCCCGGAAGAACTAGCCATCACGTGGGAAGAGGTTGCGGAGCCCTCCAGCTGTGGAGAACTTGGGCTTCTGGAGAAGGACGCAGCAGGGGAACCGGTGGCCCCAGCCACGCTTGTGGCTGGCGCTGCAGAGCTCTGGCTGCCCAGGGTGCTTGCAGCTTCCGAGGATGCTGTCTCTTCAGTCGGGCTGGCTGCATTCGGAGTGGTGCTCCTCAACGATGCAGCAGGCGTCCCCGTTGGTGCTAGTGGAGAGGTGAGGTGAGCTGTGGCGGCTGAGCTGGATTCCACGGAGGTGTCCCGCACTCCGCTAGGAGAGGTCTGCCCGCTTTCCGAAGATGCGCTGGATGAAGCCATGATGGAGGCACTGGATGCTGGGCCTGCCGTCCAAGTGGTAGCCGGGCTCTCTGTTGCCACTGGTGCTGCGGAGCTCTTGTCAGCAGTGTGGGTTGTGGCCGAGAACACACTTGTCCCTGAGATCCCGGGAGATGTTTCTGAAGAAACGTGCTCCGTGGTGGTCACCTGAGGTAGCGCTTCAGAGCTGGAGGATGCCGGGCTCCCGGAGGGTCCAGATGATATGACAGACTCTGTCGTGGAAGAAGAGGAGACTTCCAGCTTGCCTGTTCCCGTACTTGATAAGCCGACCGAGGTGCTGGGACCCGCTGCGCTTTCTGTCCCGGAAGAACTAGCCATCACGTGGGAAGAGGTTGCGGAGCCCTCCAGCTGTGGAGAACTTGGGCTTCTGGAGAAGGACGCAGCAGGGGAACCGGTGGCCCCAGCCACGCTTGTGGCTGGCGCTGCAGAGCTCTGGCTGCCCAGGGTGCTTGCAGCTTCCGAGGATGCTGTCTCTTCAGTCGGGCTGGCTGCATTCGGAGTGGTGCTCCTCAACGATGCAGCAGGCGTCCCCGTTGGTGCTAGTGGAGAGGTGAGGTGAGCTGTGGCGGCTGAGCTGGATTCCACGGAGGTGTCCCGCACTCCGCTAGGAGAGGTCTGCCCGCTTTCCGAAGACGCGCTGGATGAAGCCATGATGGAGGCACTGGATGCTGGGCCTGCCGTCCAAGTGGTAGCCGGGCTCTCTGTTGCCACTGGTGCTGCGGAGCTCTTGTCAGCAGTGTGGGTTGTGGCCGAGAACACACTTGTCCCTGAGATCCCGGGAGATGTTTCTGAAGAAACGTGCTCCGTGGTGGTCACCTGAGGTAGCGCTTCAGAGCTGGAGGATGCCGGGCTCCCGGAGGGTCCAGATGATATGACAGACTCTGTCGTGGAAGAAGAGGAGACTTCCAGCTTGCCTGTTCCCGTACTTGATAAGCCGACCGAGGTGCTGGGACCCGCTGCGCTTTCTGTCCCGGAAGAACTAGCCATCACGTGGGAAGAGGTTGCGGAGCCCTCCAGCTGTGGAGAACTTGGGCTTCTGGAGAAGGACGCAGCAGGGGAACCGGTGGCCCCAGCCACGCTTGTGGCTGGCGCTGCAGAGCTCTGGCTGCCCAGGGTGCTTGCAGCTTCCGAGGATGCTGTCTCTTCAGTCGGGCTGGCTGCATTCGGAGTGGTGCTCCTCAACGATGCAGCAGGCGTCCCCGTTGGTGCTAGTGGAGAGGTGAGGTGAGCTGTGGCGGCTGAGCTGGATTCCACGGAGGTGTCCCGCACTCCGCTAGGAGAGGTCTGCCCGCTTTCCGAAGACGCGCTGGATGAAGCCATGATGGAGGCACTGGATGCTGGGCCTGCCGTCCAAGTGGTAGCCGGGCTCTCTGTTGCCACTGGTGCTGCGGAGCTCTTGTCAGCAGTGTGGGTTGTGGCCGAGAACACACTTGTCCCTGAGATCCCGGGAGATGTTTCTGAAGAAACGTGCTCCGTGGTGGTCACCTGAGGTAGCGATTCAGAGCTGGAGGATGCCGGGCTCCCGGAGGGTCCAGATGATATGACAGACTCTGTCGTGGAAGAAGAGGAGACTTCCAGCTTGCCTGTTCCCGTACTTGATAAGCCGACCGAGGTGCTGGGACCCGCTGCGCTTTCTGTCCCGGAAGAACTAGCCATCACGTGGGAAGAGGTTGCGGAGCCCTCCAGCTGTGGAGAACTTGGGCTTCTGGAGAAGGACGCAGCAGGGGAACCGGTGGCCCCAGCCACGCTTGTGGCTGGCGCTGCAGAGCTCTGGCTGCCCAGGGTGCTTGCAGCTTCCGAGGATGCTGTCTCTTCAGTCGGGCTGGCTGCATTCGGAGTGGTGCTCCTCAACGATGCAGCAGGCGTTGGTGCTAGTGGAGAGGTGAGGTGAGCTGTGGCGGCTGAGCTGGATTCCACGGAGGTGTCCCGCACTCCGCTAGGAGAGGTCTGCCCGCTTTCCGAAGACGCGCTGGATGAAGCCATGATGGAGGCACTGGATGCTGGGCCTGCCGTCCAAGTGGTAGCCGGGCTCTCTGTTGCCACTGGTGCTGCGGAGCTCTTGTCAGCAGTGTGGGTTGTGGCCGAGAACACACTTGTCCCTGAGATCCCGGGAGATGTTTCTGAAGAAACGTGCTCCGTGGTGGTCACCTGAGGTAGCGCTTCAGAGCTGGAGGATGCCGGGCTCCCGGAGGGTCCAGATGATATGACAGACTCTGTCGTGGAAGAAGAGGAGACTTCCAGCTTGCCTGTTCCCGTACTTGATAAGCCGACCGAGGTGCTGGGACCCGCTGCGCTTTCTGTCCCGGAAGAACTAGCCATCACGTGGGAAGAGGTTGCGGAGCCCTCCAGCTGTGGAGAACTTGGGCTTCTGGAGAAGGACGCAGCAGGGGAACCGGTGGCCCCAGCCACGCTTGTGGCTGGCGCTGCAGAGCTCTGGCTGCCCAGGGTGCTTGCAGCTTCTGAGGATGCTGTCTCTTCAGTCGGGCTGGATGCATTTGGAGTGGTGCTCCTCAACGATGCAGCAGGCGTCCCTGTTGGTGCTAGTGGAGAGGTGAGGTGAGCTGTGGCGGCTGAGCTGGATTCCACGGAGGTGTCCCGCACTCCGCTAGGAGAGGTCTGCCCGCTTTCCGAAGACGCGCTGGATGAAGCCATGATGGAGGCACTGGATGCTGGGCCTGCCGTCCAATTGGTAGCCGGGCTCTCTGTTGCCACTGGTGCTGCGGAGCTCTTGTCAGCAGTGTGGGTTGTGGCCGAGAACACACTTGTCCCTGAGATCCCGGGAGATGTTTCTGAAGAAACGTGCTCCGTGGTGGTCACCTGAGGTAGCGCTTCAGAGCTGGAGGATGCCGTGTTCCCAGATGATATGACAGACTCTGTCGTGGAAGAAGAGGAGACTTCCAGCTTGCCTGTTCCCGTACTTGATAAGCCGACCGAGGTGCTGGGACCCGCTGCGCTTTCTGTCCCGGAAGAACTAGCCATCACGTGGGAAGAGGTTGCGGAGCCCTCCAGCTGTGGAGAACTTGGGCTTCTGGAGAAGGACGCAGCAGGGGAACCGGTGGCCCCAGCCACGCTTGTGGCTGGCGCTGCAGAGCTCTGGCTGCCCAGGGTGCTTGCAGCTTCCGAGGATGCTGTCTCTTCAGTCGGGCTGGCTGCATTCGGAGTGGTGCTCCTCAACGATGCAGCAGGCGTTGGTGCTAGTGGAGAGGTGAGGTGAGCTGTGGCGGCTGAGCTGGATTCCACGGAGGTGTCCCGCACTCCGCTAGGAGAGGTCTGCCCGCTTTCCGAAGACGCGCTGGATGAAGCCATGATGGAGGCACTGGATGCTGGGCCTGCCGTCCAATTGGTAGCCGGGCTCTCTGTTGCCACTGGTGCTGCGGAGCTCTTGTCAGCAGTGTGGGTTGTGGCCGAGAACACACTTGTCCCTGAGATCCCGGGAGATGTTTCTGAAGAAACGTGCTCCGTGGTGGTCACCTGAGGTAGCGCTTCAGAGCTGGAGGATGCCGGGCTCCCGGAGGGTCCAGATGATATGACAGACTCTGTCGTGGAAGAAGAGGAGACTTCCAGCTTGCCTGTTCCCGTACTTGATAAGCCGACCGAGGTGCTGGGACCCGCTGCGCTTTCTGTCCCGGAAGAACTAGCCATCACGTGGGAAGAGGTTGCGGAGCGCTCCAGCTGTGGAGAACTTGGGCTTCTGGAGAAGGACGCAGCAGGGGAACCGGTGGCCCCAGCCACGCTTGTGGCTGGCGCTGCAGAGCTCTGGCTGCCCAGGGTGCTTGCAGCTTCCGAGGATGCTGTCTCTTCAGTCGGGCTGGCTGCATTCGGAGTGGTGCTCCTCAACGATGCAGCAGGCGTCCCTGTTGGTGCTAGTGGAGAGGTGAGGTGAGCTGTGGCGGCTGAGCTGGATTCCACGGAGGTGTCCCGCACTCCGCTAGGAGAGGTCTGCCCGCTTTCCGAAGACGCGCTGGATGAAGCCATGATGGAGGCACTGGATGCTGGGCCTGCTGTCCAATTGGTAGCCGGGCTATCAAGCTCCGTGGCTTCCTTGGTAGAGCTAATTGTCATCTTTTGTGCTGGAGATGAGAGCATGATTATTTTTATTTAGATATAACATAACAGCATTGTTTATCATCTTAGGAATAGTATATTTTGTTTAACAATTCAAATCTTTTTTTCATCATTTTTTGGGGGTAATTTAAAATTCGTGATTACATTGCGTATAGTCATTTTTTCCAGTTTGGAGCTCAAAATCTATTCTTTATTCAATTATTTTCAGCTCAGACAAGGTGTTCTGTGTTGAATGAGAAGACTCCTTTTGTTGTTTTCATTAACTAAGAAAAATATGTTTCTGCTGTAGCCTGGATATTCGCTTGAACTCTCATATCTGGGTTCTCCACTTTGTCGAGATAGGATAGGAACAGTTCTCCTTCCATGTGTAATATGAAAATGTTGCTCTTCCATCTTTTAATTATCCATGTAGCTTTTTGTTGGAATTCATTTATGTTTCTAGCTTTTTTAATCAAGTCAACTATGGCCTTGTGGTTAATCTGCATCCAGATTAACCATCTACATATCCTGCATTCCCAGTCTTTACGGCGTGCTACATGCACACAGTAGGGCAGCCATGATGGATCATGATGGATGACACTATCGTATGTCTATTACACTTCTGTATAAGTTGCTTAGATCTTTGTGGACATTTTTTGTATTTTGGGTAGGGCTAATTAAGATCTTGGCAGCATGATTAGTGTTGCAGATAAACCACCATTAAGGCAGAATAAGGGTGAAAGCAAAATATGTTTAGCACACCAACACTTGAGTATGTAAAAAACAAGCCACAATTTAAAAAAACTCCAGGTGAACACGTACCACTAATCTGAAATAACACAAACAAGTCCAAGATGATGTCTGTATGTTTAGCAAGCAGAATCAATGGATTTATTAAAAAGGTGATAGGTTTACTTTAAAATGTGAAAGTCCTTTCCTAAATGAGGTCAGGCATTGTAGATAAAATAAATGTGTACTATCTTTACATTAATCTTTGGTATGGTCATCTTTGGAATACAGTATTCAGTTTTTATCCTAGCAAATATCACAAAATTCTAAAAGCTGAAAAATGGAGCTTAGATGATCAAGGGACTGGTCTAGCTTCCTACAAATAATTCCTTGGCTTATTCAGTTTATGCAGGGGTGAGGGATCCAATTATTCAGAGTGCTTATTAAAAAAATTAAAAGCAGATTTCCCCCCCAAGAAAATTTATGAAGGGGGAAGATTGCTACCTCCATGGTAACAAAGTTCCTGGGAACTATGTTGCATCATTTGTCATACAGCAATATTCCCAAGCCAGCCTTAAAAACACTTTAAACACTCCTTTAATTGTCCCACCCCACTGATTAGTGGGATTGTTTGGAATAATAACAACTCTTTATGTTGGGGCAATTCAAGGCGTGGCAGAAAATACTATCAAAGTTCATCCGGCAAGGGGGAAAAACCAAGAATTAAATATAAGCTTCTTAGAAATATAAAAGAGAGAGGTGGATTCTCATTGCCAGATTTGAAAATTTATTATGAAGCATCCTGCTTATGCTAGTTGAGGAATTGTATTCTATTGGAAAATATGGATTTATTAGACCTAGAAGGATATGACAATAGATATGGTTGGTATGACTTATGACTTATGGTATGATAAAGTCAAAGTACATACAAGGTTTCTGAACCACACGATAAGAAAATCAATTTACGAGGTGTGGAATTGATACAAAAGCTTATTGGAATGGAAAACCCCTTGGTGGCTCTCTCCACTTGAAGCAAAAGCGGTAAAAAGACTAAATATGAAAGGAAAGTGGACCACCTACAGGGACTTCTTGATGGAGTACACAACAAGCTAAAATTAAAAACATTTGATGAAATATTATAACTAATGACAGATTGGTTGCAATATCACCAGGTAAACGATGTGTTTAATGAGGATAAAAAGAATAAAGGCTTTGAAACAACAAGATCTCAGCTAGAGACAAAGTTGTTAGATGACAAGAGAACTTTTTAATCGAAAATGTACAAATTATTATTAGAATGGCATAAAAAAGATCAAGAGGTTAAAGTGGTCATGATACAATGGGCTAAAGACTTTGGTTATAAAATTCAGTTAGAATCATGGGAAAAGTTATGGAATGAAGGAATTAAATTTACTGCCTTAAAGAATTTACTGCATTAAAAGAAAATGTTATGAAAATGATGTATCGATGGTATATAACACCAACTAAACTTGCAAAAATGTACAAGACTAGAAATAAAGAATGTTATAAATGTAAAGAAATGGAGGGGAATTTCTATCACATGTGGTGGACTTGTAGTAAAGTAAAAGCTTAATGGGACATTATATATAATGAGTTAAAGAAAATGTACAAAAGTACATTTGTTAAAAAAACCAGAAGCATTTTTATTGGGTACAGTAGGTGAATAAATTTCAAAAAGAGATCAAAAAAATTTTATGTATACAACAACGGCAAGAATTCTTTTAGCCCCAAAATGGAAGCAACAGGAATTACCAACAGGCAAACGAAGATGGTGAAACATGCAGAACTGGCCAAGCTGACCGGGGAAATCTGAAACCAGCATGATCAAGCTTTCCAAAAAGATTGGAGTAAATCTGCACAATATTTGAAGGAAAATTGTAAACAATGAACAACGCTAGTAGGGTTGATTTAAAAAGACTTGCAACGTTAATGATTAATACCTTTTTATATTTATTTAAAAATTTGTGAAAACTGGAATGAATGAATTATAAATTGGAAAGAGGTAAAAATGCTATGATACAGAAATGAATTATGGAAACCATGAGGTGGGAAGGAGGGAAGTCGACCAGCTCATATGAGCAAAAATATATGTGAATAATAAGGGTGTATTTAAATGTTATGAAATGGAAAACTTAACAAAAATATTTTTTAAAAAATAACACTTTAAACAGACCTAACATATAACTGCTGTGCTAAGTGCGCACATTGCCTTTCTTTAAAGATTTTTTTAAGGCAAAGATTACTGAACCTCCATATGTGGTGTTGTTTTTTGATAACATTTTATTAATTTTCCAAAAATAAAAACATCACAAAAACAAAAGAAATTGACTTCCCTCTAGACCCTTCCTTGGTTCCATTATTTGACTCCCTGTGTGTTATGACCATCACAGGAACACTGCAGAAGATTTTCCTCTCGCCTTAAGTGGAGACTGAACATAAGTATTGGAGTTTGGAAAATATACTGCAGCAGTGTGCAGAAAGAAATAATCTAGTTAGGACTGCTGGTTGAAAGAATAAAGAAACCTACTGTTTATTACACATGGCAAACAAAAGCCATGCTGAGTACAGGTTTTGCTTTTACCTTACCTCTGCCCACATTTCTCAGCAGAGGTCCAGGCTTTCCAGGTCTGCGTCTGAGCACTCCCCCTGCCCAGCACTTTCCCCATGAAAACGTGCTTTTTACTGCTGAATTGGAGCAAAGAGCAATCCGTGGATGAGCCCTAATCACAAGTGTTGTCGTTTACTCCCAACAAAAAGAAGAACCTGCTGGATCTGGCCAATGGCCCTTCTAGTCCAGCATTCTGCTCTCACAGTAGCCACTCAGATGCCTGTGGGAAGCCCTGAACGCAACAGCCCCCTGCAATTCCCAGCATCTGGTATTCAGAGGCATATGGTCTCCAACAGTGGAGGGAGAACACAGCCATTACGCCTTGTAGGCACTGATAGCCAGGGCACAGGTGGCAGGCAGGGCAGGGCAGCACCAAGTTCAGCTCACTATCCCTATTAGCTCTGCACCTATGGTCAGCATCTGACTTGTCCATCCCTGAGGCCACCTCTGTGCACAGTGAAAAAGTACCATAATAATCAAGGACAATAGGAGCCTTCTTAAGAGGAAAAGTACAGTGGTACCTCAGGTTAAGTATTTAATTCGTTCTGGAGGTCCATACTTAACCTGAAACTGTTCTTAACCTGAAGCAACACTTTAGCTAATGGGGCCTCCTGCTGCTGCCGCGCCGTCAGAACACGATTTGTGTTCTCATCCTGAAGCAAAGTTCTTAACCTGAAGCACTATTTTTGGGTTAGCGGAGTCTGTAACCTGAAGTGTATGTAACCCGAGGTACCACTGTATGTATAAATTGAAAATATAACTACAACAACATAAAATAAATAATTGGGAATCAGGTGCTGATATTCAGATCTTGATAAAGGTGCCAGCATAAAATGGCTTTCATGACCATCAAAAAAAAAGAGATGATGGTATTCCATACCAGTGAGTACTAGCACACAAAAAGTGCTACATAAATGAATACATTACTAGTACACACATACACCCCATACTGTCATGTCTGGCTCTGGCTGTAAATTCAAATCAGGCAGCCAAAATCAGGCAGCTGAAAATGAAAGAAGGCCATTCTTTGTTTGCCTCCTCCATGTGAGGTCCAGAGGTTGGCATCAAGAGAACGGGCCTTTTCTACAGTGGCTCCTCATTCGTGGAATGTTCTCCTCAGGGAGTTTCGCCTGGCGCTTTCATTCTATATTTTAAGACGCCAGGTGAAAATGTTAATCTTCAACCAGACCTTGGGGTGATTAATATCGTACAGCCTTTTTAATGTGTCTGTGGGAAGGAGACCAACCCAAAAGTTATAAAGTAGTTGGCAAACTGTCAGATTCTTTTTCAGACTTACACTTAATGAAAATAGTAAAGGGGGGAGGTGTTTGCAGACATTGCATGTGTTTCAGAAATGTAGAAAACATTTCAGATGGGAACTATATCACAAATTTGTACTAGACCCCAAATAAGGGTAGGGCCTTGACCTCAAACATGCCAACACGTTGGATCCTCATCTCCCTGATTTTTTCATAAAGTTATCCCAGCAGCTAGTGATAATCTGATAGAGTCATGATCTAATTGGAACTGCACTGTTCTTGCAGTGTCCAACCATGCCTCTGGAAAGCACACAAAAAGGACATAAGTGCCACAGCTCCCTCCCAACTTGTGCTCCATCATAACTGGTACAGTGGTACCTTGAGTTACAGACGCTTCAGGT